TATAAATAACTTTAATTCCTAGGAACTACTATAGCTTATTACCTCCTATTAACTAATATTACTTTTATATCTCTTAAGTAATTTCTTTAACTTTAGTATTATAGCCCTTAAAAGTAATAATAACTATATTATTAATATAGAAAAAGAGGATAAGGCTATTATATATATAGTAATAAGGTTTTAACTTAACTTATTTAAAACTAAAGGCCTTAAGTATACTTATAAGCTCTTTAAGTTAATATAATAATAATTACTATAAGCTATAGAGGGCTTTATTTACTTTTAAGATTATCTCTAATTTACTATAGCTCTTTAGTAGTTATATATATATTAATTCTTTTAGCTTTATATTTATAAAAGTATTTATAATATTATATTAATATAAGTTAAGGTTAAAGTAAGTAGTAATTACTATAAGAGCTTAGAAGGATTAAATTATAAGAGTATTAATATAAATATCTTTAAAGTTAAACTTAAACTATTAATCTCCTTTAATAACTAAGTATACTTTATATTTCTAGATATAGCTATTTAGATCTAGTTTATATATATATACCTATATACTTCTAAATAATTATTAATATTAAATTTCTTATATATTAACTTCCTACTAAGATTATATCTTTATATAGCTTATTAAGTAATCCCTTTTAGCTTTTAAAAAGGCCTCTTTTAATAAATATTTTAATATAGATTTTTAATTTCTTAATATAAGTAGTATATTTATTATATAAATTTAGCTAGATATAATTTTATAGCTTTTAGCTATTATAAGAGATAAGTTAGCTAAAGTATTTATATTATTTAAATATACTCTTCTAATTACTTATTTACCTTTATTAATAATTATATTATTTAATAATTTCTTTAAACTTAATTACCTTACTATTAGAAAGGTAATTACTTATATATAGTATATATACTCCCTTATTTTATTACTTTATAATATAGAGAAAGTTATATTAAATAAGTTAAAGCTATTTAGATTTTCCTTTTTATTAATATTAGCTTAACTTTCTATAAATAATATAGCTATTAAGGGAGAAGGTAATAATTAAAGTATTAAATAAAGTATAAGTTAAGTAAGCTTTAGATAATTAATCTTACTTTCTACTAAGTCTATAGTAGCTAATCTTACTAAGTATTATAATATTATATTCTTTATTACTTTAGAAGATAATATATAGCTTATACTTATATTATTAATATTACTTTTATTTATACTATCTTTATTATTAAGTATAAAAGTAGCTAGAGCTATATTAAGAGTTAAGTATATATATTAGTTATTTTACTTAAAAGTAATTATACTTTATAAAGCCTTTTAAAGGTCTATTATAATTATCTTAGTAAAGTTATTCTTTAAATTATTAATATTACTTAAAAAGAATAATTTCTTATTAAAGATAATATTATATATATTATATATAGTATTTTTTAAAGGGTTCTAAACCTTAAAGATATTTATTAAGTTATATTTAATAAAGTAGTTAATTTAAGCTCTTAAGTTTAATTTATATCTCTTCTTAAACTTAACTTTTATTATCTTAGTAAGAGTATATATTTTATAACTATAGGCTTAAAGATACTTTTACTTTAGTTTTTAGTCTATAGTAATTATATCTTATTATATTATAATATAAAGGTATAACTATTTATAAGGTATTTCCTAATTATATATCTACTTAAATATATAATTATATAAATATATAGCTATTTATATAATATCTAGTTATAGATATTTTAATAAGTTTATAATAATATATATAGTATAAGCTTTTTATATATTACCCTCTTAAAGTACTTAATAAGCTTATTCTATATAGAAGTATATAGTATTATAAGCTTTATTCTAATTCTTATACCCTTAAATTACTACTTAATAAGTATTATCTTCTTAGCTTTATTATTTAGCTAAATATATTATAGCTAGAAGCTATATTAGTTCTTTAAGTAAATAAAAAGGTTTTTAATATAATTAAATAGCTTAATAGAGGTATATATTTTAAGGTAATAGTTATATATAAAGCCTATATAAAAGTTAATAACTAAAAGTATTTATATAGTACCTTTATACTTATCTTTAAGTTATATAAAGAGATTTATACTAAATCTTACCTTTAGAGCTAATAATAGCTTATACTTTTCTTATTAAATTTACTTCTTTATTTTACCTTAGTTATAGCTCTTATAGTTAATAGTTATAATACCCTTTTTATATTAAATACTATAGGTATAATTAGTTATATATAATATTACTTTTAAGCTTAAATAGCTTAATTATAGGTACTAAAGCTTTATCTTTCTCTTTTATAGTAATCTTTAGATCTATAAGTTAAAGTTATAACTATAATTAAAGAAAGTAATATAAATTATATTTACTAAAATTCCTTTAAGGATAAATTAGTTATATAAGATCTTAATAATTATAATTATCTTATTAAATATATCTTATAGTTTATTAATATTAGGTTTATTCTTTTAGTAAAAGCTTATTTTATTTAGTTAATATAAGGAGATAATATTAATAGTAAAATACTTATAATAAGCTATATTATTAAGGTATAATAATATCTTATAATATCTATTTATAATTTAGATATTAACCTTACTATAGCCTTAAATTAAGATCTTTAAGTTTTTAGCTTAAATAAAGTTATTAAGGTTTAACTTATAGAAATTAATAAAATAGTATAAGTAATTAAAGATATATAATATAATTCTTAAATTAAAAAGAGTAATATTAATAAGAGGGTATTTTAATTTAATTACTTTTATATTCTTTAGGTCCTTTTTTACTTAAAAGTAAATTACTAAAAAGGCTAAATTTATTATCCTTTTAGCCTTTTACTTTTTTAGTTAAGCCTTCTTTTATAATTACTTATATTCTAACTTATATAGGTTAAATAACTTAATTAATATTAAGATATTCTTTATTAAGTTATTATTTAGCTTTTAATCTTTAAGTACCTCTTTAGAGAAGATATAAAAATAAATTACTTTATAAAACTAATTATAAAAAAGATATAACTTTTATTAACTTAACTTCTCTTATTAATTACCTTTCTTCTCTCCTTATAATTAGTATTAATTATAACCTTTATTATTTTTATTATCTTTATCTTATAGCTAGTACTTTCCTATTTAGGAATCTAATTAGTTCTTATTACTACTTTATACTTAGTAATTACCTTTATAGTCTTTATAGCCTCTTTATACTTAAGGGCTATAATCTTACTTTTTAGCTTTTAAAACTAAAAAGGCTCCTTTTATTTTACTTAAGTAATTATTATTATTATTATAAGTTATATAAAAGATACCTTATATAAATAGCTTTATAAGCTTTACTCTCTTAAATTAAGTATTTAGCTAAATAAGGATTAAATTACTAACTTTATTAAAGGTAAATATATTTACTTTTACTTTATTATTAAGGGAGAGATATAAATACTTTATTAAATTCTTAATTATTAGCTTTAAGGTATTAATTAGGTCTTTAAACTATATATTAATATTCTTTATTTTAGCTATATTTATAACTATAGCCTAAATATAGATATTTTCTTAGTTATTAACTTAAGCTAAAAAGTCTTTTAGTTAGTTTTATAAAAGGGTAATTATATTTTTATATTAATCTTATTAATCCTTCTTATTATTATTAATAATATATTAGTTATAAGTAGCTAATTACTTATATTACTTTTAAAGTAAGTTATAATTATTTATATAATAAGCTTATAAGTCTTTTAAAATTATTTTATTTATATATTTAATAATTATTTAGTATTACTTAAAGAGATTATTATATTCCTTTTAAGTATTACTTTTATAATTTATAGCTTATTTAAAAATAATATAATTATTTAAATAAAGTTAAAGGAAAATCTTAGCTTTTTTATATAAGTATTATATATTAATTATTAAAGGTAGCTTAATACTATTTATTATTTATAATCTTATTTAATATTATATATTATTAATATTATCTTAAGTAATAAGCTTATTAAAATCTAAAATCTTTATTATTTAAGAAGGCCTCTTTAAGAACTCCTTAATTCTATTTAAGTTAATAAATTACTAAATATAAGAATATCTTATAATTTACTTAAAGGCTAACTTCTACTTTAGTTAGTCTTTTAGCCTTTTATATTAAATTTTAGTAATTATATTTATAAATATATTAAAAATAGAGTTCTTTAAATATATTCTTAATAATTAGATTTATATTAAGACTCTTAATCTCTATTAGATAATTAACTATATTATATTTTATTATAGGTAGCTTATATCTATATTCTTAAATAGCTTAGGCCCCTAAGATATATAAATAATAGGAAGTTACTTTATTAGGGCCTATAATAATAAGGTATATCTAAGGTTTCTAACCTATAATTCCTAATTAACTAGCTAGAAATACTCTATCTTCTAATAAACACTGATATACTAGAAGGAGTAATCCCATAAGGGGGGCGGTAGCTAGGGGGGGTCGGTAGCCCCCTTGTTTAACTTACCCTAAACCGTCCTCTGGCCAAGGCATTGTAGAGACCTCAACTCCATTTAAGACTATCTCAAAACCATCAAGTATACTAGAATTGACTCTACTAAAACATCAGATTGATTAATCTCATCGGAGTTTGGAGCTTATTTTGAGGGTCGGTGTGGCATTAACGGAACAGCATTCGATCCTTCAAGGCCTTATACCCGGGCCATTTCGGCTCTTCTGGCGGCAAGGCCTTGTTTGCCAGCTTATCGGGGCCGCGTATGCCAAAAGAGGAAAGTTGAGTCAGCCAGGGCTGAGACACACGGCCCTATGATGATTAATTGATTCCTACGTGTAGTCTCAGTTGCGTTGCCGCTCTTATTTATTCAACGTTTCATGCATAACCCTCGATTATGGCAGTTTGGCCCGAGTGAAGCCTGCTTTACCCTGGCAAACCGGCATAGTCCGATTGGATCTCTCGCCATAGTAACTCCACCTGAGAGCAGGGATCGCGCCAATGATGCCAGAGACGGTCAAGCGGCTCCTTCAAGAAGACTGGCGTCCCAATGCGTCCAAATATCCAGCGCGTATGAGCAGGATTCGAAACGACCGTAACTCACTACGGCAAGAAGTCTCCGCGTCGCCCTTGAGAAGAGCGAGAGCCCGCTTACCCGCTTATATATCTTCCATCTAACAATCTCCAGTTTTGGACCCGGCATTTGGATGAATGGCACTCTATCTCGGCATATATTACCCTCTTTCTCGTCGCGTGTCAATGGCATCTCTATTGGCATATCCGGCACCAGTTTTTCTCGAGTAACATCATGCTGTGCGGCAAGTTTGACAGGCGTCGCGGAGGGCATCGCTGCATGGCCTGCAGGAGAGCTCACAAGAAGGTTTGTGGATTTATTGCCCCTACCACACGTCGATCCCAGATATACAGATTGCAGTTCGTGATGCTGATTGGCTGTAGTGTGACGGCGGTGCTGGGAAAGCTTGCTCGTACTGCACCGAGCGACTGATGAAATGCTCATACTCCTCCGGGACCCAGAAGCAGGACACTCTGAGAGTGGTCCAGTTTGCCCCGCGCAAGGCTATTGTCCTTGACAACTGGAGATACACGACGGCCTGCTTCGAAGAAGCCTTTGGTTCCCTCTTGCAGTTTTCTGTCCTGCAGGGCGAGGAGATGGTTGCCTTGAGCCAGAAAGATGCGGGGATCAGCCAGGTGGTTTCAACCATCGGCGAAATCTACTTGTGTCGAACAAGCGACTACCCCCGGTTTTTGGCAAGGAGAGAGGTGTTCCAAGAACTGGCAGCAAAGCAGAGAGCTGCTTGTTGTGAGCAGATGCAGAATCGTTCAGTGATCTGGTCGAACGCGCCTCTGGCTTCCGCCCTTATGCTGGTCGCGATTGAGGTAACCAGCAGAGTTTCCATGATATCTCCCCACAATTTCACTAACTGAGATGTAGATGATGCTGTTTGGAAATGTCGATCCTTGCATGCCGTGGATGACTGATGCCTCGGACTATATCGAGCGCACTACGTCGAATATGTCCGATCTGCCATCCTTTGATAAAGATCTCATACGTCTTGCCCAGCTCATTGACGTTGTCAACTCGATTTCGAGGACCCAGAACCCTGCAGGGTTTGACTTTGTCGATGCGAGACTCAAGACCGAGTTTCCGACAGCGAAGCTTACGTATGGCCCAACCCCTCTGCTGAACAAGGATGTGGACTACATCTTATCAGCATTGTGGCATTGGGCTGTTTTGCAGCAAAGGTGCGTAGACTCTTATCCTTATTTTTACATTTTCCCTTACTGAACCTCTCATAGAATGATTATTTGGTCGGTTGACGCCCAATTCAATCCTGTTCTCACCGCGGAGAAGAAAATCGAAGGGATCGAGTTGATTTGTGCGGCGTCTTCTTTGCAAACCAAAATCCTTCAATCCTATATGAATCTATCCACGATGTCAGAGGCGCATTACAACATGCTGGCACCGTATAGCTTCTGGATTCTGATCGGAATATCCCAGCAGCTTCGAAACGAACAGTGGAGTGCTCTTGAGTGCGACATCCCAGCTCTGCCACATGATTGTCTACACCAATATGCGATAGATACGCTTGATTGTATCGGGGCAATGGCTGGAAAAGCTGGAATCTTGGTCGCTTCTTTCATCTCCATTGTATTCACCATGGGGCTTGAGATGGTGAGCGACGAGGACCGAAGAAAAGCTTTCGGACTGTTGGATATTCAACAAGCCAGATATTTCGAGATCTCTGACCATTTCAAGTTTGTTTTGAACGAATTATGGAGCCTCAACCTGAGGAACCCTACTGAATTTTACATGTTGAAGATGGCAATGGGAGCCAAGGGTCTGGACTTCCGCCCGGCGAGGGGAATTGAACACCAATCCCCGGAAATTGCCGAAAACTTGGTCAACCAGCAACACGCCATGCTAGAGAAGGAACTCGAGATCACTGAAAGTGACTTGATGAGCCATGTTCTCTGAGGTAATGGGATATCATGTATTTTTACGGTTTCCTTCATCATGACTCCTCTTATGTTTTCTTTGTTATAGACTTTTTACCATTCAGAGGCTTTCGCTTCTTAGACAACTAGTTCTGCCATTCCTGTCCGTTACTTCCAATTCTCTAGGGCCTGGTTGCCAATTCACCCTGCATTCTTAGCAATTTGATCCAGCTCTGTTGGGGGTGTTACGGGTTGTGACTGATATTTTCACCCATTGAGCTCAAAATATCCTGAAGACCCATAGTGAGATGGCCAATCTGACGCGGAACAAGCGACTACAGTTACTGCTTCTTTGAGAAGCGGAACAGTCTCTTCTCAGCCACCTCTTCCGTGCTGACTGTAGTACTTACGGCGTATTAGCAGACCAGGGTCGCGATAATGGCGACAAGAGCGAGACCTGACGCCGGCTATTTTAGGTGTGTTGTTGGTGGAGTGACTCATTGGTTGGCAAGCCTCAACGTAAACCTGGGCATCCCGGAGTCGAGATGTATCTTCCATTGGTTGCTGAAATGTTATTTTATGAATCATCCTTTCTTGAGAGCATGCATATTCTCTGGGTTATGAAAAGCAACGGCTAGACAAAAGCCACAAAGAAAATGTAGCCTTTGCCATTGTAGACTTCTTAACCACATTTGGAGAGTCGTATTATCTATCAATGGATGTTGGGATCGTACTCACCCTTACAAACTAATGTAGTCATATGCGGAATCCCGATGCCATTGATCCATGTATAATTTCCCTTGAAAGCAGCAGATGTAACGTTACGAAGGCCGCCAACCGAGATTATCTGTCGGCGGCTGTCGGTATCTTTCGGTATCTGTCGGTGTCTGTCGGCATCTTGATGGTACTCGTATTTCTTGTATGCTACTCTTACTCTATGCACACACAGAGCAGAAAGTGTTCCCGTCCCCGAGGCCCTAAAGATCCCAATTTGCATTGTTGCTACCCGTCTTCTCGGTTGTATCCCTCCCACCACGAAATATAAGGAGTGACGATCAAGCCAGGCACACAGCTCGCTTTGACATGACCAATATCGCCATTTGGGGAATTCAACTCTCGAATCGTACCCGTCTTCTACTCTCAAGATATCATAGCATGCCTGATCAACTTCGGTGTCGACACTCCCTTATTTGAGTGATTCGTGCCTGGGGTTGCCGATGCCCGCGACCACGCAGCCAATACCACCACAAGATGCAAAGGCTGGCATGAATTGCCTCATCAGAACTCAGCTCTACCATTCCGTCCCTTCAATAAGGCCCTACCCCATTAAAGGATCGTACAAGCTGACATTTGGAACTTCAGCCCTTTTAAACTCTTACTGGTGGCATTTCCATATGAGTTGCCCTTGAATAGAATTGTTCTTCAGCCCGAGACCGATCGAGAGTCGAAGCATATAATACTCGAATCTTCCTTCGTTCCTCTACTTCTTCAGAAGATATAAACAAGGATTGTCCGACTCTGAGCTTTCTCACAGATGAACCTTGTGGCAATTACATGAGGGCGATTTGACCACCATTGCCGCTACCATACTACATAAATGGGTTAGTTCCTTTGAGGAAGTCACTGATTCTCTCCATCTACTGGTCATCTCTCGTCCTTTTATATCTGGGTTCGGATGACCTCCACTTAGGGCATGGCATGATATGTGGGATAGCTTCAGTCAAATCAATTCCATTGGTAAATATACCTGGATTTTTATCAACCAGGGGGGTAAATGAAAGAGATTGGGACTAGTGATAGAGGGGAACGGGCTTCACATTATCTAGTTGTGCTTTTGGCGTCACGTCAGACCCTAAAAACTGCAAATCAGTTTGTAGAGTTCATCCGCTTTTGAGAAATTCGTAACGTAGAGAAGTGTTGAATGAGTCCTTCTCTGGGCTAGTTCTATCTGCTATCGAAGAAACCAACCTTTTCATGCTGGGATTCTACATTAATTCCGACTTCAATCTAAGAAGTACTGGATCATATTCGTCAGGAGCCTGATAAGGATCCAGAGAAGTCTCACTTATTATCAATTTCTTCACTCCATCCACCCATTCAGCATCATCCAACATTAAGTTTCCCTCATCTTCGCTGAAATAGGCCACGCTCCTGAACAGCTGTAATTCGTAGCTTGAGTGAAATCTAGCAATCAAGGTCGCATCCGAGGGCTGTGGGGTTGATTTGCAACGGCGTGGGTGTGGTCCTCTTTCTCCGGCTCTGGCCTCCTGTATCACAAATTCCACGCCCTCCCTCCTACCTATGTAGAAAGTACCAGCAGTAGCTCGGTATGGAATTCCATGATGGCCGGTTGCGAGCTTTCTGAGCAACACTACACCTGTCTCCTCATTTCGAGCGGTCTCATCGAAAGTCATGAAAGCGTATCGCATCCTTCCATCCTCATCCAGGAGGGCGATTTGGTGGATTTCAACAATATAGTCTCTGCTGGCCTCGAAAGCCTCTTCTGTTTGTTCGAAAGGGTCATAGGGAGGTCTTGGAGCCATAATGATTTTGTTCTCGTTCAACGGGGACGGTGTGTTTGCGTAGACGATATTCTGGATGATTTGAGATTGATGCCGATTTGCTCAAGTACTGGGATATATTTTGGGTTGTACGGCCATCCAGAGCAGGAAAACGATTGAATATGAACATATTAAAGATGTAAATAAACAACGTCTGCGACTCATCGAGCAAAGAAGCTTCTTTCTGTAAAAGATAATCTTCTGAAAAAAAGTATATCTATCTGAATCACAGAATATCATCTGAAGTCCTCGTTCTGACGAATTCCGTGGCAAGACTGCCTGCCATTGTCCTAAAGCCAAAATTTGACTTTGTCTATCAATTGAAAAGAGGCAAATCAGAGACATAAAGTGGTGGCCACTTGACAATTGAATTTTCATTCTCACCTACAAAGTTTATTGTTTTAGGCTACTGGAGCTATCACAATATGTGCTGAACCATGTGCATATGTGAGGACTTCGAGTTCCTGTGCTTGGGAAAACTCAATAATATAGTTCATAATTCCTCAGCTGTTTCTTTTGTTATTGGTTCGTTCCGTAAATTGCAATTGAGGGACAAATCAATCTTACATCAACCTTATTTAGCACACGATGGAATTGACATACGTGGGCAGAACCAAATGAGAATCTACGCCCGGCCTCTCTTGTACAAAAAAAAGGGAAAGACTCGACGATGCTACGCAAAAGAGCGAGCAGATCAACCCCTCAAGTATGTTAAATAAGCCAAACCGCCCCAAAATGGTCCTGAGTCTAGACATATGCCAAGCCTATTGTTATGTTCATTTAACTGCTCGTAGGGTTTCGGACATGCCCACATCCGTTCATGCGTCGATACAAGAGGCTTCTGGGGAAGTTAGTTGAAAAGAGCTGAAAATTCCTCGATTAAAATGATGGACAAAAGTCTGATGAGAACCTGACTTCTTCTTTTAAAAGACAGCTTCGCCTCTGCCAAACGGGCGCTTGACTCTGACTCACTGAGCTTCCTGTGTCTAGTCTTTATATCAGAATCAAGGACGCTATCTTGTTCTCATTAGCTGGGCATGATGCATGGAGCCAGATCCTGGCATCAGCCATTCGCTCGGGCTTGGGTAACACCACGTGAAGGCCAAATCCATTGAGCAACGTATATGCAAAATGAGCGGGCCACAGTCAACGACACCCCATCCAAAACCAGACAAAATTGGAAATTTAAGCGACCTGCAGCCAATGGACAGGGGAGTGTGGAGTAAATCGATATACTTGAACATAGTTGGTCTAAGAATTAACTATCTCGGATTTTGTATGCTGGAGGCTGAGGCATGGCGGGGAACCAATCTTCATGGCGCCGCATAATTTCCCTTTTCTGAACGGGTGAATCTCATGTTCGCGTCTCTCCTTCACTTGTCACCTAGCTCAATCAACTCTTTCTACTAATCAACCCACCATGCATTTTATAATTAGCAATTGAACAAGTTGTTAATTGCAGAAAGAAACGAACTATTTAGATAACAGATTGTGAGTTTCTTGGCCTTAGATCAATCAATGCCGAACAATAGCCTAGTTGGCAAGATGGGACTGATCATTGGATCATTTTGAGTGCTGGAAAAATGTAAACAAGTGCGAAGAAGGTAGTCTCAATACGGACACTGCTTTCGTACAAAGAGAAAGTGTTAAATTGGCAGCAGTACTTTGAACCGACGTCTATTCATTTGAAGCTGCGAGAGGTAGCACAGTTAGTTATGACGACAGCCTCTTCCACGACTAGTCATTTGGACACTTGAACTACTACTGATGTGAATATTTAGATAATAGAAAGAAGTTGCTAGGGCGAGTGATCAACGAACGTGATTTACTTCCTTAAATAAAGAGTATACACGGCCGGAGGCATCACAGTATTACATGTATTCTACTTGCAAGCAAAGATTCAAAGCTTACATGGAACGAGACACACTTTCACAGTTTCGACGAACAAAATGTCCTTATTTTCAATTCTTGAAATAGCAAGAGCTAGTATCCTATTCCACGCTCCTCTAATCTGAGCGGATCAACACCTTAATAGAACCGCTTTGGGGATCTGAAGCCGTCTTAAAAGCCTCCACTCCGGTCGCGAGTGTGAATTCATGAGTCACAAGTCTCTTCAGGTTAACCATCCCGCTTGAGAGAACTCGGATTGCTCGCGGCCACATGTTGACATAGCGTTGTTGGAACTCCACCTGGACTTCTTGCGCACTGCAACGCATAAATGGAATCTCCATCTTCTCCTTACCAACCCCGATAATGAATACTTTACCTCCGAACTTGACAGACTGGATAGCATTACTGACGGAACTCTCAACACCGGTGCATTCGAGAGCAACAGAAATTTCTGCGCTATCTCCCATGGCTTGAGAAATCTTCGTTGCAAACTCCTCTGGAGATTCGCGCTTCTCCACCAGGTGAGTCCGCACATCGGGCATGATCGTCTTGGCAAACTCTAGACGTGCAGGGTCAATGTCTGTTATAGCGATCGGCCAGGCCCCAGCTGCTCGGCAGACATCTAATGTGATGAGACCAATTGGACCTGCTCCGCATATGAGGACAGGGTCACCGATCTTAACCCCAGACCTTGTGACCGCAGTCAGCGCAACGCTGAGGGGTTCGAGAAGGGCGCCTTCGTCGTATGAAAGATCTCCAATCTTGTGGCACCACATGGCTGGGTGATTGACGTATCGCCGTAGAAGACCGTGTGAGGGAGGCGAGGATCGGAAAATCAGGTCTTTGCAGCCGTTGTAGCGGCCAGTGAGGCAAGGCTCGCAGACACCGCAGATGATGTGAGGCTCAACAGCAACCCGGTCTCCAACGACCAAATTTTTGACGTCAGGATGGACTGCTATCACGACACCGGCGGATTCATGACCCAGGATATGAGGTCCAGTCACTTTCCATGGTCCGATACCTCCATGCTTCCAGAAATGTATATCAGAACTGCGAACCACAACCTTAAGTTAGCACTGAAATAATGTGGAAGTATGGGCGAACAGACCTGTCGATCTGTTGTAAGTAGGTTCTTACCCGCAAATACCGGTAGACTTGATCGATACGGTGACCTCGCCAGGCTTGAGGCTCGACCCGTTCAGGACCTCTTCCAAGGTAGGGGAGGCTGCACTAAGGTAGAGCTTTTGTTCGAGATCGATATGAATTCCGACATTCTCCAACTTCGGAGTGAGATCTGAGCTTTGTGACACCATTTTTTCCTAAAGAACCAGATTCCAATATGATCGACTTGGAGCCTTAGAGTAGAAGAATTGATGCGAGGTATCAGGGAATAGGATGGGCTGGTAACTAATAATAACCACCGGTAGTAGCCATGAGTAGACTTTATGGTATGCGAAGAAGAAGTGGCGTATTTTCCCCGCAAGATCTTAACTTGCTCCCCTACAAGTGCGGGGAAGGGAAGGAAGTCGTAGAGTGCCATCACCATGCCATCACAAGTGGTGAAAGCATCATCGAACTACCTAGCTTGTGGAGTGGAATTATGGAGACGCATAAATTACTAGAAATGGAATCGTAGCCGATGCAGCCGCTAACAATATGATACTTAGCCCGGCACAGTTCAGTTCCCGGCATGCTTGTCTAGTGGAGTTCACACCTTAGAATTGATGATCATGGGATCTATTAGCTAGAAAAGCCGCCTTGAGTGGTGGAGTCATTGGCTTCGTCTTTATGTCCATTGTCAGACTATATTTACAGTAACTGGCCTGAGAGAGACTTACTCAATCTCATGAGATCTCAGTCCTCCCCCACATACACATTCTAGTCCATCCTACTATCAGTCACCCTCTCACAAACCCACCACCGTCATGCCTTTACTAGTGACCAAGGCAGAGAAGCTGGCTGATATGTTCAGCCTCAAAGGCAAAGTTGTGGTTGTCACTGGCGCATCTGGGCCCATGGGCATTGGCTTGGAATCTGCCCGAGCCTGCGCTGAGTTGGGTGCCGACGTTGCCCTCACATACTTTTCGCGAGAAGAAAGCTGCATCAGGAATGCCACCGAGCTCACAGAATCATATGGCGTTAAAACCAAGGCCTACCAGTGTGATATTCGCAGCTGGAGTTCAGTTCAAAAGGCCGTTGCAGATGTATTGAGTGACTTTGGCCAAATTGACGTTTTTATCGCCAACGCAGGCCAGGCTACCGACTCTGGAGTCCTTGATGGATCGGTAGAGAGTTGGGAGGAGGTTATTCAGGCTGATCTTACTGGAACATTTTATTGCGCCAAGGCCGTGGGGACTCATTTCAAGAGTCGAGGATCTGGATCGTTCATCATCACGTCGTCCATTTCGGGACACATCGCCAATTTTCCCCAAGAACAAACCTGTTACAATGTGGCCAAGGCGGGCTGCATCCACCTCGCCAAATCTCTGGCAAACGAATGGCGAGACTTCGCCCGGGTAAACTCTGTGTCGCCTGGATATATTGAGACAGGACTTTCCGACTACGTGCCCGCTGAGACGAAGCAAACATGGAGGTACATGACACCGATGGGGCGCGTTGGCGAGCCGAAGGAACTGAAGGCAATCTACGCGTATCTGGCTAGTGATGCCAGTTCATTCACGACTGGTTCAGATATTCTTGTGGACGGAGGTTACTGCGTACGATAGAGCGTAATGCAGGCTTGTGTAATAGGGTCGCTTCATCAGATGATGGAGCCGGTGCCGCAGATCTTGGTGCTAGCTGAAACCCGGCCTCAGAGGGGAATGTTCCATGTTGGCTGCTTGAATCCTTCACGGTGCTGTAGTGCTGACGTTTTTCATCTTCAATGCTTCAATGTATCATTCGGTCTGTCTGAGGACCAGGGTGATCCCTGTACGCTGATCCCCCGCTTCCGAAATAAAATCGTATGTCTTCCTTTCCCCTCATTCTCCATTCGACAAAGTGCAAGTTGTTTAACGCACCAACAAGATGTCATCCTCCAACCGTTTGGGAAGGATGCTTCTGCACAAGGTCGTGATACTTGGTGACGGTGGCGTTGGCAAGACTGCCATCACTAACCAATTCGTCTCGCTGTGTTTCATCCAAGCTGTAGGCTCGCTATTGCCGTGTGAGCTGAGAGATGAAAGTCGCTGACTGTTTGCACAGTATGACCCCACTGGCGATGAGAATTACAGGAAACAGATTATCGTAGACGGCACACCGTGCATGGTAGAGGTCTTGGACACGGCGGGCCAGGACGAGTACACAGCCTTGAGAGACCTATGGATCCGGGAGGGGGAGGCTTTCCTCCTCGTATTCAGCATTACATCGAAGAATTCGTTCGCAAACGTCAGGGAATATTACCAGCAGATCCAAGACAACAAGAAATCAAAAGTGCCACTCATATTGGTGGGGAATAAATGGGATCTGGCATCCACTGACCGCGAAGTCTCTTCTCAGGAAGCGGAGTCGCTGGCTAAAGAGTTGAACTGTACCTTTATTGAGACTTCTGCGAAAACCGGCTACAACATCGATGAGACTTTCCATGACCTGATTAGATCATACCGGAAGCATACGGCAGAGCAGGAGCAGGAGGCTGCGGAGGCAGCAGCAGTTGAAGCTCAGAAGAAAGAGGCTTCTCAGACTGACAGCGGCGGTTTGAAGAAGACAGGGTGGAGGAAACGCCTTTCAGGTTTCATTAAGTCTATTGATAAGAACAAAACAGGTTGAACAATTGAGATAATCTGACTCACCTTTGGATATATCTAGAGTGCATTCTGCTCAATCGGAAGTTTAACAAAATTCAGACAACGAACCTTGATAGGCCTCTTATCAAGCAACTTCCATTCCAAGTACGTCCACCCAGGGATCTCTTCATCCGGAATAGCGCTCAAGTCCCAAAGACAGCGACATGTAAACCGCAGAGTGACCCGGCGAAGCTTGGGTAATGAGTTGCTCCGTATCACAGCTATCGCCTCGTCAAAGTAGGCATCATGGCTACTTGGGATGACAATCTCCTCCAAATTAGGAGGCAACAGGTTCATGTCCATATTCACAATTCCATCACTATCCTCGTCTCCAAACAAGTCCTGGAAGCTGACTTCCATCTTACGAAGTGATGGAAGTTCGTGGAGCGAACCCAAAACAGTCTCATCGTCTTCGATACCGTGTGCATAGCTGCGCTCACGGTGATAATCCGTCAAAAGAGTAAACTCTTCTAGGTACTTTCCATACTCCCTCAGTACATCTCCGAAGGGGCTACTGCGCCAGGTCCAAGGGGTTTCGTCATCCTCGTCATCTGTAGGCACGATGGCTGAGTTGCCGTCTGCACAGTTGAGAGACAGACGTCGGAGTTTGGGGTACCATGTTAAGATGTCCTTGAGAGTAACCTCATCCACAACGCAGTTATCAAGGATGAGAGAGTGCAGACTGAAATTATTGCCGGGTCTCGGGACAGTTTCTTCCCAGGCTGAGTGCCAATTCACCCATGCGAGACGTAGACTAGTGACATCTGAGCGTCGTAGCACAGGTTCCACGGAGGTAATTCCGGTATTCACCGGGCTATATCTGGCGTTGATAGAGATGTCTTTGAGATTCGGCAATCCGTAATGTGAGTAGTTACGACTCGGGTCTGGTTCGCCTGGCTGCATTGAGCCTGCTAGCTGGTGGGCAATGCGCTTATGCCAGTGCGAGTCGGAGATGGTGACATCAACATGCTGGACCGCTGTGGTGAGTGCGAGGATCATCGGTACCCCGTCCACGCTTTCGTTAGAGAAGGGTTTAATCTCAAGCTGGCGCTTGAGGAGAGATGGGATGTCTAGAGATCGAAGCACGTCCTCCACAAGCTTCGCCACGCCTGGAAACGTCGGAGGCTCCACCAATTTGGGGAAGCTAATCACGGACAGGCTGCGAACGGCGCGGGCCAGAGAAGGGGACTGGTGCAGGGTCCTTAGGAGTTTTATTTCACGGTTAATCCAGTTCTTGTCATCCACCATGAAGACCGTGTGATGGAGAATTGGCTGAGCAAGGCGGCGAAATCGGCGGCTGACGAGGCATAGTGTGCGGAGAGGCCGGTATGGATAGTATTTCTCGTCGCTAAGAGGATCATTCTGGGGGATCAAGTGGGAGAATATCTGCGTCCAAATCTCCTCTGGGAACGTCATGTTGTTTTGCTGTCAACAATGATGATGTGATGGAAATGGCAGCCCGGGAATTTGCGAAGGTGCGTTTTGAAATTACCCCGACTTCAAGCCTTATGCTTGGAGGCACGTGCTGACCGCCGCTCGAACCTTCCGCGGCAGACTGACCGCTTCGTCTCGAGCGTTCATGCACAGTCACCGTGTACTTGAGAGCCTTGACGTGTTGAGACACGTAGTGGTTAAATTGGGTAAAACCATCCATGTCCTACCATCGCAAAATCAATTGCTACACTGAGGCAATATCGCATTTATTGTGTTGAGATGTCGGGTCTGGCATTCTCTATTGCTGTTCTATACTTGATACTCGAACTCTCACCAGGACAGTGACGCAATTGGTGTGTCTGTCTTAGATAAATACACTGAAATTGGAAGGAAAAATGCGTGCATGGTGGTGAGGGTGGTCGCAAACTTTTGCACGGTTACTTTACTGTCTCAGTAAATCTATCTCGTCCGTGCTGTAGATTAGGTACATGTAGTTCCCTTCAGGCTGTTTTAGTGGTCTCAGCGGACCCTGTCACAGTCCTACAGCTACTAGAAATCTAAGTACATAAGGCATGTAGGTACCTTGGTAGGTGTCTGCAACCAAACAAATTGATGAATAACTTATAATACCTTAATTAGATTAACGACTCCCAATTAAAGTGAAATCTCACTCTCGGCCATTGCAATGTGATATTCGGTCGACGGTCTCAGCGAAGTTAGGGAAAATTCTGTGATTTATTCGATAGTCTAGAACTGAACTACCACCGGCCAAGTCGAGACTATGGTATGGGCCGTTATATATATCTCCCACTTAGTAAAGCGCTTGAGTCCGGGAAAAACGTGGCTGTCATCTCCTGTATTAACTTCCACGACATCAAGCTCTCCTTAATCCAGGAAATCATGAGTTGTCAGCTGAATATGCCATGAGATATAAGGACGGCCTTCGGCCTTTTCGAATAAAACATCCAACTGGTTCGAACAATAACGCTGCGATATCACTGCCACCGCCAATAGTAATGAGTCATCAGGAAGTTGTTAATATAACTAGGCTAACTACACTATTTCAATAGAGAAACCAGAGATGATTGACCCGTTCATAATATTGTACATAAATATGTCCTCAAAGTGGGACTTTATTTGGATAAACAAGCCCCTTCATTTGCAATATATCTAGACATTTCGGCAGAATGAATCAAGTTCTCGAGACCCCTCTATAAGGCTTGGAATTCCATTTAGAGCGGACTAGACCTGCTGGCGATGGGTCATCTCAGCAGCCCGAACCGCCCGTCTCATGATATCCTGCTCCTCCTGTCCGCTGGTATCACCAAAGATCTCGTCCATCTGCTCAAGAGTCTTGCCCATTGTCTCGGGAACCAAAAACCCAAGCCCAGACACCGGCGAGGCCACAGAACCCAAAGAGAGTATGAAAAAGAGTTACATACCATGGCGAGAGTTACATACCATGACGAGAGTTCCCACGCCGATGCCACCGATGGTTCTACCAACAACTAACATTGTGTAATTGACAGCCGCTGTCTGTAGAATAGCACCGATGTTGAAGATGACGACGACAAGGGTCAGTGCCCATTTTCGGGAAATCTTATCAGCCACATATGGCATAAAGATACAACCATTGAAAGCACCGAGGAGGAGCATACCAGTCATTAAACTAGCACCAAAGGCCGTCTCCGTCTGTGGGAAGACGGCGTGAAACTGTAGCATCACATTGATGATAGAGATGACACCCTAGTCATAGCCGAAGGAGAAGCCTCCGAGAGAAGCGAGGAAGGCGGTGCTGTGGGGTTGCGGGAGGGCATTCTTTGCCCAGAATTCATAATCATTTGCCTTCCTGCAGTCAGGAGCACCGAAGACCCTTGGCCAAGGTGTTGATTGATTTCTGAAAGATGTGCTGGGCAGTCCTTGGCTGCAGTGAGCGGAGACAGAAACATGACGTCTTAGTTAGCCTCTCGATTCTTTATAATCTCTCCCCTTCAAACGTACTACTTAAAGCCCAGCGTCACTGATACCTCGGATAACCCAATCACCTTTACAGGTAGACATCCATAGAAAAACCTAACGAGCAAGGCCAGTGGTTGATCATGCTAGTGGAGAACATCTGACTGCAAGCCTAGCCGAGGTAATGTCTGCCCCAATAATTCTGTAGGGAATGAAGTAAATATTATATAGTGAGCACTGAAATTAGCTGTACTGGATCCATCCTTCTCATGCCGTCCCCTGTTCCCCTTTTTCCTCCTCTTCCTCCTCGGAGCTCTGACACCCCGGTGAAGCTTTTCCACACACTTTTGAAAGCCAAAATGCTGAGTCCCATAAAATTTATTCATTAGATTGGATTTATATATCTTCGAGGTTTCCCTGAGAACATGCATCAAGTTCAACTGCGAATATAAATGAAGCAGACACATGATCACAACAAGCGATCTTGGTATGTTTTGCGTTCTTTCTTTTTTTCTTTTTTTGTGGTTATAAGAATCCAATGATCTGTCCATTATTCCCTTCTTCCTACGAGTTGAGGATCAAATGACGTTAGACCAGCTAACTCCTCTCTTTTCCTTCCTCAGGCTCTAGAGACTGTGCTAGTTCTTCTTGTGCCTCTATCGCGACTTGAACTTTCCAATATATTTTTTTAGCGTGAATCACGCATGGTACTCTAGAATATCTTCGTTAATAATATTAATCTTCATCTAGTGATTTTGTTCAATTAACAGTTCGATTATTACTTCTTTTGTTCATGGCTGGATTGCTCTGTGAACCTAGACAGCTCGAAGAAAACAGCCCTAAAACCACATGTCACTGAGCTACCTGGCGCAGTTGGAGAAACAAAGCCTAAAACTCATCCTTCAGGCTGAAAAAAGGTTTGCGCCCCAACCTTGGCTTCGCAGCTGTCAGGAACATTTATTTCTGATATTGCTATGTCACACTGAGCCCTTTCACCCTGTCACATGTCACATTTACCGACTGTAGGTTTTTCGCCATGGTTACACTCGGGAATCGTAACAGCACAGGGTAGGTGCCTCTCCGAAAAGCGGACCTGCGGGCTTGTGGTTGGCTGCCGTTGATACCTAAGGCATTGTTTTTTCCTGTGCCTGATCAGTTGGGCGTCGTCCACCGCATCATCATCGCCATCAAGATGCATCTCCTCCAACTGCCAGTCGAGTTACTGCAGGGCATTGTTGAATACCTTGCCGACGAAAGGGACATCAGTGCCCTTAGCCGGACGAGTCGGCCGCTGTTCAGCGCGGTCATTTCGCACCTCTATGCTAGCAATCATTTCCGCCACGACGGCTCAGCTGTGACATGGGCCATCGAAGCCGGGAGGCCAGAAACCATCCAAAGAGCACTCAGCGTGGGCGTTGACCTTGTGCAGCTGCGTCATATTACCCTTGCGGCCGAGCTTGGCCAAGCCGATCTTCTCAATACCCTGCTGGAAGGCAAACTCAAGTATGGCGGCTTTCAGAGTATGGAAACTGACGAGAATGACCGGTGCCCTTTGCTTGTCGCAACCAAAGCCGCGCAGTACGACACTACCAAGATCCTTCTGGACACGGGCAGAGTCGGGGTTGAAGCGTGGAGCCGTTACGACAGGACGCCACTACACATTGCATCGAGCTATGGAAATCCGCGGCTGGTCAAGCTGCTCCTGGATTATGGGGCTAATATTCTTGCCATGGATAAATTTGGACGCACGCCGCTAGGATATGCCTGTGCACCAGACCACTACTTCTCTAGGGCCCGGCAGACGGCAAGCCGAGAGGGTTACGTCGAGACTGTAAGGGTTCTTATCGAATACGGAACCGATGTTCTCTACAGAGAATTCAACAACTTCACTGCGTTTCATTCGGCCGTCCGTTATGGTTATTGTGATGTAGTCGAGCTGCTTGCTGCTCATGGCGCGGACGTGAACACTCGGGACCGACGGGGACACACACCTTTACAAACTGCTAGCCTCGAATGTGGGAAACTTGAGATGACGCAATTACTCGTTCGCGCAGGTGCTGATATCAGGGCGACGAACTTTCACGGCCGCAACTCCCTCTACATGTCACCAAAGACGAAGGAGCCGGCACAAGTGGCCGAGTTCTTGTTCGCGCAGGGAGTTGAGATGACCAGAGACCTCGAAGGCAATACCCCGCTTCATTATGCCAAAGTTTCCTCAGACCTGGTCGAGGTGTTTCTTGCACATGGAGCCGATATCAATGATTTGAATCTGAGACGGGAGACGCTCCTGCACCTTGCTTCGTCTGACCCAAGTCGAGCTCCACTCGTGGGGATGCTCATCGAGCGTGGCGCGGATATTAAGTTGAAGGATATCCAGGGACAGACACCCCTGTTTCTGGCAGTAAGATGTTCCTCGCTGAAAACGATGGAGGTTCTGCTAGAGCATGGAGCAGACCCTAACTGCCTGCCCAATAGTGGGCTGTCCATGATACAGATGGCAATCTCTCGGCGCTCCGCGGATCAGACTGATCTCCTATTACGCTTTGGAGCAGATCTTGGAAAATTCAACGAGCAGGGAAGAAGCGCCATGCATTACTGCGCCTTGTTCGGACATCTTCGGCTGATGCAGATCATGATTCAGCATGGAGCCTCGACTAACGAGCCTGACGAACATGGGCGCACGCCTCTCATGGAGGCTGTCGTGGGACACTCAATAACTGCGGTAGATTTCCTCCTGAAACACGGAGCAAATGCGCGTGATGCGGATGAGGACGGGCAAACTGCACTGCACATACTCACAACCGTCCACGGTGCCAAGTGGCCCGACATCATCCAGCTCCTCATTCAACATGGTGCCGAGATGGAGGCTTTGAACAGAGCGGGCCGGAGCCCTATGTCTATCCTGAGGTCCAAATCGGATGATTTATTAGTGGACTTGGTCTATGAAGTCGACCCAGATCCTCAACCTTTTTTCGACGTTTGAAGATGACTACAAACCGATACTCGAGTATGCAATCCCGTTGCTGCTTCATCTATTCTCCACTGTCCCTGTGATGAACTAGGTTAGATTAACAATTCTCTCATGGATAAAAAAAAAACGGACCGGCGAAGCTGACGAGGACATATAGAGTCGTTCGTAATTGGTTTCTCCAGGTCTGCTGGTCCATGTTCGCATTGCGATAAGCCAGCCAACCAAAGCAGCGCAACCAGGCTTGTCTTGCCTTCCCCAACCAAAACTCGCCAGTTTGTCCTTGCTGGGGCTAGCACACTTGCGAGCTGCGGCAACTCGTCAGCACGAAAAGCGTTGTGGCCCCGCAGCAACTAGGATGCTATTGCTCATCGTGGATCATCTCACAAATGCGTATGAACTTGTTCGGTCTAGGTGCTTAATTGCTTACTCTAGGAAACGATCTTGCCATGGATGGGGTTATCTAGAAAGAGATTGAAATGTGTCAGATGAAGTCCTTGTAGCTGTCACATATGAAATCACTAACATAGTGACATATCTGGTAGTTGCTCAGTTCATGGTTGTGTGAGGTTTCAAGCCATGGCAAGGCATTAGGGCTCAAGGGGATAGGCTCTGTTCAAACTTTCCATTTTCTGTTTTACGTTTACGTAGCAATTAATTTCTCGTCTGCTATTGAGATTTATCGTTAAACCTCCTGTTTCTCGGTGCTGTTGATTAACCTGCTCATCATCTAGCCGCCTCTGTTGACCAGGCTATTTGACTTTGGCAGGGAATGAGCTCCAGAATAAGCACACTAGCGTCTCAACACTCGACTCGGAGACTTTCATGAGCTCGGAGACATACCTACTGCTTATGAGCTAAACCCATCAGGGTTCTCCCATATCTTCCTCTTAACTCATGCTTCTTCTCAGGTATATTAGCCATCATCCTTGACCCGCAACTTGTCGGTAGTTATAACGTCACAAGCCCAGTGACCTAAATCCCCCCCAATTCGGTAACCTACCAGTTTTTCCAGAACTCGATACCACAATGTCCGGATTGAAGACGACGGCAGTTGACCACTTCGAGTCTCTTGCCGCTAACTATGAAGCGAGCACTGGCGGTGCCACCCGCATGGTTGCCGTCCACCTTGTATCCCTTGTCACCCCCTCCGTGGGCGATTCCTCTGCCGTGATCCTCGATAGCGCATGTGGCTCAGGCGTTGTTGCCGATGAGATCCTGAAGAAGTACCCTGCCGCCACCATCCATGCCGTTGACGCCGCCCCAAGCATGGTCGGCATCGCAAAGGCGAACCTCAAGGGTAAAGCCACCTCCGCCCCCGTCGAGTTCGGGGTGATGCCCGGCGAGAAGCTCGAGTTCCCGGACGCCACATTCTCCCACAGCTTCACCAACATGGGCATCATGTTCTTCACCAACCCCGCCCAAGGCGCCGCCGAGATCTACCGCACGCTCCGCCCCGGGGGCACGGCTGTCGTCACATCCTGGTCGAAGCTGGGCCATCTTGACCTGGTGTTCAGGCCAGCCCACGTGGCCGTTCGCCCAGATGACGAGCCCGTGAAGTTCCCATTACCGAAGGAGTGGGAAGACCCAGAGCACGTACGCAAGGTTCTCTCTGATGCCGGCTTCAAGGACGATGCGATTGAGGTGTCGGCTTTGCCGGTGCAGTACGGCGCCAAGAGAAAGGAGATGCTGCTGGAATTCATGATGGATATGGGAGGGAAGCTTTTGATTGGCGACTGGCCAGAGGCCGACAAAGACGCCTTCAAGAAGGCGGTAGCGGAGAAACTCGAGCAGGAGGCGAAGGAGTACACGATGCTGAGTGGCGAGCCTGGATTCGGGCTACCGATGGAGGCTATTGTGGTGGTTTGCAGGAAGTAGATACTGCTTATTGAGTCTATAGTTGGGAAGCTAGATGATTGCGCGATGGACGCATAGGGTCCCGTTACAGGCCTGCTGTTCTCGATGGTATGTAGCTCTTTGAAGAAATGGCATAGGAGTAATGAATTGATTTCTAGTTGGAAGTAATAATTCAAATCATGGAGACTAGCCTTCTCTACGGTCGCTACGGTCGCCTCGCTATCTCATTCATTTCGTAACCATTTAGCGAAACGGCATTGCTCCCCACGCATCTGGCTCTTTTTATATTTAAATAAGTCTCCTCACAGAACATGAAACATGTAGCATGTAGATTAGATCTTGGTTATTTTAATTTATTTCTAGAACCTGTTTTTACTATCGTGTTTCGCCATTGGATCACCCTGTTACTTTTCGATTTTCCACTGCCGCACTACACCTGGCTCGCCAATCCAATGTCGCAATGTCGCGGAAGGGTAGATGGCCAATATCTACATTTAAGACACATATTCGGATACGAAAGAATCGAATGTTTGTAGATATGAATATTTAGATGCCAAGATTAGAAAGAGTGACACGAAGAGGGAGGAAATTCTCCGAAGCTGCTCGTGTCCAAATACGAGAAGTGATGACATAGTGCTGCAACGCCAACCTTGATTGTAGGATGCACCAGGCTCAAAAGCTCATGTATGGATGTAAAATACGACAGAAAACAACAGCTAGGGCCCTGAATCGGTTGGCTATTCCTTGCAGCTCGCTCGGAAGGCAGACAGAAGTTGGTTGATTGACCCCTCCTCTGAGGTCAAATTTAGTAATTCGTCGCAGAAAGATCTGACATGGGTTATCGTCAGCACATCCACAAAGTGTTGCCCTCTTGCTGTCGGTTACTGATGAGTCTCATAGATTATTCGCCTGCTGAACCTGATACTGTCTATGGTGTTGCCTGACGAACAGAGCCTCAGGTGACCCCTTGCTCTTAGACCGGCTGACATCATTATCGGGACTGCATGAGATCAAGTTCTAGAGAAATGGCCGGTTGGGAGCATTTTGTTTCTCTGGTCAAGGCTTAGGATTCAGGGCAATCTTGTGGAGATTTTTCCCAATGGTTTGCATTTACAAACAGTAGACTTTTCAATGGTAAGGCATTTGCCCCCACTGGGGACGGCGGTCATGCAAACTTTCGTTTATGTACGTGTACTGCTGAACAAATTTCCTCGAATTTGTTGACTGTATCATTGCAAAACAAGTATATGCTAAAAGAAAGTCGTGATATTTCATTGATCCGGACCCGCCATATCGCCCCTATGAACCTAGGAATCAATTGATTTTCCTCCCATGCATTCACGCGTCATATGGATTCGCATGTATGCCTGGCCAGACCGTTCAGATCATCAAATGATATTGCTTGCCCCGTAAATCCCAAAGAATAACGAAAGTGAAAAAAAACTAAGAATATATACACGAATAATAATAATAATAAAGAAAGTGGTAAGATTGAAAGATGTTGAAAATAAAAACTCTGAGCCGTGGCATCAACACGACGGAGAGTGCATCGAGATGAACGTTATGTCTTTGAGACTGTGCCTATTGAGTGACATTTCTCACTTCTCCTGCGATAAAGCTTCCGTTGGATCTGAGGTGCTGAATAGCCAATAAGCAGGGTTAATGATCGCATTTGCGGGTGGCGGCCTCGGGTTCTCCTTGGGGATGGGGGTTATTTGAGTCGGATACGCGTGCGAAATGGGAATATCATTCCCTCCATTTAGTGGCATCCCATTAAAATGATCTCTCCCATCGCAGGGGGGGATGAAACAGCCTGGAGGTAGAGGAGGTGAATCGTGCCGCGAGGCTGGAAGGCTTTGGAAGTAAATTTGGCAAGCGTCGGTGAGAGTCCTCGTTACAAAAGAACCGCTTGTTTCTAGCTCGCTGCTTGGAAGAGAGGGCAAGGAGGCATGCCATACTGCCTCCACGTAAGGTGATAGTAGGGAAACAACCTCCTCGATATTGTTATGTTGAATGTAGGGAGATTGAGGAACGGAGTAACCAGGGAACAAGCGGCGCCAAATAGCAAACCACTGAGCTTCGCTACTGCCCCCTCGAATCAGGCGGACAACTTGTAGTTCCTCAGGAGAGAGCCCTTCTGGCCTTAACTCGTGCTGACCCTCGCCTCGGCAAGGGTGGTGCATTCTGGATTGCTCATCCATGAACGAGATCCAGCACGCTGGGCAGAAATAGGGTGGAAGCGAGTGCCGTCGAATAAGGTGTTGTTTGATGTCTGATATCCTGGGAAACCGGTGCTTTTTGCATTCGTCGTAAACCTGAGGGTTGAATTTATAAAAAGGGCAGGCAAAAGAAGGAGAGGAATGCAATGCATGAGTTTCGTCTACTGCGTCCAGAGTAGTCATGGAAGTCGACGCAATTGAATAAGGGGGGGAGTCTAATCGGATGCTGTTAGCACCAAGAAGTATTTAAACCTGCACATTTTCTTGAGATTTATATCGCTGGAGAGAAGAGATTTACCAAATGGATTAGGGGCTGAGAAGTGACCTAATGGTCTCGCTAGTCGACCTGTTGACCTAGGTGGTTTGTTGGTGACGATGGAACTCATGGCAGATGTAGAAGTAGGCGGAGAATAGTTGTGCGACTTGAGACAGGAGAGAAACACTGGCGCAAAGGGGATTTGCTGGCTCATCCTCGGGATATGAATCGCTCAATCAAACAGGCGCAATCGCTGTACTTAAATACTTTCAACCTCGATGAAGTTGGCACAGACGCCGTATTCGGGCTGGACCATCGCGGGCGGGACGCGGTGGATCCCGTGAGAGATCGTATCGTCACAGCGCTGCAAATGGAAATAAGACCAGAATACTAGGTATATGACCCATTCCTTTGCCTCTATCACAATGGAGGGGGGTGGGAGACTGCATGTCCAGGCTAAGTTCCCGTTGGGGCGGTTGGTAAGGCGAGGCAGTGGAGGGCAGGGCGAACCAGTGCGAACCAGCATCACCGAGAACTTGCTTGAGTTGCATTCCGAAAGTTGGAAGACCAGAAGTCTCAAGGTACCCCGCTACTCGGATGAGATCACGTCGAGGCGGCGGACATGGATCTTGCGAGACCCCAGTAGCTCCTGAAAATACCTCTCTCTACTCGCACAAATGCAGAAAAGACGGATTGGGACTCTCTATGGCTGTGCCTCTAGCGATGGGCTAACCTAAGTACCTACCTGGAGTGCGGAATCATGGCATTTTCCTTTGGCTGCATTGCTAGTTGGTGCCTCGGGACTTATTGACCTGGAGATCTCCGAATTGCCTGGAAGCTCCCGTCTGGGCTCTGGCTACGGCGCGGCGGCTTACCTGCCCCTGGATAGTTTACCCCGAAGAGCTGCCAGCGTCGAGGCCTACGTCAGACGTCAGTCAGATGCGTTTGTGACATAGAACTTTGGTCTCGAAGGCTACTAATCTGGGCTACTAGATACTGCACTGCTTCTTTTTCCGTCTCCAAAAATGGTGGTTTTAGGAAAAATCTTTGTGTGTTGGGCTTTCCCCCAACTCAACAAGCGTCTCGCCTGGGTCAGACGGCTTCTCATCATGCCTCTCCGTCGAAGAACTTTTAATAGAAGGTTTTTCTGTACCTTCTGCAGGGGCGTTTTTCTTCTCTTTCCACACATGCGTAAATAAATTTAGCTGCGTGAATAAATTTAGCAATAGTTGATCCACCATATTTACTCAGATCTTGAGAAATGCATTTCTCGCCACTGCCCGTAACCACACGCATTCGGAATCTGGGGCACACTCATGAACCAGGCTCCTCTTTGCCTCCCAGGCAACTTAAAATCTATTCATGGCTCCCTGTGGCGATTGTCATCCGGCCGGCAGACAGGGGAGGGGAGCTAGGGCTGAAAGGCGAATTCTCATTCTATTTCAATTTACGTGGCGCGGCATGATCTGACCGCCGTTTGGGATGGGCGTGTACGGTCTTATGCTAAATAAATCGCTCCGTCCCGTGCGCGGAAATGTCGGAGAGCCTCAGCCAGGCTTATGTACACGCTATGCGGTGGTGCAGTTGTCATGGAATGCTGAGGTGGCCTCAACGGACCAGCGAAGATTCAGCCGCGCAGGGAGCGAGACTGCCTAATGCCTGTAGGTCAGTAATCAGCTGTGTCCTGTGATGCTGCAGCATGGGATTTCAAGCAGGGGTCAGACGGTCCCTTCTATGAGCATCGCAGGTGTGCTCTCTAGCCAAGGGAACACCATTTCGTATCCATATCTGCATCGATGCATATAACCCATCAGCCCATGTCACTCTTGGTTTCTTGGTTTCTTGGTTTCTTGCTTGCTTGCGTCGGGGGCCATCGTGTCAAAATGTTATCCCTCCAGTTCCACTTAATGCCACATCGCAACCCCGAATAGGAGGACGACAGGGGCCACGCGACGTTGATCATTGGCTTTTTCATGGACTGGTTCTCTCCTTGTGCAGTGCTGCAACATTTCCTGGGATAAGCAATGCGACTGTGACGAATTAAACGCTGCGTGAGACCGCCTTTCAATTCTATGTCGAAGCTGGACTGGATGTTTTCTTGGGAACACTAATCCTCGGGCTGTATTCAATGCCATTTTCATCAGCTTTTCAAAGGTCAAGAAGCATTTCTATTGAAGCTATTTTCTCTAATCCGCTACACCCCCCTTCTTTCTTCGTGCCAGTGCAACTAGCTGCCTTACTTATTCTTCTGGATGCCGGCAGATATCTGCAGTGATCTGGCCTTGGGCACCAGAAACACCCACCACTCCAACCCCTTGCTCGTTAATGTCGAGATGGCATTGGCATCAAGATTATCCTCTGGCACACGCCTAAGATTATCTTGGCTAGGCTTGAGCTTGGTGTGTTAAAGTGTTTAGATTAAAGACGAGTATGAAGCTAGGTGAAAGAGAGTATGTTTTACAGTCATTCGACGAGCTAACGGTAAGTGAGTCTTTGATATGAAGGCCTATAGACTTTTACTTCCGCATGACTGTAGCCGTGGGCTAGTAAAGGCTTTTTTTTATCCGTTAGTATTGAATGTGTTGAGATGTCGGGTCCGGTCATCTTCTATTGTTGTTTTTAACTTAATCCTCTCTCCCGTATTCAATGCCAAAATTTAGGATCTCACAGCTATGTATCGCCCTGTTCCTTATTTGCAAATACTTACAATGCAAGGGTATTTTAGGGGCCTGCCTCTCATAGCTATGGCCAGAAGAGCTTGCAGCCTAGCCGTCTCACGGTAAATACAGAAGTTACCACCCTAAACCATATGGTACATAGACATGCATATTTCCAAAATCCGGTAGACGGGTTACTCTTTGAATTAGGACTCATCTTGGGGAACAACTACAGATGAATCCTAGGCTTACGGAAGCACAAGGAAGTGATCCTGACCTGAGCTAGCTCTCTGTATCGTTGAAATGAATGTAAGTCGTATGGTTCAAATATTCTCAAAAAACCCAGGCTGAAAATTGGTCGTTCGCTCAGAGGGTGAGGGTGTATGCGATACCGAAACTGTGTTATTATTGATGAATAATCAAGAGACCTTCGTAATGACTAAGTTCAAGGCCAGCAGGCAGTCATTTACTGATTACAGCGTCGACGGGCAGATCATCACGATATGGCATCTTTGAAAGAGGGTTGTTGTGTTGTCACTGTGGAGATCTACCGATAACTTCTATCCTCTTGGCGACTTGAGAAAGGTATCCCTGGAAACTTTAGATCGATGTACAGTATTAATAAGTCTAAGAGATGGGACCATTGGATCCTATGTGGGAAGGGTATATGAAGAAAAATTACAAGTCTCTTGGTCATTGAACAGGCTATGTATCAATTGCCATCACGAACGCCTGGAATAATGGACCAAGTTTCCCCAGTGAAAATCAAGCCCCCTTCTTGTCTCATCTGTTCAGGGTCCAGGTACACTCTCATCCCAATGTTATTGCTATCAAGCCAGAAGACACGGAGAATCATGTAAACCTTAGAACGATCTCCGATGCTATGAGTATTTTGCATCTGGTCGAGGTCAGTCGTAGCTACGCTTTGGATGAAATTTGTCTGGGAAATAACTCACAAGTCGGTATTGGTTCTTACTCATGTAAAAAGGAGTGGCAAGCGGCCCGGTGCTAGTCTTGACCTCAAGGAGGTACTTGGGACGAGCGGCTCGCCATGCCTCCCCAAGATAACCGTTGTCAATTAATAGGGTAGTGAACTCTCCTTGCACGTCCGGGTATACAATATCGGCCGTTTCTCGCTGATACCATGGTTCCATATCACGGTAGTCTGGATGCTCAGTGACATACTTTCGGATGGTACTCTGCCAGTTGCCACGACTCCACCCCGGGAGCTGAAGAGCGGAGAGCAGTTCAAACACCTGCATCCGTAGTTAGTGACTCAGTATCGATATCTTATAATAGTATAAGCCTTACGTAGAGCTCTCCGGCGGCTCCGACCATCTTGTCTCTCTCAAGTTGGCTGGTCGACCGGAATCTTGTAGCCACGTCCAAGCCATCAAATGATTCGTATATGTTTCCAACATTAGGCAGCTCATTAATCAGCCCCGTCATGTCAAAGGCTCCAACAGAGGGGAAAACAGCACTTCGAGACGCTGCTATGACACGATTAAGCAGCCTCAAGTATCCAACGTCTCGGACCTGTGACGCCCCTTGCGGACTTGGTTGGTCCTGGTTCCAAACGAGCGCACGCGAATTCTGGGCTTGTTCACGGAAAATTGCCTGGATGCTCCCGACAGTAATCTGATTATCACCATCACTTGTTGTTTGAGGCTCGGAAGGGCCACGGAGGTGAGCCCTAGGAGAGAGAGCACCCTCTCTGACGGGAGTTGCGCCATATAAGTCAGTCGTGTCTGTCCTGGAGGATCTCGACGGTGTCAATTGAATTGAAGAGGGTTCCGAATCCTCTTCATCGAGAGCGTTGTCGTCGCTGTCGCTTTCTTGGTCATATTGAGGGTCTCGGTTATCTATCCCCACCTCAAAGACGCTATTATGATTTAGGATGTCGTCAACAATAGCCAAATCGCAGGATAAGATCGTTCTGAGAATGTGGATCCCATCTTTGTCTTCCCTGTCCGATATGTTTGAATCCCACTCCCTCATGAGCCAACCAGCCAACTTGTTCGGTAGGACGGAACTGTAGGAGAGGTTTCGCTGCTTCCTGTTTAGCGGTACATAAATTTTGAGTTTCTTCTGTGAATCATCAATATGCCCCAATCCTGCAGTCTCCTCAAGGTCAATCGATTTTCCACCTTGAGATATTGAGATAACAGAAGAGATAGCGTCAGATTCGATGACCTCGGCCTCGCGGAGGACTTTATAGAGAGACTCGGGGTCATCTTTGTCATACTTGGGACTCTGAAAAGTTTTGGCGATACTGTTGATCTGTTAGTATTGACCACTACGACCATGAACTAATGAGCGCTTACCGGAGAATCGCGTACGCTTTGCGACTAATATCATACTTGTCTTCCGTGATAGGTCGCCTCCTTGCCGAGGAAGAAACTCTCGTAAACTCCCTGACAGATTGAGAAAGATACCTTTCGTCTAATTTCGCCCAGGAAATAAAGGGCTTGAGTCGTCGAACCTCTTCAAAGCCGTAATCAAGCAGGTTGATATAAATTTCTAAGCGAGAACAGAGCTGCCGATCATCACCAACAGCAAATACTGTGTCGATGTTCCCTAGAGCTGAGCTCCCATCAGGGTATTTGACGGGGAAAATGTTCTCCCTCAGTAACGGAATTGGGTCAATGTGCGTTCGGTCGGTCTGTAGGAGCGCATTGAGTGACCAAATGCCGTTTTTGATGTCATCGATGGATTTCTGGCCGTCGGCATGCCGAAGCTCATCGTATATCATCTGAAGTGTGAGAGATTGGACACCCAAAGTCCCCGTGAAAAACGTCTCCAGGCTGTCGTAGTCGTCATTTAGTGTGACCTTTCCACGTATCTCCGATGTGCTTGACCACAAACAGTCAGACGACCTGTACCAATCAGCAACTCCGTGTCTGGTGACATAGATAAGTCGATTCTCGATAAAAATCCTCCTATTGTCTTTGGTTTAGTGTTTATTGACTGAAATTGAGTGTAAAGGATTTGAGCATACTTCATTTCGGCCTTTGGTGCATTAGAACGGGCCAGGAATTGATAGAGCCCTTCGACCTGCTCCCCACCGTTGTCACGTATACTTATATCTCTTACCCATTCAAGCTCCTTGACAATGTCCTCCCATGTGACGTCTTGAATACCCAGAGTATCGTGGAAAAACATAGTCAGTTTTTGCATCTGACCAACATCTAGGAATTGCCTATACCGCTGGGCGACAGCGTACATGTACTCCATGTCTGCGGGGCCTTCCCACCGGATGTCGTCGCCATCACCCACAAATTCCCCATCGACAAATTCACCAGATGCAGTGTGATAATTTGGTGATAGTATGAGAGATTTGTTGAACATGAAACTCCTTTGATATCATTATTATTGGTGGCTTTGATATGAGGAGGAAGAACTGGGATATACTGACCTCACTTCTGCTAATGCCATTGCTCGGTTGTCCGCAATCGTAATTTTCGCTTCAATTGTCTGATAAATTTCAAATATACCGCCGACCATCTCTGTTGAACTTTCTAGTCTTGCCAAGCGAAACAAGACCTCAAGGTAGAACTTGAGGTCATCGTTTTTACCAACGTTGAAGTCTCTGTGGAGAAACGCCCACTTTCCTTCAACGTCCTTGGTCTCAAAGCCGTCGATCCGAAGAAACGGGAAAAATACTCTACCATCAGTATACTTGGCGACATACTTCTTCAGATATGGGACTGGAAGCCAGGGCTGAACAATCACTCGGAGAGGACGTGAACTTGGCCCAGCCTCGCAATGTTCGTAGGTCCACAGGCCCTGGATTAGTTCTTGAATTTTTTTGTTTCCTTTCACTTTGGAACTTTCATTCTTCCAAAGAAACTCTAGAGCATCAAGGAATTTGTCTGGGCGATACCTAGCAATATACTCGAACGGACTAGACAGTTTGTCCAATCGAGGGACAGTAACTGGCAGACGCTTTGAGATATTTACGAAGGTATATAGCCAATCTTCCCACGAAAACAGACTTAACTCATTCGCTGGGGGGTTTCCGAGATAAGAAGAATGTAGATAATCAACGGCGTAGCCCGGCGCAGTTTCTGTTGGCTCCAATAGCAACTTCGGTCCGCAAGGATGGTCATTTGCAATATAAACATACTCTCTCCTTGGGTCTTTGAGCTGTCTGCCTTCTACATAAATGAGAAGGTTGTCAACTTTTAAGCGCCTGTTGCCATGATTATGGGTGAGGTACAAGTAGTGGAGGTGGGAGATAGACCCTTCCAGCGTGATCGTTTGTCCCGGTTTGTTATAGAACTCTTGAATCGAGTTTTTAATCTGGTCAACTTGTGCCTCAACAACGCCAATGTGCTTGAAAAGCTTCTCGCGGTCCGGGTTAACAAGAGCTCTTGGATCAAGTAGCCAGAGGCCCAAATCCAGCGGTATTGGAATGGACTGAGTTGTAGGTAAATACACCGGGCCGAAAATAATAGAAATCCAGTCGCCATCCTGCAATGGAATAAGAGGTAGTGCTCTTATCATTTCAGCAATCCTCTTGGAGTTCTGGTCTGAATTCTGGTCTTTGGCCCAGTTTGCCAGTGGAATGGCAGCACTTGAATGCCACAACTGGCTCCTAGAAAAATCTTTCATTCTGGAGTTTGATGAATAGAGATCGCACTTGAGCAACCTGAGAGCCATTGTAATGTTATCCACACTCAATCCGTATTTACAGAGTATTGATATATCGTTCTGTTTGTACATTTTTGATATATATGGATCCTCAGTGCTATCGTCGTACAAACAGTCGCCATTTACGTCGCTAAACTTACTACGAAGTTTATAAACCTTAGTTATGAGACGACCCTGCATTTGATGTCGTGACCGCATGACAGGGGTGTTTAAGATCCGATGTTTGATCTTCTCGTTGAGACTTGACCAAAAGCTATTACTGCTATTTTCCGTTGATGGTAGAAATCGCGGCCATTGATAGCATAAAGTGGGGTCGTGGAAGAACTGTAGAATGGCTTTCACAAAAGCAGAAGCAATTCCATCTTGGAGGCTCAAGTTCCTCCTCGATGATGTGAGAATGTCCTGACGATTGGCGCTGGTATCGAAATCGGACTGAATGATGAACTGAGCAGGTGGAAGAACCGTGTTAGCTGGATGTGTGGACTTAGAACAGCGAAGGGCCTCAATACCTTGTATTCAGACTCCCTAATGGGAAGAAAGGCAAATAGCTCTTGCTTCTCTAGTAACGGTTCAGATTTGTCGGTGAGCGGAAATGCCAGGACGACCTCAGCAGTGGCGGATATTCGTCGGGCCTCCTCCGTATTGGGAGGATCTCGGTTGTCGCTTCTGGCAATGTTTGTTGCTGTATGCTTCGTGATATGATAATATCGCAGCTCTCTCATCTGTTGCCCCTGGGTTATAGATATAGTCTCCAGAGAAACTCTGTTTGTACCAGCATCCGCGGCCTTGAAGCTCTTGGAGTCTTTAAGACTGCCATCATCGTTGTAAAATGACACGCTGATATTCTTAATCTTCTTCAAGAATAGCAGGCAAGTCTTTTGCAAATCCTCGAATTGCTTGAAAATGATTGCCTTCAGATGCTGAAGCTCCCCAGCCTCCCTTTTCTCGTGAATGTAGAGAGTCATGCGGGTGAATGGAAGAGGACCATCCTCCTCTGGCTCTTTCCAAATAGGCCTTATCATGCCCAGACCTGAATCTCCTTTCTCATGGCGAAAGTAGAAAGAGAAGTGTCGCGATTGTATGTAAACCTTCCAGGCGGCAATAAAAACCGACTTGAAACCGATGCCTTTAGCGCCGATGTAGCCATAAGATCCAGCTTTGGAACTTTGCCCAACAGAGCAAATTGCGCCTAGATCCCTTTCATTGAACCCATCCTCGTTGCATTCAACAATGATACGATCTGGGTGAACCTTGAAGGATATGGACGGGGTATCCCCGTTCCTCGTAGCCTGTTCGAAAGAGTTGTCATCGGCGTTCTGGAGCAGCTCAAATACAAATCGAGCACCACTTCCATATATGTGCTTGGCAAGACTATGGATTCTAGTCAGTATATGTAGTAGAGGGTGGCAGAGGTTGAATGAATACTAACGTCTGGACGGAATGCCCTGCCACTGACTCCAAAATTGCCCAGTTCCGTTCAAGCTTGCGACGACTTTCTGTATCAAGTTGGCTAAGAATATCGTCAGAGAGATAGCCGTATCGGCTGGTGTTTTTCTCGACCATCTCTCTCGCCTCCTTTTTGCTGGCCATTTTGACAGGTGAAGGAGGAAGTATCTTCAGAGTTGGTGTTAAAAAATATGGGACTCGAAACCGGCGAGTATTAAGTATAATTTGGATGAAATGTGTAGAGAGAGATGTTAAAGTTTGGATCAAAGTGGAAGAGAGCAAATCAAGAGGAGAACTTGACTGGAAATTAAAACTATGGCGGGATGGGTTCTAGTGTATGCCGGGCGGACCTTGGATACGGCTGAGGCCACTGAGTCCATGATATGCAGTTGGTTGCTAGTCATGTTCCAACTGGCTACATTGAGAACAGGTGAATGCAAGCCAGAGCCAGTAATTTCCAGGTCCTACTTAGCGCCTTCTGAACGGCTATGGATTACCAAGTTGTGTATGGAACTTTAGTAGAAGAGGGTGGGTGGTGATTCGTAGCTAGGTAGTGGACACTGTGGGACCTGTGAGGCGCGGCTGCATGAAAGGCGCTTATTGCAGGCTTGGTGAACGGCTCCTACGAATTACCTAAGTTCAGGGGGAGGGGACTTCTCACTTCGGTTTCGACTGCATATCTGGCTTTGGCCTGATTGGCTGTATTTTAAGCACATTTGGCCGGGCGGCCACGAACTCGCCCCGTCCCTAGTCTGAGCGGTTATCATCCCTGGCGGAGAGCAGAGAGGGATTTACGGCTGTGCTCGACTTGCCGTGCAATCTTGAGCAGCGAGTAGAATGATATGGTGAGCATTCTGATCGGTCGTCAAAATTGGCTTCATTTACTGATAATGATTAAATACTTGAATATGAGATGGCAAATGAGATTGCACGTCAATAATGGCCAGGTGCCTCTGCGTATTCGAAGATGCAAGACAATAGGATGGAGTAAAATATAGTATATTATCCTCAGATTTAACATCATTAGTATCTCGATTACATTATGTAGGTTGAATTCAAGTGTCATCGCCAAAGCTGAGTCAAAATAGGTTGCGAGGTCCTGCACTCAAAAAATAAGACTAGAATGAGGGGAGGGTGGAAACGGGCTTTTCGGCATCATCAATCTCGGACCCTTCTCTCATTGCCTGCCGTCTCTCGCCCACCCACTGTGTCCATTTCTCCAGGAACGGCTTCAGCTTCTCGTTGGAGTCTGGTATCTCCTTCCGCCAGCGGGCTTCCTCCTTCCTCAGACGAGCCTCGAGATCAAATACCTTGAACTCCTTTCCATTCACTGTCACAGTGATTCTGTCTATCACCTGCTCGTAGAGGATCAAGCCTCTCTCCACCATATTGACGTCAAAGGACAGAATTCTGTCCAAATAGCCAGATAGATATATCGCCAGACGCTCCTCAATCGGTAGCGAGACATCGTCGTGGATTGGAAACCTTTCTAGCCCCTTCTTTGTCACCTCATAGCGTCTGTCATCGACGAGGATGCTCTTGTAGCCTGATTCACCACTAGGTGCCACGACATCAATAACGACTTCGTTGACAACATATCGTGAAGATGTTGTAGGTCGGCTGTATTTAGAAGGGCTGGGACGTAGAAGTCCGGGCCCGTAGTCCAGAAATTTCGCGAGTAGCCAGTAGAATGACCAGTGTAGGACAGTTGACGATCGGTGACCACCATCTACTATAACTCTATGACGATACATGTTCTCCAATGTCACAGGAGCGTCAAAAGTTCGAACTGTAGCGTAAAGAGAGCCAGTATACTGTGTCCGAGGCAGAGCGGGGATGGACCAGGTGGGCCAAACCCCAGACTCTTTGACGTACATGATGTCGACGTGGCAGTCCGTAGATAGGCAAGGGATGAGTTCCTTGACTTCACGATGAATCTGCCGATTTACTAGGAGAAGAGGGAGAGCAGGATTGGTGGGCGCAAGATACCAAACCCCAACGTAAGTGCACTCCCCGTCGTCCTCGGTATCTTGCAGTATATTTCGGTCTGTTCGGCTTTCTGAGGGACCCGAGGGTGGCAGGTTCAGGGAACAAATAACCCAGTGGAAGACCACCAGCCTGATTTCCAGAGGTATTTCGAGTAAGAAGGACATGTTGAGGATAGGTTTGGTAATCTCTCTTTGATTACGCGTTTATGTTTATTGTATTGCGAAGAAGATGATGATGAGGGGTTTAGGTAGCTTAAGGAAATCATTGGCGTGGAACGCTGAGTCAGATATCAGTTGGCGCTTGTTAGGATGCCAGCGTTTTTCTTTCTTTTCTTTTTCTGGTTGCTCAGGCAATTGATAGGTGCATTTAATTAAGATGTGTCATGGACTAGGGGTTTTTGAGACCTACATGTTCTTCCATGCCTGATTTGACTCTTCAGCTGATCAAGATGTTTATACTTGCTCATTATTGGGCAAACGCCGGAGACCACCATGAGACAGATATTGAGTCCCACAGCCATGAAGGCCACCCCCCAGTCCATCCCACGACCTATGGTCCTCATATGAACGAAAAGCAGGCCGAGTGCCTGTTCGGGCTGCAACCTACCTATGTTAGCTCGTTGGGCCCCGCGGAGCCCGAGGTGAGTTGCGGTTTAGCCTTCTATTTGCGGTCATAACTTCCGCGGTTCATCCCCACAGTGGCCGTCTAAAAAAAGCCGCAGATTCATAATAACTGTGTTTCTAATGAAGACATCCATTTCCCTAAGCTTACCTCCCCAGAGCTTTAGACAAGATGCGACCATTCGGCCATCTTCCCCTGGCCCATCGTCGTGCTGCACGTAACCGCCATGGCCACGACACAGAAATTTCAAGACGAAAACATAGATTTTCTTTTGACGAAAGTTGTCAAGAGAGTGAGGTGCCCTGGAAATTTTCATGCTTGTTGTACAGTGTGGTGGCATAGTAGAACATACAGAGCCATAAGGCGCTGGTTTTGGGTGTCCGCGAATTAAAGAAACGCATCAAGAACCTGAAGCACATTATCAAGCAGAAATTTCAGACAGCACAAGAGATTATCGCCCAACCCCAAGTAGAAATGGAAATGCGCGACGAATGCATTGCATCATTGTTAAAGAAGGTTGATCTCGTTATAAGCTTGAGCTGGATGGGGCGCGTAAAGTGGTTCTTTGCCAAGTCAAAGCCTGCCACGAGTAGAACTACGATAGTCTCACTCAAATTAACAGTAAGCAATTCTATTGCTGAGTTTGGCTTCATGCATGGTGAATATACCGAGTAAGCTACTTCCGGTAACTGTAGGGAGAGAATTCTCAGCAGACAGAACTTTTGGGAATACTCAACCACCTCCGGTCACAATCAAAGAGGTGATGCATTCACCGGATCATTGCCGCAAATTTCTGGATCTCATAGCAGCATAAAAACAGAGGGCACATCATCCAAGCGGAACACGTTCACAAACTCGCCGCAAAAGGCAACGGGGGCAGAAGAGGGCTGGGTTCCGGGCTCGACGTCAAACTACACCTCCCAGGGTGGTAATCATGCTTCCCGATCTCAAGGGGATCATCAACCTCATGACAGATACCCGAACCACCAATACACATTCAACAACCCTAGACTGCAGCCAAGTCCACACTTCTCTCAGGGTCAGCAGGAATATACAAATCAATTCCAAGTGCCCAGACCGCCGTCTTCCAAACCCTCACCAAACTTGCCGCTGCCCCCAGATTCCGAGAGGCTGAAACTAAAGGTAGAGCTTAAAGCATTTAAAGCAGCGCAAGAACGGACTGAGAACGCCGCTGGGCAACGGGATTATGAAGCCCAGATTCGAAAAGACGCGGCGGAGGCGTCCCAAGCGAGGATGGAAGATATGCGGCGTGTTGAAGATGAAGTTAAGAGACAGGGAGTGAGAGCCTAACAAGGCGCCGAGCGTGCTGGCCGGGAACTAATAGAGGAAGAGATAAGATAGAAAGAATGAATACAATTCGAATACGATAGAGCAGTACAATCAAGGCCAAGGAGGACTATGACGCTAGGATAGAGGTTTAGAGGATGAGATCCAAAGGGTAAGGAAATTCGTACGCTGATTCTGGCGTAATGAGCCAACCATGCGAGAGCTGTTCGTAGGCTTGGACTAGACACGTTTCATCTTCAGCCTCTTTAGACAGCATGATGGTAAGATTAATAAGACCTGTCCTATTGAGCTACCTCATGAGCCGAGCATTGGGCTAGTAGGGATTTGTTGCCAGGTCAGTTTTCATCCGGGGTCCTTGCTACTCAGGATTTCTGACCAGAACCCTGTTCCTGGAATTTTCGAGCCAATCGCCCTTTGGAACGGCACCGTCTATGAGATCCACGATGGCGGGATTACCGTATCATGCCTTATCCCCGACCCATGAAAATACCCAATTGAGTTAACAATGTAAACCTCCCATGCTCGTTTAGGTCGTTGAATCCGGAACGGCACCGTCGCCTTGTGAGAGTAAAATATCAGACGGATTTAATTACCCCCAAGGCAGTTTTCAAATGGAGTACAAATACAGACCAGATGAAGGCTGATGATGTTAGCTGGTACGACTAACTCGCACCTTCCTCATCTTCTACACAATCTCGCAGTTCTTGAGAACCAACAACATGATCCCGATCGCTCTACATCTCCTGGCAGCAACCTCGCTGCTAGGCGCCTTCGCAGCGGCCTCTCTACAGACCAAAAGCCTTACCACACGCGATGGTAGCACTTATGTTTACGACTATGTCCCTGCCAGCGGTGAGGCCAACAATACCACAGTACTCCTCCTTCACGGCTACCCTTCCAGTCGCCACGACTGGCGCCACCAAGTTGCCGACCTATCTGCAGCTGGTTACGGCGTCCTCGCCCCTGACTGTCTGGGCTATGGTGACAGCGATATGCCACTCGAAGTCGAGGCATACAATTTGAAACGGCTCGGTGGGCACTTGATGGAAATACTCGACAATGAGGATCTGCAGACAGTCGTCGGCGTGGGCCACGACTGGGGCACAAACCTTCTGTCGAGAACATCCGTCTGGCATCCTGACCGGTTTGAGAAACTGGCCTTTCTCTCGCTAGGTTATAGTGCACCGGGAATATTCGCAGATATCGACCTGTTGAATGCCATGAGCCTGAGCCAGCTAGGGTACATGCAATTTGGCTATTTCTACTTCTTCAATTCTTACAACGCCGCAGATCTTGCCGCCTCCAAGGTAAGCCATAAAATACCCATATCTGACCTCCTATCTTCCAATACCTTGCTTTAGCAGAGATACTGATGTCTGCTGCAGCTTGAATCCTTCTTCAGCCTCGCTTTTCCGACCGACAACTCCAAATGGGCAGAGAATCTTGCAGGACTCGGCACAGCTCGCGCCTGGCTGGAGGCTAACACCACAACACCTCTTGCCAGTTATCTAACCGAGGAAAATAAGGAGATCTGGATGAAGGCTTATAGCCGCAAAGGTGCAGTCCAGGCTTCCATGAACTATTACAAGGCTCTGCTTCGCGGTGTTCAGGCGAAGGACGAATCGTGCCTGACCGATAAGCGCCGCACGATCAAGGTGCCGGTTCTTACAATCGGCGGCACGCAGGATACAGTTACCCGAGCAGATCAGATTCGGGCTCAGACGGAGCCCTGGGCGGCGGCCGGGTACACGGAGAAGACCGTTAATGCAGGGCACTGGATGATGCATGAGGATCGGGAAGGTGTGAGCTCTGCGCTGTTGGAATTCTTGAAGGCTTGACCTACTATGTTGGAACATGGGAGACAATGAGATTTAGGCGATTTCTTTGTAAAGCTGAGGCTCTGATATAGCTTATCTGAGGGCAGAAGTAATTCGCTGCGTTACCTCGTGCAAAAGCTCCCTTTGACCTTTGTTGAGTTTCGTACAGGTGATGGAAAACAGCCTTGTAGATAGCCCCTCTGCAAACCAAGCATCACCTAACTTCTCTAAAATGATACAGTAGCAGGCCAGCAAAATCATAGAGCGAGGCGTCTCTTTCTTGACTTCATTAACGAAGTCTAGTGAGAGGGTCAAAGGCCATAGCCGAATTGCGTCCCAGATTGTCAGCGCAGACCCAAACTCTTGAGCTGCATTGATCGCAAGTGCCAGCTCACTTGTAGCTTGAACATAAACATCTTGGAGCTGATCAGATATTCGGTATCCATCAAAGCAATCGTGATCCAGGGCGGATATCAAAATAGTAGCTATGCGGGATGACCGTTCATCCTCTATCATAATGGGTATCTCCCACGACGCGGCGAGTGAGGCTAGCGGACCGTTGCCAATCGTGTCCCAGAAGCCGCACACGAGGTGACAACCATGCCGCACATAGTGTAGCCAAGGCGACAAATAACCAAGATCAGGTCGGCTCGCATCTGCGAGAAACAGGTCCTCAATCCCAGAAGGCGAATCCTTTCCATAGTTTGAAAAGTAGAGCAGAGTATAAACATGTATAAAAGCAATCACGCCGTGACATTCGAGTGCTGAAGACGGCTTTGCGTCAATAGAGGCCTGGAATGCTGCCATTGCCGTATCATGATGCTCAGAAGCCGCTCCCATTAATCGTTGGCGATCCGTGCTCTGACCTTGCTCCGTGTTGAGACGATGCTGAGCCGAGAGGGCAAGGATGCCATGGCGCAGGAAAGAGTTCGACGCTGCAATGCGAGGGACAGATATCTGCCACAAACGGGCGTTGCCATGTCTATTTGCAAGAGAGAGATGCGTCGATTGTAGATAATGAGCGAGAAGACTCTTGTCAGATTCTGCCAGGTCCGCATGGGATTCCCAGGCATCATGTTTAGCCCTTATCTGGTGATCCGGACTCTCCTGAAAAAAGTTGTTACCTTCACACAATTTGGTAATATTTGAATTCTGAGGCATTACACCTACAGGAGACGAGTCTGCTAGTTTCACCACTGACAATGCCGGGTGAGTGAAGTACCGCAGCAGATTCCCTCGAAAGAAAGTCTGGAGAGGCACCGACTGCCAGTCTAACGCTGCACAGCCAGACTTGTGGTGCTCCGCCTTCCAGTGGCTCTGCATCCGTTTGACACTCACACAAAGATGTCCACAGCCAGGATCCAGGCACTGGAGGCCGCTGATGACAGGTAATCCGGGCACAGGAAAGTCCTCGTCCTCGCCGAGAATAATACTTGACCGTGTACCGAGGAGCTCTGAGGGATGTTTCAATGGTAGCCTGGCGGCATAGTCTGTGTAAGGTTGCCGACGGTGCCGATGAAGAGCATGAATCTCCTTCAGATGTCGGTCAAGGGCGGTCGGCTGGATCGCGTACTGGCAGGATGTGCATATGATTATTTGGTGCCTTTTGTTGTAGTAAAGAAGTTCCTGTGGCTGGATTGTGATGTCTGATTCCATGTTAGACTTTGTGCTTCGTCCGGTGCGCGAGCTGTTCTAGGTATTCCGAAAAGGAGAAATCAAGTCTAAATTACGGTTTGAGAGTTTCAGGCCTTAGTGACATTTGAATTACCCTATAGCTTGGCATCGCCCAGGCTAGGAAAAGTAGAAATTACCACTCCCGGGCTTGGACGGAGACAAAGAACTTGGCAAAGCCTGACGCAAGACTCAACCCGCAATCATCAGATAGGGAAATCGACTACGAAGTAAGTAAACCCAATTCTAGCCATTGCACTGACAACGCTACAACGTGATTCAAAATAAAATTCTCCATCTCCTGAACATTGATTCTTGAAATCAACGATCTTCAAGTATACCCCTGCTAGCAGCTTTCCACAGAAAAGTTACAGATCACTTGCTCTTTCTCCCAAGGAAATATTCAGAGAGAAACTAAGACCAGATAATTGGTTTAATAAAATCTAAATATAGAACTGTGACATACATTTACCCTTCTAGATGGAGGTAGAACAAGGGCGAGCTGTGGATGATGTTCTCACGGAACTACCTAACATATCTAGCAATAGGGTAGGCGAATAGAAACATTCCTCTGATTGATGGTTACCCGCTTCATTGGATACCCTACCTTGGTCAAACAAGTACCGCCAGTTCAAAAAACCATCTTATTTTGGAATTATGCCGTAATACCCAACTCGGTTTCGATTTCCTCTTGACTCTGGCACCACTTGTTCTGGAGAGCTTCGTCAAGTGAGAGCGCATAAACATCCTTTGGCCACCATTCGCCCCAGCTGGTAAGGAAAATCTGCTCGGGATCTTCGGGGAAGTCGCTTCGAGTGAGGGCTTCCAAGATGCTTTTCGCGCCTAATATGTGATGATTAGCCATGAAAACGTCATTGCGATATCGTAGTGCAAAGCAACCTACCCTCTGGAACGGATTTGGCATCCTTCATTATAGCAGATGGGAATGAGAGCTTGGATCCCCTCTGCAGCCCTGTAGTTGGAATGAGACCTGGAGAGACCGCCACGACATCGCACTGGCCAGCCAACTGCCTTCGCCACCAATGCGCGGCGAGAAGTGCCACGAATTTGGACTGCGGGTAGCTGGTCATGCTATCCTTGCCCGACCCCGCCAGGAGGTCTTCATCCAGGACACTCGGATCAGGGACATTCCGCACTGCTCCAGAAGAGACGAAGACCAGACGGGCCTTGGACGCGGCGAGCTTTTCCCGAAGTAAATGAACTAGATAGTGCTGAGCTTTGAGGAGGGAAGATGAGTTAGCTTATTGCAGGTAGGACTGATGCACGGTGTACCAACAAGTATGGTTGACAATCAGGATTTCGGACCACTTCGACCCATGTGGCCCGGGTCCCTGGGCCGGGTCGCTAATTGCGGCGTTCAGGAGCAAGTAGTCGATGTCATCATTGCCTAGCTTCTCGAGGGCCTGGCGCGCAAACGATTTGACATCTTTGAGATTATTGAGTTCAAGCGGGAGCACGCTCAACGAATGTTTACTTCGGTCAAACGAGAGCGAGCTGTACGCATTTTCCGTAGCCTCGGTGTTCCTCGCGCCGAGGATCACCTTGTAAGGCTGCGCCTGTTGGAGAAGTTGCTTGATCGCCTCAAACCCCTGTTTAACGCGTCAGGCTTCAATTGCGACGAGGTTGAAGACTCCATGACTTGACTCGTGGAGTCCTTGCATGGGTATGTGTACTTACCAATCCTGACGACACGCCAGTCGCAACAACAGTCTTAGCAATGGTCGACATTGTACACGTGTATGTGGTTTTTAAGCTGGAATAAACGAAACAGTAGAGACTTTCTCTGGCGTTATATCATCGACCAGCCGGGGTTTTGCGAAATGTCCATTTGTCATGAATCATCAGGAATGGAACTTTACTCAGTAGTGGGCGGGGTTAAACGCTGGAGATAAATATTATTCAGTAATTCTTCCACGGACTTAGCATTAGCGTCACTTGAATTTGTCAGCGTTCGCCAGACCAATCGCATACCTGATCTCAGTATCAACATTGTACGGCAGTCTCTTCTCATTACTTCTTTGAAACCAAGGTTTGATAAATTATAAGTAGGACTTAATGATACAACCCTTGTATATTCTATATAGAAGCGGGGAGATTTTTCTCGTCGAAAAATCTCTCATCATCACAGTTCGGCTTAAAGGAGATACGAACGTTAATCTTATTCTCATGCATTCAGTGAGCTTACCAACTCGTTCAATGAGTTTATCAGCTCGTTCAAGTCTTCCTGTATGGCGTTCCTAATATCTGACAAAGATTTGCCGCTTGGCCAAGCTCGTACATCGTTCTCAATAGCGCGATAAAATGCATAGTCACCTGGGTTTGCGTTCTCTTTTTTCCTCTGACTCAACTGGGCCAGGTGGGCGCAAGCTGTGGTGGTATCGGGGCTCTCAATGGGCAGAGAGTCAAGGGCGTGCTGCAGGAGAGAGATGTCCTGCTCCGTGTTTGCATACTCGATGGCCTGGTGAAGCCGCGCAAAAGCTGCTGCTTCCTCCTCACTGGCTTGTCGCTCGTGTGCTCGAAGCCGCCATGGCTCTCCGTAGATGGATCGAATCAGGCAGTCCCACGGAGTTCTCTTGGCCTTGTTAGTATGCTCCGCGTTGAGTTCAGATAAGTCCTGGGTCATGAGATATTCCAATATCTCCAAATTCGCCCTTGTAGCAGCATAGTGCATCAAGTTGTTTGAGTTATTGTCTCGAGCGGTCCGAGAGGCTCCGCTTTCCATTAAACAGCGGAGTGTTGGCAAGTTGTTCAACTGTATAGCCCTTAGAAGAGGGGTTATTCCTTGATTATCTCGGGCATTGATGCTCAGCTTGCCGGGTTCGAGAATAAGGCGAAAGATCTCCTGAGTGTCTCGTTCCGGGCACTGGACACCCGCAAATTTATGCAGGAGCGTCGAGCCGGCCAGGTCACAGGATAAGATCGTTGCTCCATGTTCGATTAGCACGCGGACACTGCTGGGATTGCAGCCAATAACGGCCCAATCTATCGCGGTTTCACCGAAATTGCTTCTTTGATTGACCTCGTTCCGTTTACCTCCACCTGGCTCCAACAGGGCTCGCATGCATTCGACCTGCCCGTGCCATGCCGCAAACATCAGAGGTGTCATTCCATCCTTGCCGTCTTTAATGTTGATGTTGGCGCCCCCTCCCACCAGAGCTTGAACAGCCTCTCGATTACCAAGGCGTGATGCGTGGTGCAGGGCTGAGCATCCTGTTTTATCCAAATCATCAATAATCTTGATAGAAGCACTCCCCAGCTTGTCCAAAACCAACTGCATCTCCAAGGCATCCCCGTCAATCGCAGCTTCGTGGAAAGGTGTCGCTTCTGGTTCTGTCTCTTCATCCCACACATATGAAGCCACCTTCTCAAGCATTCGAGCTTTTCGTTCATCTTGTTCCTCGAACTGTACCATCGCCATTTGTTCAGCTCGCACAGCATATCCGACTTGCCTATTGGCCTTGGGGTCAGTATCTTATCGAAAGAATAATGTCTACTTAGAGTATGGATCGTACCGGGGAAAACCAGTTCGAGATAACACGCTCTCCCATTCATTGAGCAACAATTCCAAAGCATCATACCCTTCCAACTCGATCATGATCTAAGCTCGACGCCGGTTTAGTCAGAGACTGTCATCAAACAGAAGAGCCATTCCAATTCTCACCGGTACTATGGTAGTCCCGTCCTCTTGCTGATCGTCGGGGAAATACCTCACACCCCTGTGGCTCATTCTCATCTGTATGCTATCTTTACTCTTCTCCAAGAGTGTCCAATGAGATGAATTGAATCGCCTTGTGTTTACTGAACGCATGGCAAATTCCAGAGTATAGAATGACCTTCCCAAGAAGAATTTGGCTGCCAATGAATGATGGGACCGCGCATCATCCAGCGACACACCCTCATTTTGCGAGCATGTACAGGCTGCAGCTGGAGAGGAGTTATCCGCCGTGCCAGACCAAGCTCTTACCTCGAACCCGCCAACCAGTTGTGAGGCCCACGTCGGACTCCGGATGCGCCAGGGCTGCTTCTGGTAGTGACATCGACAACGACCGGCGTATATCTGCCGCATTTTCGCAACTATGGAGGTGCGAGGCGGGTTTATCACTTGCATTTCCGTTACTGTAATGGATGGCGAGTTCTCTTCCATCGCCGGCGGTGTTTCGATTTCCTTCTCATTCTCTGTCTCGTTGACTCTTGCGGGGGCATCCCCTTGTCCAGTAGTTGGGGTCTGAGCGTTCATGATTGTCAACGCAAAGACATTCAGTGCCAGTCCTAGATTTGCCTTCGCATTTTCGGCCTTTCTGAGGAGGGTCGAGATCCGTGTACGATGACTTAGCCATGCTCGCCGTTTGGCAGCTGGCTCCGCTTCTGGCCGCTGTCGCTCACATTTCGTCTGGATGTCTTCTAGGTCGTGTACTATGCCCTCAAAGGTCTTCCTAATGCTCTCAATACTAGTGGGCCAAGAGGCTCTCAGGCGAGTGCTGTGACTGCCACTGGAGATAGCCTCTTGGGCCTTCGATAGCTCCGCAGAGATTGCCTTAAGGAAGCCAACCTAATACCGTCTGGTTATCTCACACCGTAGCGGATCTTCATGGGGAGTAACCACTCACCTCCTCTCTTAGCTCCGCAAAACTCTCTGGAATGTTGTGAATCCCCTTGATAAATTTGCCAGCCTTTCCGCCGACCTCTAGAAGGGTAACGACGCTCGCTACAGCACCGAGTACCTCCATCAGGCCTTGTCCACACCCTTCAAGATGCGCTACAAACAAAAAGTAGGTGCGCACAAGTTCTGTGTTTGGAAGCGATATCTGGCGTTCGAGGATAACCCTTGAGGCGGGGCATTAGGCATATTTGCATAGTGCTAAGCCCCGTCACCAACTGCTGCGCCTCAAATAACGAAATAAGGAACTATTAGACGAAGGAAATGCAGTTACATTGTGGCGGTTAGCCATGCAGGATTCCCGGCCAAACCCTGTTCAGAGCAGGGCTTCTTGGCAGTTGTAATTTGCTCCACATCACTTTGTTGGGATCGGCTGGGTAGGGTAGCGGGAGGAGCTTTTCTTTTGCACAGCAACTTGATAATCACACTTGGTATCCATGTTGATTATTGACTTGTTAATGAGCTCCGGATAATGACGTCTATTACCCTTTGTTCTCCGGAGCTGGGCAAAATAAGGGGAGGAAGTATGAAACAAGTCATAAGTTTGGCAAGTGCTGCTTCGTTGAGGGTTTTAACCTGGATGCTAAATTGCAACAAAATTATTAATGACCCAGCTACAATAACACTTGGTCGTGGGACTGAATATTAGTCAAGACCTCAATCCTAGACCTCCAGCCACTATAACAGCAAAGGGGTAGACAAATCTGACGAGGAGAAAAGAGAGAGAGAGAGAGAGAGAGAAGACAAAACGGGAAAAACAAGATAAATGTTACAGTAATAATAGTCCATGGTAGCAGTACATTATTTCTTCTCCTCAAGAGGAAAGGTTGTTTTTACCACACCATTGACATGGATGATGGCCTCTCTGGCACCCGCCCAGGTCTTGCGTTTGCCCGTCTCGAAATACCGATACATATGCGCCGTCTCAACACCATCGTTCATCAGCCTGTACATCTCGGGGTCCTGCCACCAAAACTTCCAGCCTTTCCAACCCCAACCCAGGCTTTCCATACCCGTGCCAGCTGCCTGATGAAGCCAGCCCTGGAACTCCCAGGTCTTGACAGCGCTCGTGTCAGTATTCGGCTCGATGCGCCAGCGCCCGGCAACCCATCGCTGGTGCTCGTCAACGTGCTTGTCCATAGCCTCACGGGATGGAAAGGGCTCGGCCCCTCGCCACGCATTGCAGATCGCCAAGCTCGTCACGTCGGCAAAGCTGAACCCGTTGGCCTTGCCGAAGGCGCTGTAATTTATGACGGCGAGTGAGTCAGCGTACTTTGGAGGGAACAGGTTCATCCACAGCCGATACATCTCAGGGCCATGATACCAATCCAAATCAGGTTTGCTCCGGTCAACAATGTCGGGTCCGAGGAGCGAGAAGTCCGCCTGGTAGCCTGTGGCTAGAATCACCGCATCCACATCGTCAACCACGGTCCCGTCGGCAAATTCGATACTCTTCGGCCCCGTGAATCGCTTGACCCCCTTTAACGATGTCAAGCTCCCGTCCTGCAGAAACGGCAGCACCCGCTCCCACACACCCGGAAGGGTCAAGCTGGGCGATGGGAACGGCTCGATCCCCCACGATGGGTCCGGCTTACCACCAAGCATCCTCCTGCTTATATACTTGACCCCGATATCGCCACAAACCCGCATAAGGTTCGGGAGGTACCTCTGCAGCGACATGCCGATGTTTCGACGGCGCCAAGTAAGGGGGAGATGTGCGGGCGTGCCGTTGAGGAAACGCCGGACGAAGACGGCACCACGGCGATGTGAGACGTAGACTTTCGAGGCCACAGGCATCAGAGTAGGAATGATGTCGCCTGAAGAGCTACATAGCCCCACGACGACAACATTTTTGTCTTTGAACGGCTCGGGACTTCAAGATGGGGGTTAGTTTGAAGGAGAAATTGCACGAGTTGAAGGGTCTTACTCTCTGAACTGCTGTGCATGAATGATCTTGCCATCGAAAAGCTCCTGCCCTTCAAACTTCGGGATCTTGGCCTTGGTTTGGTATCCGTTGCATACTGCGACCTTGTCATACTCGGCGGAGGAGATAGTGCCGTCCTGTTCGAGCTCCAGTACCCAGCGAGTGTCATCAGCATTACGACGGATTTCCTTCACCGACGTGTTGAACACGCAGTCTTTGAGCCCATCGAAATTCCGAGCGTAGTCTTCCATATACTCCTGAAATTCATACACGTTCATATGATGCGGGTACTCTAGCGACCCCTTTAATAAATGCGGACTTGGGCCATTCAGGGGAAAAACTCACTATCTGGCATTGGAAAATCCGCGAAGCCGCAGGTATATTTGCTGATATTCGCTTGCGTAGCTAAAGGGGTTATGTTAGTCAGTTGAGAAGTTCTATGTCACAGATCACAGGCTTCGTCAGAGAAACTTGCATTTCAAGGCCGTCGTCCACGCTGTATTTTCTGTATACGCCCAGAGCCCACCGACCTGGCTGCGGCGCTCGTACAGCGTGGCAGAAAATCCATCTTCCTTCAGGGTTTTGAGCATTGCAAGGCCCGTAGGACCTAGTTCGCAAATGTTAGCTGCGGATATTGATTCCTCCTCGTGAGACTCGAGCCACATACCTGCCCCTATGACGGCGACCTTTAACTTGTCCATTGCGCTGCGGACACGGAGCATCAAGTTGGTATGTCGAAGGATGGAACGGGAAAGTTACTGGCCCACGAATGGAGGCCTCGTCATCTTCATAAGATAAAACCTGCAATACAAGCAGGAGCCAAATAACCTTGCTAAGTGCGTCTAGTGCTGACGGGAGGTCCGGGTATTCGGGATGTGATGATGTCTCGAAAGGGGGCTAACACGCTTTAGGCTTCTCTTCATGCCAATACAATCCCTTCATTTGGGAATTATTCAATTAGTTCCTTTCTCTCCTGAGAGGCAGGATTTAAATCCTCCGAAAAGCTAAACATACGCATTAAAAATCCTATCATACTCCCGTTGTAAAACCCGGCACGCTGTAACTGGGATGTCACCCAGTCAGCACGACGTGTGGAGCGTAAAATGATACGCACGCTCCTTTTCTTCAGGTAATCAGAATATTAGTCACCGTTTCAGATAGTGCTCAAAAGGAAGAGTTGCGACTTCTACTCGGCCGGTAAGGCAATTCCATGTCCCCAAACAGCAGAGCGAGACAAGTATCAGCCCTTTGTAGAAGAACCTGTAACAGTATGATCGATCATGGCAGCCTCAACGAACTACAAAGATAAGAACATCAGATGTAGCGCTTGACGTCAGCGGCTATTTAATTGAGTGGAGCGCAACACTACGGGACGAATAGCTCAATCTTACATAGCAAGTGTTAATTTTTAGTTGATTGTCTCTACATGATAGGACGGTCGGACTCAACAGGCAGTATGTATCCACGCCAACATTACGAGAGGGATCAAATGGAGATAAACACTTCACAAATTTCGGATTAGAGTACCTAAATTGCCTTCGAAATTCTTGCTTTAAAAACATAACTCCCTACCGCAGCGCAGGTAGTGCCATCTATCCATGCCCCAAGCGCACGTATCGACGAAGCGGCTTGTTCAAAATTGATTACAGAGAGCTAGTTAAATCGTGCCGAACTATTAGTTCCCACGATCATATTTGGCCAACTATGTAACTAATAGCTGACATATTGTTCTTCCTAACAGCAGATTTCTTATTATAATTCCTGTGCATTCCCAGTACGACTCCATATGAAATGTGATCTCCACACGTCTCACCACTTCCAGAAGCCTTTCATGCTGGGATCGATCATGACCGACCACCTTGACATTTCGATAGTGTCAAAATGTACGGCGTATCTCTCTAACCCTAATTAAAGATTCGGATAACATATTTTTTAAGAATATATATATGCGGACGTTTAACATGAAGTTTAACTCATTTCCATCACATGTATGGATTGTCTTCGATGTCACACTGCCACGTGGGGACTCTAATCCCTGCCCACCTTGCAGTCTGGTGCTTATTGGAAGAAACACGAAGCTCATGCGGGGTTTGACCTTTGCAGTCTGGTGCTTATGGGAGAATATGAAGCTCATGCGGGATTTGACCATTCAATCGCTCCTCGACAGTCAGTAAATCACGCCCAAAGGCTCGACTTTTCGGATCGCGCCCGGGAGCATTTGGATGGTCTATGGCGGAATGATGATCATGCAATCTTCAACATGGTTTTTAGGTGTTGTGACCTTTGTCGTCGCCCAGCTGCTGCTCCTCTGGGTATTTGGCGCGAAATTTAATCTGCCAAAATTGCAACCCAAGTCGAAAACAAAGCGCAGCTTGGTCACTCAGAAGAGGTTTCAGACCTTTCGCATCTCCAATATCCCTCAATCAGTGACCAAAGTAAAGTTCCGTGAAGCTCTGAACAAGTTGTCGGGGAACGATGTTCAAGGGGGTTCCCCTTCCAACGTATCTGCTTTCTCGTTCGAGCCTGCTGCAGCGTTTGGACTGGCGGACCGATTTTGTGTGGCATGTGTTACTTTCGTTAATAGCCCAGATGTCGGAATCTTGGAAAGCACTCTGAAAGGCGAATTCGGCATCGAAGCAGATCGGCTCAGGACTGACAGCGACTTTTTCGGCATCACACCAATCTACTCCCCACCGGAAAATCCAGCTGTCGAGTAAGCTCTAATAATTTTCCAACAAAGAATCTGCAACGCCTTTTTTTCTCCTATTTTCTTATAGAATTTATGGCTAACTTATACGTAATTTTCAAGTATCATTGCCGTTACCGGTCTCTCCGGACACGCTTTTGGATCATGGAAGGCCAGAGGGCAGCCGGCCATGTGGCTGCGAGATTTCCTTCCTGAATCTATCCCGAGGGCACGTATCTTGACATACGGATATGACACAAAGCTTCCTGGCAGCCAGTCTGAGGCTTCAATCACCGATTTATCCAGAAGACTGCTCGAAGCCATTAAGACTACTCGTGGAGAAAAGGCAGTACGTAGGGCTAAGGAATGTCCCTACTTCATATACCACAACTAACGTCAAGAAGCGGACCAGGCCTTTGATATTTATCGGACATAGTCTCGGAGGGCTAGTTGTCAAACAGGTCAGGAACCTCCATCTCGAACATATTCTTAACCAAGTTGACATTTCCGTTCTTCTAGGCATTGGTCGAGGCTTTTGAGGGTAGCGATGAAGATAAAACCGTATTCCGGTCCTGCTTCGGTCTTTTGTTTTTCGGTGTCCCAAATCGGGGTCTTGAAAACTCTAGCCTAATGGCAATGGTTCGCGGGCAACCTAATGAGTCGCTCGTGAGGGATCTATCCGGGTCATCTCGATTTCTAAGCCTTCTCCATCGGCTATTTAACAAAACCTTCACCCTCGAAGACTCAACCATCATTAGCGTCTATGAAACCAAGACTACGCGGGCAGTTCAGGTAAGTCATACTTGCCCGCTTCAAAGTACGCAGCATTTTGACTGATAAATTCAAGTGGTCTTCCGAAACAGGCTCATGGGATAGGACTGGGCCAGCAATTATGATGGTGGAACACGCGTCTGCCACACATGCCGGGCCTAGCGAGATGACATATGATCAAATATCAATCGATGCAGACCATTCCGACATTGTCAAGTTTGAAGATCAATCGAATCCGGACTATATTATTATCGCATCGAGAATCACCCAACTGGTAGAAAAGGGACCAATTATCGTCAAGGCGCGTTTCGCTGAGTATCGCCGGAGTAAGATGACCAGACCGATCATGCCAGTGTTGAAGGGACCTAATTAGTATCACAATACAGAGCTATCTCGGCTAGAGACACAATTCATCCAATCTCTTAACGTCCCCAACTACCGTGCATTTCGGAACGACATGGTAGACGACCCCACCCCAGGAACTCTGACCTGGATCCTGGACCAAGACTCTTTCTCGAATTGGAGAACTTCTGAAGAACCATCGGTACTTTGGATAAAAGGGTCAGCTGGCCAAGGCAAGACGACACTATCCAAGTTTCTTTTAACCCAAATGGAGAAGGAGTCCAGCGCAAGCCCAGAAACCAAAGTAATCTTCTACTTCTTTTACGGCCAAAGTGACATACTTTCTACGGTTGGCTATGCCGTAAGATCACTTATCAGACAGCTTCTCCATGTGCGCGATGTCGACACATTTGGGGCCATCGCAGAACTAGTCGAGTTAGACAACACGGCTGACATGTCTGAGGACGGGCTGTGGGAGATCCTTGAACATCTGTTGAAAGCTCCTGTTCTTCAAGAGGTGCTCTGTGTCATTGACGGACTAGACGAATGTCAAAATGCTGCATCAAGGCTTCGTCTTATCCGGCTGTTCAGTAGGCTAGCCCAGCCAAATCGAGCCAAGAATAACTCGCCGGTCGTCAGAACGATCTTTACGAGCCGTCCCACCGTTGATATTGAGCAGCAACTATCACGATCTCCCAGTTTCCACCTGGTCGCCAACCCACAGGATTTACAAGTGTTCGTCAATCACGAAATAGGAACACTCGATCTTGATCCCCAGTTGCACAAAGACGCTGTTGCACTCCTTTTGACCCGTGCCGAGCAGACGTTTTTATGGATATCGTTGATCGTCAAAAAGCTCAAGGCCGAGGCTCTTCTGTCCTTGGCAGACATTGAGCGAATCATTAAAACAAGTCCCTCCGACCTCGGAAATCTATATCAAGGTATTGTTTCAGACATCCTAGCCAGAAGCGGCGAGAGCCAAAAGAAGCTCCTTTTGTGGGTTGTCTACGGTCGTCGGCCGTTAGCACTCTCGGAACTGGAGGACGCGCTTTCTATTCAGGAGGATTCTGACTCCGTTGATTCCATTAGATCGGGTCGAGCCAGACTCACAAAACATAACGTCTCCCGTGCCGTCGGAATCATCATCGATATCCGTGATCTCGACAACAGACTCTGTTTGATCCACCAGTCAGCGCGAGACTTCCTTGTTACCAGCGATATTCTGAGTCCTGCTGCCTTTTGCTGGAATTTGAAGCCAAATTTGTACCTGGCGAAGGCGTGTCTAATTTATTTGTGCTTTGATGATTTCGGCTCCCACAATGGGAGCGACTTTCCGAATACCTTTCTTTTACGATATGCCTCACAAAACTGGCACCGACATATCGGTAACGATTTAGATGGCATGCACAACCTGGCAAGTCTGATTCTCCGCATCACGGAGCCTCGCTCGTCCGCCCTACTCACCTGGGGTGCTTCTGCAGGCCTCTATGACATCCATAACGCTACTACTCGCTGGGATGTCGCCACTCAGGCAAACATAACTTGGCTCGCGGATTTTGAAACCAGTGGCACGATTATCAGTCCAGAAAAAGTTTCTGCTGCTGCAGACAACGGGATGGCGGGCTACAGAACTATTGTCACGCTGATACAAAGCCAGCGTGCGCGATTCACAGATGAGGCCGTAGTTTCGGTCGCTCGATATTTCGACTCCGACATGGTCCATCTCTTGCTGGAGAGACAAGACTCGAGAGTGGAAATTAGCGAGGACTTGCTGATCGCAGCCGCGCGGAACCGGCAACACGGGGTGGCCATTATTCGCTCACTCATTGAATCAGGCCGGAAGATCCACATTACGGAGGACGTCCTTACTGTGATTCTAGATGACCGGTCCAACCGGAGAGAAATTGTCGATATATTTGCACAGAGTGGTAACGCGACATTTACTGAGAAGGCAATCGAGCAAATGGTCAAGTTCGGGGACTGGGTCATGATTCGCTCATTTCTAGACGAGCGGGAGGATTGCGATACCCCTGATACCATGCTGCAGATCGCGTCAGCCCAGATACAGCTTGCGGAGGAGACGATGATACGACTGGTCAATCGAAGCCGTCCAGATATTGAAATCTCCGATTCAATCATAACGGAGATGGCATTGAATGGCGTATCAGCTTTCAGGTGCTTTCTCAACAAGTTCGGACATGGGATTGTTTGGTCCGAGGACTTTCTTCAATCCTTGGCCCAACTTGGGGATGAGAAACCTCTTGAGGTTCTGATTAGGACACGAGGTGACGATATCGTGATTACAGACGCAGTTCTCGAGCGCGCGGTGCTCAATAAGAAGACAGTCGAGATTGCACGGTTGATTCTAGGAGAGCCATACGGGAAGTTAGAAATATCGGAAAGATTAGCGGAGCGCGTAGCATCTGCAGGAAATACGGACATGATGGCGTTGCTGCTGGAAATTAGGCACGATGAAATCAAAGTCACTGATAACTTAGTCACATCCGCTTTTTCAAATGATGAGCACGCCGACACTATGGTATCTCTGTTATTTGAAAAACATGGATCGGATTTGTTGCTCAGCGAGGAAGTCGTCGAAGGCGTGGCTTGGTTGGGGAAGCCTAAATCCGCAGCATCCCTACTTCGGGTGTTTGGAACCAGGTTCAAAGTCACTGAAAGACTACTTCAGGTTGCGGCAGCAGAGCATACGATAATGGGCGAGGAATACAACCACAAAACTGGAGAGTTTACTCGTTCTGCAAGAGACCTGTCTTTGCTGGAACTTCTTATACAGAAGAGACGGGGCGATGTGGAGGCCGCCATCACGGAACAAGTATGTTTAGCGGCTGCCTCTGTGAACAACCGCCGTGCGCTCGACATCCTTTGCGGCGACGATGGGTTCTTCCAACCAAATAAACAATGGTACAACGTGGCAAAACTCAGGCACGAGGTCATCAACAGACACCCGTGGAGAGTGAGAGACCTACTCCTAGAGGATACGCTGCCAAATGTCAGGGACTTCAAAACCGGCATGACGCCTTTGTGTTTGGCAGCCTTTCGGGGGTTTTTCGATGTTGTTAACGTTCTTCTATGGCGGAACGAGGTGGAAATTGATGCGCAGGACTACAGAGGAAGAACTCCGCTATTTTGGGCCTATCTATATGGATATGACGACGTTGTCACCTTGCTGAGGAATGCGGGTGCCGATGATGCTCTGAAGGATGATAGGGGTCAGACTCCGATAGAGGCCGGGTCTTCCGGGGCGAAATACCTTTTAAGAGCTGTTAACAACGCGGAAAAGCCGCCAGGGAGAAGTCCTGGTGGGGGGAGGTCTAGATATAGAGAGAGAGATACCGATGGGAGCCGTTGGACAGATATCCACAGTAGGACAAACGAGAGAAGTCGGTCTCGAGGTCGATCAAGACCTCAGTATTAACTATTAATAAATTAAAAGTTAATTTTAAATAGTTTGAAATAAAGGCTTTTTAGATTATCTAAAAGGATAGTAAATAATATTTGATAGATAAACCTTTTATAATTACATATATACGCAACCTAGGCTAAAGCATTTTCGCTTCAGGCCGAAATTACGTTACATGCTATACTTGAAATGAATGTTCTCCCTGTCGGTCATATCCGATTCTGCGTAAACTTGCCCCTGGTGAGCAGATTGTTCAGCAGTAAGGCCCAGCTCCTGAATCTTCCTCGCTCTTCGTCTGTTCTCTATAGTGTCTGCGTCCTCTTCATCAGTAAAGGTCACATCGTTATATATCTATCTAGGTAGGGAACTTACAGTAGAATCTCCAAGCAATAAACAGAACGCATTCCACTGCATACATGACTCCGCAAATAATAATCGCGGGAATGTACTGAGGTGCCCACTTGGCCTGGAAAGTCTGTGCGCCAACGGCGTTGCCAATGCAGTAGGCGATGAAAATGAGCGTACCGGTAACCGACTTTTTAGTTCTACCAGCCACATTGGATGGGAGTAGAGTCCAAATCAAGAGACCTGGCAGACGGCCAGTCACAGCCATAAGGTAAAGACCCCATCGAGTCCACAGCATTCCTTCTTTAGGTAGCAGTCCGAGGGCCAGCATACCAACAAAGGCTGGAATGGTGGAGACCACCATAAGAATAACTTAAGGGGCGTTGTTAGTATACAGCATATATCCGAAGGGGGAAATTGAAGCATCACTCACACCTGGAATTGGGTTTCTTGAGAGAAACAATACCTACGAACAGGAACCAGACAATTGTGACAATGTTCTGGGGAATGGTTCCCTTGGCCAAGGTCTCCAAGGGTGTAAAGCCAAAAGACACATACACCAGGTTTCCAAACGCCGTGGTTCCGCCGTTGGGGAGGGAGTTGATAATGACAGTAAAAAAGAAAAAGTAGGTTTGGGGATCCTTGAAGGTGATCCACACCTGATCCCAACGCCACTTCTTAAACTGCTGTCTGCTGGATCCTGTCTTATTGCTGACAATGCGGGCCGCCGTGATGCGCTTTTCTTCCTCTGACAGCCAGCGGACTTCGTTGGGAGTCCCCAAGATCAGCAAGGAGAAAATAGACATGAGGATAGTCCAGCAGCCAAGAAAAATGCTAATGTATCGCCATGGGCTAAAGCTGTTTGGATTGGCCTGGGCCCCCTTCCCGATACCATACATGACCAGTTGTGTTATGATATCCATACCGCTGTTCGAGGTACCCCAGATAATCGATCGCATCGTATGCTCACGACTAACGTAGAAAGAGGCAGTGATAAGAAGAAAGGCCGGGGAGATGGTACATTCAAAGAGACCTTGTAGGGCACGAAGCACCATGAGTTGAGCAAAGTTGTGTGTAAAGGCAATACTGAGGACGATAACACCCCAGCAGAACATGCAAACGAAAAGTGTCTTGTTCAAGCTAAAGCGCTGCATCAAGTAGTTCCCGGGTGCTTCGCCGACAAGGTAAGCGATGTAGAAGATTGTACTCAACCCTGTAGTGTTATTTGTTAGCATGCCAGCCTGGGTGGAATCTATAGTAGGCAGTCCGTGGGCTCGTACATGAGAATTGCTGGCCCACAAGCCCAGTATCCTCTCGCAAGCCAAATGTTGCCTGGGTAGAGATAGATGTCTTATCCGCCTGTTGGGTGCCATAACATAGCCACATCAATGGCAAAAGAACAAGGTCGATCTTACGGAGAACCTTCTTGTACTCGGCCTCCGTATACTGAGATTGGGCAGCGTCGATGGTATCCAAGACAATGTCTTGGACTTTGCCTTCAGCCATGTCGAGGACCCGGTTACTAGCGTCGGTTTCTGCAGGAAGGTTGTCCTTCCTTATGTCTGCTGGCGATGGTTTAGCCATGGCTGTTAATTATCAAAAGGAGAAATGTAAGTGAATGAAAAGTAGTAGCTCCTGGCTGGTGATGAGGGAAAAGGGTACAATTTTCTATTTGGGGTCTGGGGTTGACCTTATGTTTAGACCCTTATCTTAGGATAGCCCTCCCTGACCGGCTTCGGGAGTCAATTCTCCTCAAAGACTGGCTGATAGTTTATGGTGGGTCGCTCCTCAGCCCCGCTTCTAACCAGGTTGCGAATGACTGGGGAAGGGATCAAACGGAAACTGTCTTCCACTTGGGCGGAGCGAGAGGAGAGGCTAGACAAGCAGAGAGGAAGAGGACGGACGGATCTCGGTCCGTCAATAATCTAACGCTACACAGAGTGAAGACTGGACTGGCCGTATCCACCCTGAAACCTGGGGTACCTTGCAGATAACGGAAGAGATCCGTCCGGATGAAACTATGCGGCGTGGCGACCGGGGATTGCAATCGTGAGGGGACAATCGGCGGTTGACTGTCAATAAAGGTCAAGGCCGCTCGGTGCTGTTTTACAGGTAATACAATTTCTACCTGCAATCAAAATGGCCCTAGCAATCCGCGCCGCTCGTTTGCTTCCCGATAATGCGTCGGAACTGATTCACGATGGCGTTGTCGTTGTCGAGGGTGACCGAGTGAAACTAGTTGGACCATGGGCAGCCCTGGAAAAAGATGTGGCCAATACTCCTGTCAAGCAGTTGGGCGATGTCACACTCATGCCCGGCTTGTTCGACTGCCATGTAGGTCCTATCTTGCTCCTTCCCCCTTTTGGCCCTCAACGACGCGCAAGCTCACTTATGATATATAGGTTCATGTTCAGTTTGACCCTAGTGGTTCGAATACCAGTACTGATATTCAGGCATCAGATGAGGAGCTTATTCCACTGATGGAGGCGAACGTATTGCGGCTGCTGGATGCGGGCGTTACGACCGCGCGAGACCTAGGATCCCGTGGAATGACGGCTGCTCAACTCCGAGACAGGATCAACAAAGGTGAAGTCATGGGACCTAGACTCCAGTGCGCCAACGCGCCCCTGACAGTGGAAAACGGTCATGCCCATGCCATGGGTGGCGTATGTCGCGGCGTGGAAGGTGTGCGAGCAGAAGTTCGCAAACGACATGCCGAGGGAGCCGATCTGATCAAAGTGATGGCAACAGGAGGGTTCATGACAGCTGGCTCACATCCTTCTAAAGCTTGTTTCACGACCGAGGAGATGATGGCTATCTCAGATGAGGCCAAACAACTCGGTTTGCCTGTTACAACCCACGCCACGGGCACGGAAGGAATTGAGAGAGCGGCGGATGCGCACTTTAATTCGGTAGAGCATTGTTCTTGGATCACGCCGAGTGGGCGTGCAGAATTTGACCCAAAGGTGGCTCAGAAACTGCTGAATAACAACATGGCTGTTTGTCCCACAGTTAGTCTCTTACTTGTTTTTCATGTGTTTGCATGAACCTGGAGATCTGACATGGCTGAATAGATGAACACGGCATGTGTTGAACATGACTACTTCTGTCCTTGGGACAGCAGAGAGGTCATTATGTCCAACCTCAAGTCTCTGCGCAATACTGGGATAAAGATGATTGTTGGGACTGATGCCGGCATTGGCTTTTGCCCTTTCGAACGTTATATAGACGGCCTTACGGTACTCGCCGATGCCGGCTATACGCCACGCGAGATCATTGCGGCAGCCACCACTGTTGCGGCCGAGGAGTGCGGCTTGGGCAAAGAGACGGGCAGACTTGCGCCTGGGTTCGCTGCTGACCTTGCTGCATTTGCTGGAAATCCTCTTGAGAATATCAATGCATTTGGGGAACCTAGATTTGTCATGGCACGAGGGAGGGAGCACATTGAAATAAAGCCCATTGCTCCTGTGGGAGATGTCTCGGAAGCCAAGAATATGATGCTGCAGATTCTTCGCCGGGGCGCGGGAATAGAAACTGAAAAATAGCAATTATCAACGTGAATAACACTGAGCTTGTCTATCTAATCACCGCCTCAAGTTCATTGGAGTTTTACTTTAGTGGTCTGGCTGGTCTCGGTCGGAGCCGATCCGACGGTGACAGGATCCTGTCTCTATGGGAGCTATAGGTAAGGTAGTTCATCACGGACTACTACCATTTCCCACCTAGGAAAATGCAAGTAGACCATCTTTGGTCACTGTAGAAGCAAAGAGCTTAGTATGGCTTCAGAACTCAAGTTGCCCAAGACTATCTCTTAATTGTTGGGTTTCTTCGATCTACACTTGTCCACCCGCTGTCAGGTGGTTGACACTAACTCGGACTGCATCCAAATACGTAAGAAAAAGAGAATAAAGTTCAACAGCAATGGCAGCTGCCAGAGCCCGATAACTCAACACAATGAATACGAAGCATCCAAATAACCTACGGTGTAAGAACTTTATAGTTCAAAGCCTCGGGAGGCGATGGACGCCGGATTGATGAGAAGGCGGTCGAGGCTATCGAAACAGCGATTGATGTGGGCTATCGCCATTTCAATGGAGCCCAGAGTATGTTGCAGGTATGACACGCAATATTTTATCATCAGCTAGTATCTAGCTAATCCCACATCTCGGAATAAGTATACGGTACGAGAGCTGAGCCTGGATTCGCCATGGTGCGTTCAGGACTGGCTCAGTCTGAACTTACCCTGACCACCAAAGCAGCGAGCTTCGATGATGTGCAAGGATCGTTGGAGGCTAGCCTCGACAAGATGAAAATAGATTACGTTGATCTGTGCGTATTCAGGTTTGCCTTCTAAGGATAACTTTGCTTACCAGATAAAATAGCTATCTTCCTCCTTCCCCTTCTCGCCTACATCAACATCTACACGGAAGGGCCTACAGGATGCGTGGCTTGGAATCTGATAATACTGGCCATAGACTTGAAAATAAGCAGCTTAATGTTTCAGTGTCTCAATTTCAGTGTCACCCACTTGGCCTCCTCATCTTCAACTAGGTATTCAAGGTACCCAGCCGCGGTCGTGGGTGTCCATCTCACTGCTCCCCACTTCGGGGCTGTGTATGCAAGGGTCTTGCGCTGGTTTCGGCCGCGGAGAAATACCGCATGACACTTGGACCTTTGAATTCAATATTTGCTAATTAGCATACTCAAGTCTGCCTTGCTGGATGACTTGTCCTTCGATCTCCATTAATTTGCTCAAATATGTTTCTTGGTTGTGAAATGCGAACCAGGAAGTTGTGTCGTGCACCAGCCCAACCGGCCGGAGAATGGGACGAATTCCGACCGACCGTCCAGCGGATCAGACTCGGCCGATCCACCATCCGACCCGAAGTCCGCTCCATGACTGCAGGGGCCGATATTGCACTGCCCGCTTGGATCGTACCACCTCATCTCTCCATCGCCAGCCAAGGCGAGCTTTAATGAATCCACGCCAAGAGATCACCTCCAGGCACTGGGCTGTCAGCGAACCCCTGCTACGGTCGGGCACCAACCAAGACCGCCTGGCCAGTGGCGCTGCATCGCCGGGGTGCAGGCAAGGGCATGCTTTACCACTGATGCATCATGCAAGCATCCCTGATCCAACGCGGCGGGAAGAACCTTCGGAGGTGGAAAGATGTCGGCTCGGCTCGATATAGCCTTCCCATGATCACAAAAGTAAAGTCACCTAAGTGAATTCATGGTTTTCTTCCTATTTTCGGTGATATAGGCGCCCAGGATAGTAAGGAGAAAGCATAATCACAAGTGAAAAGGAACTCGTTGTATATGACAACATTTCGGGAATTTCATTGAGGAAATTAGATGATTACAGCCCTACAAATCAAGGCGAGATAAGGTTATGCTGGCTGGCAACACCACACTACGTGGGATGACTGAGGGAGAGCGTACCCTATACCCGGAAGCATAATATGCGAAATGTATTCAGCCCATACAAGATCACATTGTGAAGTCGTTGTACAACCTGCCAAAGACTTTCTTTATTAGTCTTTAGAGAAACAGGAGTTTGGTTTGTAGCTAAGCTTTCTCCAGAGCTCTAATTCATGAAAGGTGATGCCCCTCATTTTCTAAGCTTTGAGGGGATCACCATCTGATAGTCTGAGGAATATCAACTAGTTGTCCAAAACTACACGCTACGATTTAGTTATACAAGATCTAGTTAGATAAACATATATTATCTCAAATAATTGCACATTGTCTTAAAATTAAAAAGTATTCAAAGATTCGTGATATATACAACGCCCCACTACTAAAATCGAGACCGTATGCGCACAACTATAGCCCAGCCTGTCTTGCTCTCCCAGAGTCCCATCTCGTTCTCTCGTCGAAACGTAGTCTCCTCAGCCCGCGCTGTCATTATAGGGATCCCTTCATCTATTGGAACAGCCCGCGAGGTCGATCCGGCCGAGGGTGGATGCCGCGGCGGCCAAACTCGCGACGGATCGGAGAAGCTCAGCAGAAATGCACGAATCATGCCAGTGCTGGCCTTTGGCGGAGGCGGCCGGCTCGAGCCAGTCTTGGCAGGGTTCGCGACTGGAGGCTGCAGCTCGTTGGCGAGACGCTCTGCCATGTATTCGTCCGACCACCAGAGCGCGGAGCCTCCCGCATCATCGGCGGGGTCATCGTCGAATCGCCCCCAGTCTGCGAATCCCGCGCCCTTGCCTCTCGATCGGTCGGAATACGATGTGTAATCACCCCGGGAGTCGTTGCCATATGACGAGCTGCTCTTTTTCTTGTCGCTGTAATCTATCTGCTCCCCGATCCTGAACATCCTCTTGACTTCCCGCCTCGACTTCTCGCCCGGGTCGCTGGGGGCCCATTCAGGTCCGAGCGCCGCGGCGGGCACAAAGGTGGACTCGAGCAGAATCGGCGGAGGGGACATCTTTTCGACCGACGAGAGCAGCGACCTCACATTGTCGAGGATCTCGGTGAGGATCTGGCCGTCGGTGCCGAGTTCCCTGGCAGGGGATTTGTAGTCATACTCTTTGCGGTCGGGCTTAGCACCGAGGTCATCAGAGGCGGAAGGCGAGTATGGTGGAGGGAGATCATCGTCATCAGGGACATGTCTCGAGAGATGGTATTTGTCCATGATGGAGGTGGTTCAAAGAGGCGTTATGGGGAAGTGATTTACCGTGAAGTTGGGGAAATGCGTGTTTTGGTGGGATGGCTGGAAGGTCTGTGGCGGGGCAACTCGAGACATGCAGCAATCCAATCGCTTGCGGACCGAGTAGGCAGCCTCAGACACGAGATGGAGGCTACCGCGATGAAGGAGCCTCGCGCTTATCTTCAAGACGCGACTCCGTGATTTGGCGCGACCGGAGATGGAAGCTTAATGTGACGTGTGCCCAGGATGTTGACAGCCAAGGCATGCACGAGGCTGGATGGTGAGAGAACTAATTTCTTTGGTGACTGTGCCAGCGACCATGTGACATTGAAGACTGCCCCGGCCAAGGCCAGCGTAGTGCGCTTAGAGTCCATGTCCCCTGTCAGCTGTCCCCTACGCCCCACTGCCAGCGTGCCTTACGCCCAGGACTCACAGCGGTTGGGCACCTACAATACGACTCGGCCGGCCGTGATGCTACATATCCGGGCGCAGACCCAATGGGGTAGATCTGGAGACAATTGGATCGGGTGATTGAGGCACTGATTATCTAGATCAAGGGTCCTGGCGCCCCGTTGGTGCTGCACTCAGAAAGGTGAAGCTACGGTGAACAGACACTACACGTACACAGCCCCCTTTGCTTCCATGGTGCGGCTGAACATATCCTCTGCAGGCAACTGGAACCAGCAATGAAACAGCTCATGTACCCGCGCATTCCTCGCTTGGCCTTGCCAGCGCGTGCTCATACGCAGCGAAGGCACACAGGCTAAGCGAAGGGGCCACCCGTGCCCGTCGGATGTGACCATGCATCCATCAAACCAGGCCACTTGTTGTTGTCTCTGGCGAGCGATTACTCACTGACCATACCTTAGGCCCGTAACTATGCCCGGAGCCCGGACCCACAGCGTCTCGCCCGGTTTGTGTGCCTCCAGGCACCCCAAGCACGCTAAGACACAATGGAACCTTAGCGAGTCCGCCACCAATGCACAGGGAAAGGATGTACGCCTAGCGCTTGGCTCCAGCGAGGCACAGGCACTGGAGGGAGGGCTAGAAGATTTCCAGAAGGCAGGGGCCCTCTAGCCCGCCCCTGTGAGTGCTGGCCATGGCTGCTTGAATTACCGCTGTACGGGCACATTACACAGCCTCGCTCTAACATGCTCATCACACTCACCATTTGTGTCTGCTAGCAAGGGTCGATCGAGGCTTTTGCGCCGAGTACCTGTTGAAGAACATACCTGTCACCTAAAGTTCCTCATCGTGCGGCGCGGATAGGCGGCAGGCCATCACATGACAGGGCCAAGGTTTGTTCAGTCCCCCCAAAGACGCCCTGCCCCATACTCTATGCACATCATAGGGCAGAGCCTAAACTAAGAGGGTGGCTTGGGATGTGTTTGTGCCTTGGGTGTTTTCTCCTTGGCAGGCAGCCTCTCATTCGATGCCTGCAGCCTGCATGATTGTTTTCTTTATTTAAAGACACGTTGTCACCCGCCCTTCTCATTGATCTCTCCCCATCAAACTTCATAATATTCAATAGCAAGAGGTTATCTCACACTTGTGATCATCAGATACAGTTCACCTTCCTTCCAGTCAGTCACTACCAACCACTAGCTTAGCTCAACAACCGCCACCATGTCCTACAGAATCTCGGCCCCCGACGAATACCTTGCCATCACTGGCATGGGCGTCGAGACCGTCAAGATCACCAAAGCAGCATGGATTTGGCCCTTCCAGAGATGCATGCGCTTCAGGTACGTCACCACCCTTTGAATGCTCACCATGTACCACATTCTCTAACCTTCATTCCCAGCGTGCAACCGCATGACTATGCCATGGACCTGCAGGCCATGACCAAGGAGAAGCTTCAATTCTCTTTGCCCGTGGTCTTCACAGTCGGTCCAGACGTCAACCAGCGGGGGGCAAACACCCAGCATTATGAGGCTGCCTCAGAGGAGGGATCCGAGGCCGGCGCTCGCCGTCGTGAGGATCGGGGGGATTCACTTATGAAGTACGCCATGCTGTTGGCCGATTCGGACTCCAGTGGGAAGAACCCTACCCAGCAGGTGCACGTGGGGAACATCGTCAAGGGCATCATTGAGGGCGAGACCCGTGTCCTCGTCTCCAGCATGACGATGGAGGAGATCTTCACGGAGCGAGAGGTTTTCAAGAGACGCATTTTCCGAAACATCCAGGGTGAGCTCGACCAGTTCGGTCTCAAGATCTACAACGCCAACGTAAGACCCATTCCATCACCCCCATCTTTCTGATCCCGATCAATGGTATTCTAATGTGATTGGATATACAGGTCAAAGAGCTCAAGGACGCTCCCAACTCGGTGTACTTCGAGTCGCTGGCCCGAAAGGCCCACGAAGGTGCCACCAACCAGGCCCGAATCGACGTAGCCGACGCCCAGCTGCGCGGTAACGTCGGAGAGGCCCAGCGCAAGGGTCAGCAGGACCGAGAGATTGCCAAGATCCACGCCGAGACTGCCGTCCAGAAGACCGAGCGTGATGTCGAGCGTGCAAAGGCCGAGGCCCACCTCAAAACCCACCAGGTCCGATTCGACCGTGATGTCGATCTCGAGCGCACCGCCGCCAAGCGTGCCCTCGAAGCCAAGGACGAAGACCTCCGCAAGGACGTCGAGATCCGCCGTGCCGTTGCCGAGACCGAGCGTCTCCGTGCCAAGGACGTCGTCCGCGCCACTATCGAGCGTGAGAGCAAGCAGCAGGCCGCCGACGCAGCTGCGTACGAGGTCGAGGCAGCAGCCAAGGCCGCGGCCGAGGGTAACCAGAAGAGCGCCGATGGTGATGCCTACGCCATCCGCGCCAGGGCCGAGGCCGAGGCCTACGCTGCCCAGAAGCAGGCTGAGGCCGACTGCATCCGCCGCTCCAAGGAGGCTGAGGGTATCGCCGCTCTCGCCCAGGCCTACGGCCAGATGGCCACTGCCTTTGGCGGCCCCGAGGGTCTGCTCAAGTGGGTCATGGTCGAGAACGGAACCTACGTCGACCTGGCCAAGGCCAACGCCGATGCCATCCGCGGCATGGCTCCCAAGATCAGCGTCTGGAACACGGGCGCCAATGGCGGCGCCGGCGGCAGTGGCCAGCAGGACCCTGCTGAGACCATGCGCGGCGTCTACCAGATGCTTCCCCCTCTGATGACCACCATCCACGACCAGACTGGCATCTCCCTGCCCGAATGGCAGTTTGGACGCATGGCTGCCGGCACCGACGCCGTCGCCAAGGAGGGCAAGTCAGTGCCCCGATAAGTTCATTGAGCTTTCCACGTTTTGATTTCCCTCTCTGGCGCTTATGACTGCCTGCTACGCTCTGCTATGCTCTGCTATGCTCTGCTTGCCATCTTTTGAGTGTTTTCTCTACTTACTCTCCTTTGTCTTTTGCCCTGGTTTCGATTGCCTAGCGATGGAAGCTGGAATACGTTTTGATACTTGATACCCCTTCTGAGTATTTCGTTTCGTTTGTCATATTGGGAGGCACTCTGACACTTTGTCGTTATCGTATTTCCTTTGTCATGGTCTGCTGAGGTTAATATGAGTATTACCAAATTGTATCATTAAAGATACCATATGAATATCTCAAAATTAGTAAAGAATGATCTCAGGTCAACTTGTGATATATAAATGATGAATCAACATAGCATACTTCGGATAGACAGCACAAGTACTTCATCGGTTGACACCAAGGACTGAGAAGGACACCAGGCTCTCCCCTTTATTCGCCGCTATAGCAAGCTTCTTTCCACTTGGATCCCAGATCGTGTAATTATGTTTTTGCTCCAGCGAATATGGCAGAAGCGTCTCGAGGCCAAGCCTCGCGTCAGTACCATAAGTCTTACCCCGCCGCCTGCTTACTTTTGACGCTCCCAAGCGGGGTTGGGATAACTAAGCCACGTCGTATCTGACAAGGAAGAAGTAAACTTCCCCTCGACAGCTCACGATTCGTTTCATTTCGGGATGTTCCCTTTCTTTCACCCATCCCGTCCTTCGATTTAGCACGCCTGTTCAAGTAGCCCAGCACCTCTTCATCAAGATGGCGCTGAAACAGAACATCGAATCCCTCCCGATGGAGGTGCTCCGTGGCGTATTCTCTCAAATGGGCGACAAGGAGTCCATCAAGCAATCCCGCCTCGTTTCTCGGACCTTCAACGACGCGGCTGCTCCGTATCTCATAGACGAGGCGCATGTCCGCGTAACCTCCAAGTCTTTATCACGACTTGAAGAGCTCTGCGACCATGACATATTCTCCAAATCCATCACTGACGTCACTATCCTTCTCTCCCAGTACGACGTCGGCATGGCCGCGGACCGGTCTCTCTTCATGCAGGATTGCAACGGGCGCCTACTTCGGAATATGGAGATGCGCGAACGCATGGGGGCCTATAAATGGCGTCGCATAGTCGCCGGTAGGTGCGGCAAGAGAAACCCTCCATTCAGCTACGAGGATAAAAACAGGGAGGAGGATCTCCAGAGAGAGATTGAACAGCAACTTTGGAAACTAGTGTACTCCAATCCTGTGCTCCTGATGGTATCAGAAGAAGATTTCCAAGAGGAAGAAGCCGATCCGTTTCAAAAGGTCGCCATGCGAATCCACACCAGATATAAGGAACGATGCGATGACCAGGAGAGGGTAAGGCGGGGGAACAGCCACGTTGACCGCATTTGCTCTGCGTTGGCCAAGCTCCCGAACCTCTGCAACCTTCTCCTCCACGACCCATACCTTGTAGTGGACGACGAATTGCAAGCTTCTGATTTCCCGGATCTCGGGTACGATCGGAGGATGCTGGAACACTTCGACTGTATGCTCTCGCCTTCGCGGTGGTGCGGCTCGTTTACCACAAACTCTACTATTGTCCCGCCAGTTGAGATGCTCGGAGAGCTCTGCGCCCGGCTCGGTCGGAGCCAGATCAAACCTCGATCAGTATGCGTGAAACTGAACGCACCCGCGGACCTGCGCCGCATCACGTTGTCAGAGGATCAGCAGGCCGGCCTCAAACTTCTCATGTCCAAAGCCACCTATGCCAGGCTGGACGTGGACGGGTGGGAAAGGACACGTGACGGGATGGGGGAAAATGATCGGCCCAGGGATGAAATGCTCGCCCTCTGCTCCTTCACCAAGCCCTTCTTTACGGCTCCTAAGCTGGAAAAATTAAAAATCGTCTTTCCCACTTATACGTACCACTTTAACCCCCCCGAGGTCGGAATATCTGATATCCTACCCCTGGAGAGCCCTTGGCAGCACCTGGATACTCTGACTCTCTTATACCAGCCCGCCAAACTCGAGGATCTGAGCGCGCTTGTCGCTAACCAGGGAAACACCATTACGAATTTTCGGTGGGACCACACTTGGCTTCTGACTGGCCGTTGGGATGAAGCTGTCGAGGTGCTACGGGGTTTCCGAAAGCTCAGCAAGGTATCCGTGGACTACCCGAAAGGTGGATGCTGTAAATCACCAAGCAGTCGTATATTTAAGACACCGCACGAGGAAATCTGTCGCTACATCCTCAAGGAAACGGATGTCAATCCTCTGATCCCTGAGGATACAAGCTAGATCTATGTATCCGCGGGAATGAGATATTGGCTAAATAATTAATTTAGCTACTACCCAGGTAGTAATTGTATCTTTGACCTTCAACGACTTTCGAAAGTTGTATTTCTTATATCTAAGCCTCAGCTTCTTTACTTTCACTGTATAGCGGATGCTGGGAGATTGTCAGATATATATGTGCTTTATCGCTGTTTAGGAATTAGTATAGCCTCAGCATCGGAGAGAATGTCCGTCATATCAAACAGGACCTCTTCTAGCCTAAACATTAAGTAGCTAGGTATAATATATATCACGCCAAATAACCCAAGGCAGACCATATAAGCCTATGCCTCGGCGAAACCGTTTTGAAATTCCCGGATTGGTTAGATTAACCCCTTGGGGACTATCGTAATAAACGTGGCAAGCACCCTTTGCTTTTTATTTCTGCCTTTCAGCTTCAAATCGATTTAAGAATTAAGGCCTTGGGCTTCAGCCCGTCCTGCGTATGCAGCCAACAACAGTACTTTTGCAAGCTGATGGATGGTCTCGACCACGATAATCTTGATCCGTGCATAAATTGAACCATGCATGGGGCTTTCCATTGGATACATTTTGAAAGGAGGCGTAATATGTCTCAGTCTCCAATGGTCCGAGATACGAAGCGACTGCAGTAGCCTATCATTTCTTTTTTGAAACCCGCAGCAAGTATCTCCCTACCCATAGTAGGAGAGGGATTACTTCATCGTGTACGCCACAACTGTCCTGTGCATTAGGCCTTGTTTTTTATAGGTCAGTAGGTCAGCTAATGGCTCATCCAATTTCAAAATAGTTCATCTAATACTCCTCTTTTCGTAGTAGTACGGTAAGGATACGTACTGAGCACTTATGCATTGTTCACTGTGCCTGTGTAAGGCTCTCTGAAACATCACCCATGAAAAAGTCGCTCTCTCCGCTCTGCAACTCCCTCTTCTCCCCTCCCCATCCCCACACCCAATACTCAGATCAGAGTCTACCATTACCAACGTTTTAGTATTCAAAGCGTATCTGTAAAGCTGGACATGTCGCTAAACCTGGGTACGGCCACTGCCCCTTTAGGACCTATAGCAGCGACAACCGCTACGTTCGACCTAGGCGACAACACTCTTGCAATTGAGACTGGCACGTTTACCAGACCTGTATCGACAGGCGTCGCAGTATCATCAAGCTTGACATCGCGAACCATCGATAATCCTTTGACTACGACCCAATCACAGAATGTGGGACAACATACCACAGGTCCTTCATCTCCCGACGAGCACTCTAGTAACAGTTGGTTTCCTGTTGATACCCCCACAAATGCTGGATGACTCTCACCTAACTGATAATCTAAAGAGGCTTGGATTGCAGGAGCCGTGATCGGACCAATTGCTTTCATCCTTCTCCTTGCAGGAGCCTTCTTCCTCGGGCGCCGTAGCCGAAGATCAGCGAAATCGACGACCAGCAATGATGAAAAGGGCCCGACTGAGCAGAACCCACCAGAACAAGCATCCGTGCCCGAACTACACGAAGATAACATTCTCCCTAGCCAAGAACTTTACGGCTCACTTCCAGAGCATCCAACTATTGCCGAAAAACCTTCGAACGAAGCATCAGCTCAAGAGTTACCGGCTTCTATACCCCAGGCCAAGATAAATGACAAGGGAAAACACAACAAGAATTACGGGGCTGTGCTAACACCGGAGAACTGAAACTGTTTTCAGCGGGAAGGCGAATTTTGTTGTCTATTTCCTTCCTCATAACTGACTGGTCGGATTCTTTGAGCGCCCAATAACTTCGAAATCGGGGAAACAAGCTACCTCAGCCTTGAATTCAGCCCCCAGGATTGACTGGCTGTGAAAGACTGGGACTTTGGCATTCAATCGCCGCTCTGTGTGGGACACTACGACGGCACTTTCGTGCTTGATGCAGGATCTTTGTTTCATTCGCCTGCGAGAACCCCCATTTAGGAGGGATCCCTTCTAAGCATTGAGAATGCCATTGGATACGTGACAGCAGGGGCGTAAAGATGCCACCTCGCACCAAATATAGCACGGGTTCTCCTTGGGGTCCATCGAAACGTAGCCTGCAATAAAAAGCCACCCGCCCCGTCTCACCCGTCTTTCACACCCCCCGCGCTCCATACTGTCATAGAATTACTTCAAGGCTGCTTCTTAGCACACGAGGCAATCTATAAACGTTGAGTATGCCGGAACAAACAGCAGAAGGGGCACAATCCAGCACCAAAGCTGTGCCAATATTGGCGCCGTCAAGCAAGCCGGACCCTTTTGAAGGCTCTATTCTGATTGAGACAGCCTCACTTAGCAGATCTACTTCGGCTTTAGGTGGACAAAATACCTCCAGCTCTTCGGCTTCCGACACCCACTCCAACAGTCGTTTGTTTCCTCCTCAAATCCTCGCGCCCCAAGGCCTCTGACTTATGGTACGTAGATGCTTGGATAGCAGGGGCCGTTATAGGAGCCCTCGCCTTAATACTGCTTCTGACAGGGGCCTTATTTCTCAGGCGTCGACGACGCAAATCCTCGAAATCGAGAAAGGCCAGGCGTGAAGTGGCTCAGGTTCAACAAAAGTCAAAAGGACGGGCAGTTAGACCCGAACTTCATGAAGATTGTGTGATTTCTACCCGAGAACTTTATGGTTCACTTCCAGGACACCCAACGTTTGCCGAGAAGCCCTCGAACGAACCTGCAGCTTAGGAATTGCCTGCTGCTAGAGCGGAATCCAAAACAGATAGGAAGGGGTGAACGGGCCCAAAGGAAAAGGTCATGTGAAAGAACAGAGCACCTTCCCAATCCGAGGGTGAGAAAACACATCAATCTTGAACGATTCGACATTTCCGGAGCAATTATCAGGAGGGATGAGCGTTTCAGGTTTCTTACTCTTAACGGTGTAGATTGTCAGTGGGAGAACCTTATTATTACCAACATTATGGGCATATGAGCATCATGATAGACAGGCATTGACAGAACTAGAACTATTATCAGTATGACATAATGGAGAACTAGAATAAGTTCGATGCATTGGTTTTGAGCAAAAGGGAATTCACAAACCCTTTGGGTCAGTCTATCGGTACTTCTAGTCTAGAACATCATAGACGTGATTCAGAACCGTCAGCTAACGGGCCTTTCATCATCGCGGAAAAAGGACTGGCTATTTAACACCACTGCCGGATGTCGGATGCACTAGAGTGCCGATGTAGCCGTGCTGACGTTGGAATATACGCGACCAAGACTGGTACATTATAAATAGCAGACACAGTCTCACTGCAAAAGAGAAATTTCTTATTTTTTATCCAAATACTCATACTGGTCATGTCTAGCCTTCAGAATATCAACTCGGCCACCCTGGGCGTGTCTATGCCCGAGATTACCTTGCCTGATGGAAGCAAGGTTCAAACGGGAACCGTCGGGTAATTATAGAGCTTAAAAACGTCTAGATCAACCGCTTGCTAAGATGTGACATTGAACAGGGCGCTCTTGGTCAATATCAAAGCCTACAACCAAGCTCACGCGACACAAGATAGGACGTCAATGGTGCAGCTTGAGGATGTGATGAAAGCAGCTGTACCTCTCTTGAGCAAAGTGGGCATGTTTGAATTGTTTTCTGCCGAAGAATGGATCCAGGGGGATAATGAGGGGCGAAAGTTTGTCGGGAGGGCATACCTTGACTACCAAAAAGAAGGGCGCGAGTGAGATATGCCTCGTCCCTTAAGCGAGCGTTAAGAATCTGTCTAAAGCTCTGAAAGCTCTGTATATGGATAAGCAATTAAAATGTAGCCTTGGGCTCTATGTGAGCTAAAATTGGAGACGAATTGCGCAGCAACAGTTTATGAGTTCCCTCTGGGAGATTAGGGTTTGCTAATATAGATAATTGAATGCTCGAAGGCCTCTCATATTAGGTAGTTTATGGGAAAGTTTTAGCTTGGAGAAAACGAGATAGGCGGGACGGTTCTAAAACCGCGATTGGCGGACGATTACATTAAATTGACTAACTGTATATGCCCCCTACTTAATTGCTCCGGATGGATTCAACGTTTTGTCATGAAGGACTACAGCTTCGACTGGCTCAGCCTTTCTCAGGATGACTACGCACCCATGTTCCGAAAGTCCCGCCAAATTTTGGACCAGTTGCGCAGTGTATCTGACCCTGTCTTGCTCCAACTTGGTAGGAAAGGGACCAAGCATCTTATGTGGCATTGAATGGTGAACCGGCCTATCCCACACAGGGCCATTTACGAATATTAGCGACTGCCGTCGGGGATTGACTTGAATGTGTTCAACTATGCGCCTTAATAAGGCTCCAGGGATCAACCACTACCGCGGCCGACCAGGACTCTTTCCGGGAATGTCTTTGACAACTTGGTAAATTGGGTGGAAAAGGGGTTTGGCGCTGAGATAATTCCTACCGTAAGCTATCCGGATAGTAAGAGGGCGAGCTACCATCGTGATTTGTGCCTACGCCTGTTGCGCCACCGACATCCAATCTACACAGAGCTGGGGTTTCCCTTAGGATGTCTTGCCATCATATTATACTAAGTCAGGAATACGAGATAGAGCTTCGCTGCTAGCTTTGATTGATATGTACTGTCAAATATACCCATGGTGCCGTATAGATCCGATCCCACATCAGCAGGAATCTATTCCCTAAATTGACTGCTCTACTCAGCTAAGCCAAGGCAACCTTGGCGCCTCCTGGCACAAGTTCGGTGAAGACACGGTGAGGATCGTACTTGTCCCTGACGGCTTGCATCTTCCTCAGGTTCCTTGCTCCATACGCTGGGAAGGTCTCAGGGATCTGAGACTTCTGTATGTCACTAAGGTACATGAACGGAAGCGGCCCCAGCCCAGCGGCAGAAAGATTCTCCCGGATCTTCGCGTTGGCCTCAGCGTGTACCTGGAGCACGCGCTCGTCATCTTCGGGGTTGGACCATAGAGGACTCTCGACGTACCAGATCGCCGGGCTGTCGTCTTCGCCGAGACTCATGGCGTTTCCGCGTGGTGCCGCAGTCACAATGGGTGTGATTGGGAGCATGCTGAAAGCGGTTGAGAAACCTTCGACGTCCGCCAAAGATGCTATACTATCATAGTAAGTGTCGAAAGCAATTCTAGCAGCTGTAGCATTGGCATCGCTAGTCAGCCAGTGGAATATAGCCCTTGTTCCGAGAGGAGGAGCATAGTTGAACTCATTAGACCATTGGCCTATTGTCGTTCGCGTGATGTTTCCTCGTGTGATGGGTAAGATGGGTGCAGTGAAGTTTTCCAGCCCAATAGGAACATCCCCCTCACCGCTGTACCAAAGGTATCCGTCAAAAGAGATATCAGGGCTGCGGGACGGCACCCAGCGGGTCTGGCCCTCGAAAGAAGCCTTGGGATGTTCTGCGCCGTGAAGTGCAAACTGCTCCACACTCTTGATGTACTGGTCTGCCACACCAGACCCCCAGGAGACTGTTCCAATCAGGGCAGAAGAGATCGGGATGGTATTGAGAACAGCCTTGGTGACAATGCAGTAGTTGTTGCCCCCTCCAACGAGAGCCCAGAACAGGTCTGGATGCTCCTTCGCACTCGCCGTCACCAGCGTGCCATCAGCCAAAACACACTAAGTTTGTGTGGAGTGTATATTAGAATTTTGGGTTTCATATGTAGTAGGCAAGGTCGCATTACTTACGTCCAAAGATCTAGCAGCGTTCGACATTCCGTATTCGTAGGCCATGAACCCGAAGGGCCCCCCTCCCAGAATGGCACCCACGACTCCGCCATCACCCGAGCGAATGCCGTTCGCCGTGACGCCGAATTGATCCAAGTACGCGTACAAGGGCGGCCAGGTCACACCGGCCCCGATCGTGACAGTCTCGGTATCATCTGAGATAGCCATGGTGGTGAGATTCGTCATGGCCATCATGATGCCCTCTGGCCCAATGTTGGCAGCGTTGTCGATGGGCATAGCCCCTCCGCAGCGAATCGCAAATTCTACTTGGTGCTCCCGGAAAGTGTGAAGCGCGAACTGCACATCTTCCGCGCATTGCGGAGCGAAAATACAAGACGGTCCGAGGTAGGTCGTGGAGGTCCAGGAGTCTATGCACCCATTCTGTAAGCTCATTTTTGGATCGCGCTCGCGGGCAGGTTAATACTTACATTCATTCTCAAACTTGTATCGCTCCGAGCCAGGGAAGAAGGTCTTGTCAGGGTAGCTGGATGCCAACGCATTGCAACCGTCGTCGACGGCAGCCGATGACACAACGGTCAAGAAGGCAGCAAGGCCTAAGGCAGAGGTTCGAAGAGACATTTGGGCTCCAGGAAGTGAACGACAAGTGAGAGTTCTTAAGAGTGTTATATCTTCTGGTGGTAGTGAGAGGTCTTTTCCCTCACACGAATGCTCTCTTGTTTATATACATACAAGACTGAGGGGTTAAGCAGCACATATACTTGGATGTAGTTTCTTAATGCGCCAAGAAGTTTCCATACTTCCTCCCCATAAAACCAGATAATTGGAGAATCACAGCAGTTGTCACTACGCTGTACAGCACCTTCCGGATATCGAAAGGTCTCCCTTGGTCGTTTCAGAAGATCAAACCAATGAGGGCATGATCTAGCACCGAATGCGCAACTCAACCGGTTTTGTTAATGGCGGGCGAATGTTACTGTAGTCTCCAAACTTCCAGGGTTTAGAAACACCTGCTTCAAATGTATCCCACAGATGGCGGATAAGAGGCAACTATGCTCTGCTTGAAGCCTATTGACAGAGAACGTGCCGGGTCGCAGCTTATCCTAACGGACTGAATAATTCGAACCTCTTTGCTCGCGCTGCCAAGCCTTCTCAAATCACCGACATCGTTGCAGTCGGCGACGAGCCCATACTTTTGAGCCTTATACCGGGGAAGCGATATGATTCGAAAGATAGCGTGCCATTGTGGATCGCAATTTATGCATAAAAACATGCCTCAGTGATATAGGAAATTGAGCCCATGTACAGTCATAGCTTCGCAAGGTAGAATAATAAAATACCTTAAGTGAAGGTTGATTCGGGCCGGAACCGAAAGCGAAACCGTTACCGAGATGTCCCGGCAGTTTTGGAGAGATCGGCAGTAAGTTTCGGCTGATCATTACTTTGTAGTTAGAGTAATGTCACCGGCTAAACGTGACCGAAACCGACGGCCTGGGATAGGCACCGCATAAATATAATACGGTTACATAGCTTGCCAAGTGGAGAGTCCACCTCGAGAGTCTCATTTACTTCCCTGACACGAGGCTAGCAACTGCCGGCTCCTTCGGTTCATGAAGGTGCCTAGCGGGACCCATCTCATCTTGCATGAGTAAAGGGGCTTGAGATCAAGGACCCCAAAGATGTCATTCTTATGCTGCGATTTGCAAGAATAGTTTAGTTTGCCAAGTTCATCGGCAACGCGGCAAGGCTGCGGCTCCAACTTACGTACACGGCAGAACTACCGTATGCATGGCCAACTCGCACGAGGACTCGGTAATGATGGTATTACGCGTCTAATGACTGTCTCTCTCATACAAATATATATATAACAGAGCGCTTGCATGCTGGTCCAGGACACAAGATCTGATCCTAAGGCAGGCTCAATCATACATTCATCATCAATCAACTTCATCTTTTCCTCTTTTCAAGCATGAGGTTTCATTCAGGCTCAGCAAGCATTGCTGTCCTAGCAAGTGCTACCCTTTCACCTGTTTCCGTGCTTGGCTTCGAGATTAGGGACAGCGTCAAAAATGCCTGCGATCAGTTGCGATCTGCATATCCTGAGGCTCTCCTGATGCCCAACTCGACGGCATACGAGCGAGAAAGAATCAACTTCTGGGACAAGAGGTCAAACTTGGACCCCGCCTGTATCTTTCTTCCAGAGACGGCAGACGCGGTGGCTGAAGGAGTCGCCATATTTCACAAGGAACAAGCCCAGTTCGCTGTCCGCGGCGGTGGGCATATGAATGTAAGCTTGATACTAGAAAGCATTGGACCTTCGGTTTTTTTAACTAATTTACTTCCCTAGTACCCTGGTTCAAATAGTGTTGACGGCGGAGTCCTCGTCGGCATGAATGGTCTCACCGACATCAAAGTCAACACAAACCAAAGTCGCATCGAAGTTGGTCCCGGGAACAAATGGGTTGATGTCTATGAAGCTCTTGCTCCATATGGGCACTACACCATTGGTGGCAGACTCAAGACCATTGGAGTACCTGGCCTGAGTTTGATCGGTGGTGTCGGCTACTTCTTGAACAAGTACGGCTTCACGATGGACAATGTCCTGAGCTACGATGTGGTCCTGGGTAACGGAACGCAGGTGGTGGCTAATGAGACATCTAACTCTGGCTTATTCTGGGCCTTAAAGGGTGGCGGCAGTAGTTTCGGTATCGTCACCAAGTTTGTCTTCAAAACGTATCACGTCCCACAAGTCAGCAGCACCTATCAGATCTTCGACGATTCACAAGCCCACGACTTTATCCGAGCAGCCTGTTCCATGCTTCTTTCTGAAGATGGGACCGTCGGTGCTGGTGCCGTGGTCAACATCAACTATAACGTGACTACAAAGAAGGCTACCCCTCAGGTTTTTGGCCTCGAAGAGACAACGACATCCCCGCCACCTCGTTTTGACGCATTTAGCTCTCTTCCAGCCGTGAGCCGCAGGAATGCTGTCATGCGGCCGGTTGATTGGCACTCTCAAATGGAGACTCCCAACCAAATGTTCAGGTAGGCTTGGCCCAGCAGGTTTTTAAGCTGGTGTTGGTGATTTGCTCATTTCTAATCAAATTCCCAGAGTACAATTCGGCCATCACACGATCAAGCCCGATGCCGACCAGCTTATCTACATCTACGACCAGTGGATAGCCTCCCTGGACGAAGTTGCGGAGATTCCAGGGATTCGGCCAACGTTCATTCTTAACTTCGCACCAAAGTCCGGCGCCGCAGTAGCCAAGCGCAACGGCATTGGAAATACTTTTGGTCTTAGTGATGACCAATCATATATCTGTAAGATTGATCTTTTTTAATCCTAGAATTGGGCTATTTAAGCTGATGCAAATCTACAGGGTGGCAATTCACAACCTCCTGGGCGAACGAAGAAGACGACCTACGAGTTACAGCTTGGCATCAGCACCATCTCAAACGTTTGCATGAGATGAACAAGGAGAAGGGCTTGGCTTCTGACTTCCTCTACATGGGTGATTCTGGTGAATGGCAAGATCCAATCTCGACCTATGGAGATAGGAACATTCAGAGGATGCGCAAAATTAGGGATCTCTACGATCCTGATCTCACTTTCACGAAGCTTAACTGGGGAGGTTTCAAGCTTGGGTACTAAGGTTGCTGGCATTTATTGTAACTACCGCTCCTGCGTCAACTATCAACTATTGCGAGGCTTTCATCCTTCTAGGATCTTCTCTTGTTCTGTTCTCCATGTTTTCTTAGGTATAGTCTCTGACCTCTAGTTATATCCTAGCTATAACTATATTATAGGATTAATAAGAAGCGAATATCTTCCATTGTGTTTCAAAATCTTAATAGCATTTCTATGACTGCTATCTCCTCCGATCCCTTCCTCTCTTTCTGTGCCACCGCAGGCTGCCCTACATGTTCTTACGGGTCACTGCGGAAGACTGCAGTGATCTGGCCTTGGGCACCAGAACGAAGGAAGCCAGGTGAAAGAAGGTAGCTTTAATAGTCATTCGACGAGCCGCTCGTCCTGACGGCAAGTGAGTCATCGGCATGAAGGTTTGCAGACTTTTCTTTCCGTACGGCTACAGCCTTGAAGGCTTTTTTTTTTTAAGTTTTTGTATTCATTGTGTTGAGTTGTCGGGCTCTGGCAGCTTCCATTGCTGTTAAACTTTATTCTCTTTCTCTTAGGTAAGAAGCGAATATAGAGTTATAAATTAATAAAAATGCCTACATCGCGAGCTCTTCGTCCATACCATAGATTTATACTTATCTATTCTAAAATTTCATTAACCCATAGTTTCCAGTCAGCGTCTTCACATAGACACTCCATTGCGTCTACATCAAGCGTGATCAAGACTTCGGACCCCAGGCATCCTTTCCTAGCGGGGAGTATCAAGCCAGCGCCGATGTTCCATTCGGCTTGAGCCCTGCGTATCGCATCAGGCGCCACGCCGCCACCATTTTTATCCCCTTCTTGCTCTACCGCACCAGGAATCTTCCATCTTGTCTGCCCCCCAAAGTGGCGCCATGAGTTGAAATAGAAGTCGCGAGGATCTCGGGGATCGGCGTCTACGCCGATGAGCCTTGGGTCAGGAGCTTCCCGGAATAGTGCCGTGCGTAAAGCCACAAAGCTGTCATCAACATTGCGCACCATGGCCTCAATGGCTTGGGTTATTGTCCCCAAAGCGGGGCTGGAGATGCTTTCGTCCCTACTGCATGCCGCCAGAACAATCCCAGTGTCGAGTGCAGTCTTAGGGAGCGCCACGGCATTACCGGCGTTTGGGCCCATGGTTCCTGTAAATGCCCGTTGACGCCAGTCGGTAGATATCATGAGACGGACATCGTTAGGAATAGTCATCTTCTCGCCCGGAGAGGAAGAAAGCAGGTTGATGGGGCTGCTTAGGCGCGCCTTCGTAACGTATGCCCAGGAAAGCGCCGCGAGGCAAGTGAACGTTGAAGGTGAATGCCCACAGCACTCGGTGATCCTATGCTTGAGTATTTCAATTTGCTGGGCGCCAAAGATAAATACGCGCCCGGTCTTTTGGATGTCTTTCCAAGGCATGCCAGCCTGGGAGATCCGAAATTGCGTTGGGCCTGTAAGAGATGAGAGCAGCTGATACTCAGGGCACTTGCTTAAGAGATCATGGAAAGTGCTGGAGCTACTGTGACCGGACCCAATGAGAAGATTGGGAGGTAGGTCAAGGTGAATATCGGTATATTCTGCCATAGGTAGCCTCGTTGGTTCAATGGTCAGCTGTGCCAACGAGCTAACAACCTTGTGTATGGCAGTCCCATCAGATACGGAATGATGGCTGTATATGCCCAACAGTAATCCTCCCTCGATTAGTCTCGCATGTACTTCAAACACCGGAATGCCCTCGCTGTTTTCTAATAGCTCATATGGGAGGTCGAAGCACGGGTGGACAAAGGCTTTTGCGGGGAAGCCTTGGGCTTCAAGCTGCGCGTAGGTCCAATTATAGGAATTGCGCTCGTCATAGACCCTGAGTGATATCTTCGCGTCATCGTCTGGATAGATGCAGAGATAGCCCGGGTGTCCCGAGAGAAGTGAAATCTTGCAGGTGAGGTGTGGAAAGTGGCTCGCTAGGCGATCAAGAGCTGATCTGAGATGGCTTGTAATTCCCTCAGGGCGTGCGTCCCGCCAGCAAGGAAAGCAAAACCATTGCCGTTGGTATACCCTCGGCGCAATTTGGTTCCATGTGCTCAGAAGTTTGCGTTCCATCGTGGCAAGGGCACTCGATATCAAATGGTAGGTGAAAGATCCTGATAAGATGTGTAGGCGTATAAAGCCTCTAGGTAGTACGCATCAGTTTGTGGATGTATGAATATGCTGGGCATGGGACAAATGCTGGACGAGGTGCCCTTGTAGACATGGTTGGAATCATGTAAATATTCCAAGCCTAGTGTACACTTTGCCACATCAATGCCGCTCTGCCATCTGCTACAATGCAGCGACACCCAGGAAGCAAGAGGTCATCTTGCAAGAAGAAACCACACCGCCTCTTTCCCTCCCCAGATCGACAAAGCTCCTCAGACTTTAGGCGGGTACCTATGTCTGTAGTGGTTGTAGTGGAATTCGCACTACTCGTGGGTCAATGGCGGCTGCCCCACTAAGGGAGAGACGGGATTACATATAGGTATTTTCTCTGTTAGTGGTGTATTACCCGTCCAATTTCACCGAGGCTACTCATTATACTCATTTGCAGCCTTCTTAATATGGTAATCCCGCTACGCTAGTGCTGAATGGGACAGCCATCCCTATTTGGAGCAACAAACAACTACACTCTGCTGTAATCGATGTTATACAGCTTTAGCCTACTATATCCAGGGCAGATTGATGTGGCCACATGTAGCCGGACTTATTTACTTGAATGAGTATCGCGAAGAGTAGAGATACCCTCTCTGATGTGAAGCTACACGTGGGCCAGGAATTTGGTGGCCTTCAACATCTACTATATATACATCTTCTCGATTGACTGTTCAGTTCATCTTGCTAGCGTTTGACAAGATAAGGACCGAGGGTGACTTCTCCCGACTCTTTGTTGAATTTGTTCGCATCTAGCGTCATACTTCTCGCATCACTATGATTTTCCCTCTGCTGTCAACAGCAGTCCTGCTTCTTCTCCTCGAACCCTTCCTCGCCTATCTATGGGACTCTAAAAAGCTTCGGCGTTTTCCAAACGCCACGCCCTTCTCCGGTGTTTCCAACCTGAGCTTCATGCTCGAACGTCTTAAAGGATTTTGATCCAAGCAACTCCATTCAGCTTATGAAAAGCACTCTACAATCAGAATCGGGCCAAACACGCTATCTTTCTGCTCACCGAGCGCCATCCGCTCTATATATGGCCACTCGACACCCTGTACCAAGGGCGGCTCATACGAAGCCACGCTTGGACCTCATCCGGGACTTATTGACGTAGTTGACAAGGAACTGCATGCCTCAAAGCGCCGGATCCTGTCCAACGCCTTCGCAACTCGCAATCTTGAAGGGTGGTGTTTCAAGGTCGCGGATAAAGTCAGACAGTTTGTTATCCAATTTGACCGCATCTCGCACGGTGGAGTCGATGGAACTACCGTCCCGGGCAGCGTGGACTTCCGGAAGTGGGCCAATCTGTTCTCGGTCGAGGCCATCGCCGATATTGCTATCAGCAGGCGATTGGGCTGCCTCGAACGAGGTGACGATCTCGTTACATTCACAACAGTCCATGGAGCCAAGAAGCAAACAAGATTCGTTCATACTCTACACTCAGCCAGGAGAGCCACATCGTTTATTGTCTGGTCGACGCGGTATCAGCTCTTGAAGGCTGGCCTGGAAACAATCCCTGGCTTCTTCAAATCACAAACTGTCGAAGGCGAAGTGTTTCCGGAAATCATCGCATCTCTGCTGCATGAGCGTGTAGAGCGATACAAGGCTGGAGAAGACCTGGATGATCTAGCTCGTTGCCTCCTGGAGGATAAGGGTGGACGGTCTCGGGACGTTACCGAGGCACAGATCGAAGGCGATGTCAGTAACATTTGTAAGTATTTTGGCTCAACTGAATGTCTTTTTGTGTGGTCAGTCGCAAATGCTGACGATTTGTAGAGGATGCCGGGTCCGAGAGAACGGCCATTGCACTCACACACGTCATGTGTTTTTTTACCGAGAACGCCTTTTGTGCTGGAAGCGCTTCGCGACGAGGTGGCAGCCAATGTTGTATTCGACAAGGGCGGAGTCGCGACGTACGAGAGCGTGAAAAACTTGCGCTATCTCCGCGCGTGCCTCGATGAGTCGCTGCGCCTTCTTCCTCCCGTCTCAACAGGGCTCCATCGCCTAACGCCCCCCAACGGCCTTACTATTGACGGCCATTGGATACCGGAAAAGACTATTGCAGTTGTCCCGATTTACACAGCTCACAGGAACTCGGACCTCTTCCCAGAAGCCGCAGCGTTCCGACCTGAGAGAAGGTTAGAGAACAGTGCAAAAGACGCGCAGGCTTCCTTCATTCCTTTCAGCGCAGGCACACCGCTGCTGCATCAGGCGTAATATCACATATATTGAACAAATGGTGCTCGTCGCCAGTCTCATCCATCGCTACGACTTTGGATTTCTCGATAATACGTGGGAGCTTGAGCACGAGGAGGCGTTGACTTTGTGGCCTGGACCTATGCTCTTAAGAGTCAAGCGGCGAGATACTGAGGTTCTGGCGTAGCCGGATCCGGGATGCGTTCAGCATATGATTAGGCTAGGGCTACCGGCGGACATCGCTCCTTAATTCTAGATGACTATAAAAGTTGTCATCTTCCTGCTGAGAGTTTGAGTACAAAGTAAAAAACAGCACTGGAAGATGCCAGACGCGACATCTCAACACAATAGATAAGAAGTTGTCATCTTATATGATGCTTCGAGGATAAATTATAATGCTGTTCTTCCTCCTGTACTTTTCGATCTGCGTAATTCGTGCTCTAAACTATATGTATGCAACGGGTTCTACTTTGGGCAGCCCTATTGTCTGCAAGTTATAGCTTTTCAACTGCCTCGATAGATCTCGTTGCCGAAGTATAATGGCTTGCTGTATAAGATATTCGACAACATGTTGACTGCTTATATCCACGTTGCTGAGCAATTCCAAGCGCGCAGTATTTAGATCGGTTGCCATGAGATGCAAGTCATCATGATTCATCGATGCTCGTGCTCGTCAATAACAAGTGGTTAGGGGGGATTGTATTCGGTACCATGTTAGAGCTATATCTCGCAGTTTTTAAGGTGTATGTAATCTTTTTACTATTAAACTTGCCAAGTCATTCAACAAATAATAACGTAAGGCTTTTATAGACATTTAAATAACTTCCACTGCCTTATCAATATTCAGTTCATACCATGATAGCATAACATTGTAACTATGTGGCTTAAATAGGATGCTGCGGAAAGAGATCTCCAATTGCAGGAGGAATAACACGGCGGGAACCCCCCAACTAACATTTGCAAGAGTTATGGGAAATGCGGTTGCTAGATATCACTGGAAAGAGAAAGAAAGGACAAATTTCCAAAATAGTCGCAATAATCCAATGGCTTGCTTCAATAAAGTGTGGCCGAGTTCACAAGAGGTATGGGCTCTCCTGGGCTGAGCGGTACCAGATAGACGATATAAAGAGAGTAGAGTCTATCACTCGGGCTTCCTTCCCCAGACGAAATAGATCGGCAAGTAAAGGTGAATCGACGGGTCTTTGAGGTCCTTCCTAACCTTGGCAATGTACACCTGGATCTCCTCTTCCGTCCAGCCAAGCACAGTCGAGAAGAGCCTGGGCGTGTACGACTCTACGGCCTGAATCTGCTGGATGGCCTGGAATTTTCCCATCTCTTTGAGTTTGGGATCCTTGGGCCAAGCGCCAATGGGCATCTTGCCACCTCATGTCAGCAACGACCAGATATTTAGAGTGGGAGGGCAGCATACCTTGAGAACTTCCTGCTGCACGTCCACAAACCCCGCCTTCTCCATCTTCTCCTTCCAGTCAACAGCAATCTCGAGCGACTTTCCGAACTTGGCCCCACCCTCCAGCAAAGTCTTGAGCCAGGTCTGGGCGTTCTCGGCCTTGTCAGCGGTGCCATCATCGGACATCCAGCGCGGGTTCGCCGCCTGGAACTCGATGTATCCACCCGGGGCAAGGTGGTGGAAGGCACGCCGGAAGAGCTCGTCGTCGTCGCTGATGCATCCCTCAAGTTCGCGTGCGTGGATGAAGTCGAAGGGCTTGGTGTACAGCCATTCGGCTTCGTAGTCGTCAACCTCGAAGAAGCAGTTTGGAGGGGTCCTGATTTGCGAGTTACTACGTGTAGCGGGAGGTCGGCGGGAAGATGTAATACCATTGCGGCTGGATGGGGCTTAGATCCGTGCCAATCACCTGTGCGGATGGGTATTCACTACATTCATGTCAGCCAGATGATCGCGTCCGCTTAGATCGGAGACAGACTCGGCAAAGTCCATGGCCCAAATACCCGTGCCGGTACCGATGTCGAGGACACGATGGGGGCTATCGGCGATAGGCGCTAGGAAGAGCTTGCCGCCGAGCAACAGGCGGTATAGATGGTGTACGAGATCCATGCGGTCTTGCTCAGTGTCGTCGTTTGGCTGTTGTGTCTCAGCTTGGTTTCCTCCGGGAGTCTATCACAAGTAACATACTAGGAAATAAGTGCCTGCACGGAAGGCATGGTAGCGACGTCCGTTCTACCCCGAATAAGTAACTACATTAATAACGAACGTAAATTCGCGCTCATACGCACTTCATATCTGGATCACCAGAGTAGGTTAAAAAAAGATGCGAGGACGGCGACGCAGTAGGCAACATACTTGTAGTTTATAATGCTTGAAGCCAAAGAGGTCTGATAGCTACCCGAATTCTCCCTAATTAGGTAGTCAGCGCAACCCCTCAGAGTAGCAGGTCCATGGTAGCCTTACGAGCTAGCATACGCAGAATCATCGTCGGCTTGATTATCCTGAAGGGAAGTGTCAGATAGTTGGCAAACTGAGGGGAAATAACGTTACTAACATCCGCCTCGAGGGGATTCCCGGCCAAGGCCTCCTGCAGTGGTGGCGCAGGGGACTCAGACTTTTGTCGCTCGTCCGCACACATGGTCAAGGCAGTTTGGGAGGAAGAACGACTGGAAGAACAGTGTGGGCTCGGCACACGTTTAAAAACGGTATGCCTGTGGGACGCCTCATAGCGCACGCGCAGCCAATAAAAGCAAGATTGGAAGTACTTCTTTTGTGGTGGGAGGTCTGTGGTCTTACGAAGTATTCTTTAGCAATGTTGGGCTTGGCAAGCACGGGGGTTCCCGCTCACTATTCCGCTTCGGTACTCGTGCCCGTGACTTGTCCCTTTTCCTCTCTCCACTCCATGCCACTGTGACGCTGCGCCCATTTGAGCTGCCTGATTGGTAAACCGACCCTACAATGTTTACCTCAGACATGCATGACGTGGCGCCCCTATCCTGGACCCTGTCTCGCCAATTTCATAATCATGGCAACGCCCCACTGGCCATATTGAGCACTGCAAGGTTGTGGGATTCCGTCATGTTCGTAGATAGTGCGGCCAAGATCTCAACCAAGAAGAGGAAAAATGGAATTCATCGAAAACACAGCTTTTGGGTTGGTTGTATGTTTGGTTTAAATAACATTCATTTGATCAATTGATTGCTCCTAGCGAATTAGTTGTGAGATGCCGTAAAGGCACTTTTACAAGCATCACTCGTAGAGAAAGGATGAAAATTATGTATGAAAGGTCGTTCTCTAAGTCCACGGCCAAAATCAGGCCTTTTTAACTCTCTAAGAACGAAGGCAGCCTCTCAATATATCTACTAGATGTACTCTAGATGCGCTAGTATCTAGCTTCTACTCGTGCTAGCCTTTATTGATAAGTATAGTATAATCGCCATATATGTAATTTATAATAGCGTAGGTAACCTAGAGGCTTCAAATAATCATAGAGAATATCTAGTATCTAGGGATTCTAGTACTATAGTGAACTGAATAATAACTAGTAAATACTTACTATTATATATATATTTATTTCACTTAGCTAGAACACTCTCTTAACTAGCTATTAATAAACCTATTAGTTTATATATACTACTATAAAACTAACCTTACTTTTAACTTAATACTAAGTCAGGGATGGAAGGTCCGGGTTTTCGCAGGTCATACCTCTGAACAGCACGATAAAAGGAGCCAATTTTTCGCAGCCTAGTCAAAAATGCATGCTTTTTCCTTCATTTCAATGGAGACCCTAACTAAGTTGTGACTGACGAGTGAATTGACTGACTGCTCGCATTGCCTCTGTTCATTGAAGCCGGCTGTGGCCTCAAGAGGCGCTGCGACGAGCGTTTCAATATGCCTCCTTCGTGAGAAATCCCTCTCTTCTTAAACCACTTAATCGCTTGAGATGAGGAAGGCCTTCGTACAACGAATCACAATGCGGGTGATGAAGCTGTCAATTGACGCGATAATCGCTGTGTGCCACATACCCTTTGTTGTTGTGGTTGTGGGTGTTGTGTGTGTGTACAGCTTCCTCTCTCCCCTCTTCAATACTAGCCTCTAAGTAATAACTCTATTATCCTTCTCTCCTTACCTAGGTAGTATAACTATTAACAAACAAAGATTGCACACCCTTAGCCTGTTCGTCACACGGATGTATTCATTAATTGATTCCGATTATGATGATGATAATGATAATGATGAGAGATATTTTAGCGAAAGCACCCCGGATGTAAGAATTTTGAAATACATGGATAGGCTGAAGGTCTTGGCGTTGGAAACTGAGGCATGTACGAAGCTGATGGACAACGAAGAGCTACGGTTGAACTTTCACAATTGGCAATAGGTGATTTTCCCTCTTGTTCCGTGGGTAAATGCAGACTGGTTCAAATCATAAATTACTTGCAGTTTAAAAATGGTTAAATTTTACCTAGTGCCTGTATGGAAGAGGTCCGACAGCTGCGGAGACAAAAGGAATTGCCCGGAATGGACTCCGAACGTCACCTCACCCAAGGCTATTCTCTCGGTAACCCCATCATGATTACTAAAGAACAGCTTATCCATATCATGCATTTTATAATGCATCTTGAGCCGTAGGATCTAATTGAAGATGCTAGATCTCTGCCCTTATGTAGCAATAGCGGGCTAGATGTTCCTCAACAACACTTTCAATTTTCGTGTTTTCTTGACGAGAGGTCTCTGAACGCCGCCAAAAATCCCAGACACAACGCCGCCAGGCTCTAACCAAGACATGACCGAGAAGAAGGAAATGGCTGCCTTTCGACAGTATATTCCTCCCCAGGATGTCCAAAGAAGCGTCGATCTCGCCCGATGCGACACCTACGAGTGGGCCAGAATCCGTTGCGCCGAGCCCTTCATGATCAACTGGAAGCGCAAATGGGACGAGCTGTGCGACGAACCATACAAGGGCATCACCACCGACGGAAACGTCGTATCGGGCCTGTATAGGCTAGCCAACGGCTCCGAGGACCACGGAGCTCCCGTGGCCGCCATGGTGACCGCCGCTGAACGGACACTCCAAACTGCCACCGCAGAAGAAAAAGAACGGATGTGCAGGGCTGTTGACGCACCCGAGTGGCGAAAATGGGCAAACCCCGAGATTTACGTCTTCAGACATGGTATTCGGCTGGAGGAAGTTTCGGAGGAGCTCGTCGCCGCTGTCCATGGCTTGATGAGAGAAAGCCTATCGCCAGCTGGCTATGCAAAGGCGTCCGGCTGTATGGATGTCAACGAATTCCTTGGGGACGTCGTCAACGGCAAAGGTGTCCTAAACAGAAACTCGTACAACTTTGTTCTTTTTGGCGTGCCATCGCTTGATGAGCCTTGGGGATGGCAACTGTTTGGTCACCATCTCGATTTGAACGTCTTCTGCGTAGGGTCTCAAATGGTCATTTCGCCAGTGTTCATGGGAGCTGAGCCTAATGTCATCGATGATGGACCCAAGAATGGCACCGAGCTGTTCACCGACCAAGAACGAGTGGGCATGAGTCTGATGCAATTCATCGACTCGGAGAACATAGAGGGCGTGCGTATATTCAATGAACTGAGTGGTCCGGAGTACCCAGTGTGGCGATTTCACCGTGCGGACCAGCGACATCTTGGGGGGGCCTTCCAGGACAACAGGGTGATTCCATACGAGGGTGCCAAAGTCACAACGTTTCCGGCAGCCCAGCAAGATCTGGTGCGACAGATCCTTGTTCTTTGCCTCAACCACCTCCCGGAAAAGGCACTGTCAGCCAAGATGGGAGAGATCTCAGGACATTGGGAGGACACGTATTTCTGCTGGATTGGGGGATGCCGTAGAGGTGATGCATTTTACTACAAGGTCCATTCTCCAGTTGTCATGATCGAGTTTGATCATCACAGTGGAGTTTTTCTGAACAACAAGGTTCCCCTACCTTTTCATATTCACACGCTGGTGAGGTCCCCTAACGGGAATGACTATGGCAAGGCGCTGTTGAAGCAAGTACTGGATGCCTGAGCTTTGATGCTCTACACCTTGTTTTAGATTGCCCGAACATGATCAAATTGGGATTGCTACGAATCACTTAGGAATATAAGAGGAATGGTGTACCATAGCTAGCTGATCCCCAGATTTTCAATGCGATCAAGCCACTGCTCGCAGTGATCGATCGAACTGAACACTGTTATTTTTGTTTTCGCAGATGGAAAGCGCAAATTACAGGTGAAAATGTTCCTTCTATAAGACAATACTTGTGAAACACTCCAAATGCAGAGCAGCACGCTAGCAGCTTATTGAACACGGACCAGAGGTCAACAACGCAGCAGCTATCGTTGCGGCCACTGACGATCTAATTACGGCCGCTGAAAAGCATAGAGTAGTTGCGGTGTGTGCCAAGAAATTATCAGTTCCAAGCAAGCGAATGAGCATAGCATTTTGCAATCCATGTGGTTACCTACGGAGACCCGCACCTCCATGTTGGTGCTCGGTGTATCCGGAATCATCTCCGGCATTGATTCCGTGTAGGTAAACCCAGCGATCTCCGTTGATTTATGCGGGCGTTTTGATCAGACCATCTCAGTCATTGAGGTCGGAGCCATACTCCAACTGCCCGATGTAATCTTCTCGTTCCGCACGTAGAGCATCGCCTTGTAAAGACCGGTTGTTTTGATAAAGGAGATCTTCTGCTTCCGCTTCCACTAAGCGGCGGTTGACCTTGATCCACGCTACTCACAAAACCAAATCAGGAGGTAAAGACATTGACCCTCTAGCACCCCAAAGATCACTGCTGATTCTTTTTACTAGAGCCCTTATATCTACAAGGTTCGAGATGCAAGAATACGACACCGACGTGCTCGTGGTCGGTGCTGGCGTCGCTGGCCTATCCACGGCCATCCTCCTAGCCGAGCAGGGCATCCGCGTCTCAGTAGTTGCCAAACACAACGGCACGGCACCGTCCCCGCGCGCGCATGTCACGAACCAAAGGACAATGGAGGTTTTTCGAGACATGGGTATCGAGGCCGAGGCAAAAGCAGCCGGCTTCTCCCTGGTCGGCGCAGGCAGCCTCGTCATGGCCACAAGTCTCACTGGCCAGGAGATCATGAGATACAGCTGCTACGGCGGCGGCGACCATCAGTTTACGGATTTCGCCAAGTCAAGTCCGTGTTCGATGCATAATATCTCACAGTACATGCTCGAGCCAGTGCTGCTCGCGAGAGCTCGGGAGAAGGGTGCAAACATCAGGTTCTATCACGAGCTGGTCGATGTCGAGCAGTCATCTACAGAGGTTACTGCAAGAGTCAGGGAGCGGACGAGCCAAGGTGAATACGTGGTCCGCGCGAAATATCTCGTTGGCGCAGACGGAGCGCGATCAACGGTTGCGACCAAGTCCGGGTTTGGCTTCGAGGGCGAGCCCGGCCTGATGTCCATGACCAGCTCATGGGTGGAAATGGATCTGACCCAATACGTGGCTCATCGGCCTGCTTGCATCTACTGGATGCTGCAGCCAGGCGATGAGTTCTGGGTGGGATCCGGCACTTGCGTGGTCATGAAGCCTTGGACGGAATGGGTTCTGAATAGGCAGTACAACGCCGAGGATGGCGAGCCTGATACGTCGGACGAGGCCATCATTGCCCATGCGCGTAATGCGCTTGGCTTGCCAGACTCTTTACCTATACGAGTCAAGCATAAAGCAAAATGGCAGGTCAATCACGTTGTGGCGACTGAATATCGCCATGGGCGCATATTTTTGGCCGGTGATGCTGCGCATCGTCACCCTCCATCCAGTGGTCTGGGCAGCAACACTTGCGTGCAGGATGCCTATAATCTTGCCTGGAAGCTGGCCTTGGTTCTCCAGGGGAAAGCTGGCGATAGCCTGCTGGATACGTACAGCCAGGAGAGACAGCCCGTTGGGAAGCAAGTCGTGGACCACGCCATTGAGACCTTGCACCAGATGGCCGCTCTCCCCAAGGCTCTAGGTTTCCAGCGTGGCCAGTCGCGCGAGCTTGGCTTTGCGCAGCTGGAAAATCTCTTCTCAGACGCTGAAGGAGCCGAGGAGCGCCGCTTGTACCTGGAGGAGCAGGTTCAGCTAGGAAATCGTCGTTCCAACGCGCTCGGGGTCCAGCTCGGTCAACGCTACCAGGATTCGGGCGCGATCGTGTACGACGGAACGCCATTTCCAGCGTATCAACGTGACCCAGTCCTCTACTACGAGCCTACAACTCACCCCGGCGCTTACGTCCCCCACGCGTGGATAGAATATAATCAACAGCGGATCTCGGTTCTGGATATCTTCGAGCACGGACACTTCGGACTCGTCGTAGGTATTGGTGGAAAGCCTTGGGAAGTCGCCGCTGAGGAGGTCAGTCGGGACCTTGGTATAAAGCTCCCGGTGCACTACGTAGGGTTACGATGTCCATATGACGATGTGCTCTGCGAGTGGAGGCAGAGACGAGAGATTAGTGACAGAGGTGCTCTTCTGGTTCGACCTGACCGACACATTGCTCTGCGGTCGCATGATCGTCCAGAGAACCCCACAGAGGTGTTGCGCTCTGCACTCAAGCGCGTGCTAGGTATGAAGTAGTTTAATCGAAAGTCTCGTGTGTGGGAACAGAGAGCCATGTAGTTGCTTACTGAGTGAACTCCCGACGATCGAGTGCCTTGATTCACGGGTTGGGTTCTGACGGAAACAACTTCCGATCCGTAGCCGCGATTTTCCGTAATTTGAATGCTAGGAGAGAAGTTGATATCCGATGTCATGACCTCGCAGGATAATAAATACTCAGCGAGTCGCTCTCTGCTTCGCCGGGATGTTGGGATAACTCGCCTCACATAGACTCAACTACTTCGAGGACTAGGCAACGAAATCATCCAATGGCTACCTTGTTGTGTCGGCAGATCCCGCGGCTTAGTTCACGCAGGCTTACTCTGCCTGGTCGTCAGAAGCTATCTTCGATGGCGCGCTTCAATTGGGAGGACTCCTTGTCTGTTAAGAATGCGCTCACACCGGAAGAACTGGACATCCAAGAGACCGCTAGGGCATATTGTCAGGAGCGACTACTTCCACGTGTTCTCGGTAAGTTGGGCCTGGATTCTCTTCAAAGTTAGGCTCCGGCATCTGATCTTTTCCGTGTCCAGATGCGTACCGCGACGAAGACTACGACTCCAAGATCTTGAAGGAGATGGGGAGCTTGGGACTCCTCGGTGCAACCATACCCACCCACGGCTGCGCTGGTGTTAGCAGCGTTGCGTCTGGTCTGATCGCGAAGGAGGTCGAGCGAGTCGATTCGGGATATCGATCAGGCATGTCTGTGCAGAGCTCGCTTGTCATGGGCCCTATTTCTGAGCATGGCACAGTGGAGCAAAAGGATCGTTTTCTCCCTCAGCTCCGAGATGGGACAATGGTTGGGTGCTTTGGCCTCACTGAGCCAAATCACGGGTCGGATCCCGGATCCATGGAGACCATTGCCAGAGAGCACCCCACAAAGAAAGGGTACTTCTCGTTGTCTGGTGCCAAAACCTGGATCACCAACTCCCCCATTGCCGATCTGCTCATTGTCTGGGCAAAGCTAGAGACCACGGGCAAGATCCGAGGCTTTCTGATAGAGCGAGGAGAATGTCCGCCGGGCACTCTAGAAACCCCCTCTCTCAAGCACAAAAATGGCCTTCGAGCTTCCATAACCGGGATGATCCTGCTCGACAATTGCCCAGTCCCCGCCGAGAACATGCTTCAAGTGGAGGGCCTCAAGGGGCCTTTCAGTTGCCTCAATTCCGCCCGCTACGGAATCGCATTTGGCACCATGGGCGCACTGGAAGATTGCATTGCCCGCGCTAGGACGTACGCGCTTGATAGGAATCAGTTCAAGAAGCCGCTGGCGAGCTATCAGTTGATTCAGAAGAAATTGGCTGATGCGCTAACGGATGCAGCGTACGGGACATTGGCGGCCATTCACGTTGGAAGACTGAAGGATGATGGAGAAATGGCACCGGAGATGATATCCATGATAAAGAGGCAAAATTGCGACAGAGCTCTAACTGGGGCACGGGCGTAAGTGGACAGTTACCTTCTTGCTGGTCTGATCGATGCTGACCAAGTGCAGGCTACAGGAGGTGTTTGGAGGGTGAGGCTAACCAAAAGATTCATTCAACGAATATAAATTAACATGTGATTAGGAACGCGGCGTCAGACGAATATCACATTGGTACGATCAATGGGTTTGCTTGGCGATGGTTATTCTGGAAAGCTAACACGTTCCAGGCCGCCACGTAGCCAACCTCTTTGTCGTTCAGACGTACGAAGGACAATCTGATATCCACTGTGAGTGACATATGACTGGATCAAAAGCATAAGCTAACGGCATCCAGCCTTGATCATAGGTCGTGGCATCACCGGCTTACAAGCATTTCATTAGCAGTCCCCCGCCTTTGGCTGCGCAGGCTACTTCTTCAAAGACTTCTTATACAGGGCAACAAGTGATGTAGTGATAGAAAGTGAGCTCCGAATAGTAACTTCTCCACTGCACAACTCCATCATAGAGCTAGACTATGGAGGCTAGAGCATAATTGTTCAACCAATATTACACATCATCATCCGCTTAATCCACTATGTGACACTGCCATCTCTAATAATCGTATTGTTATAGTTCCGTCATTAATGGAAGCGAAATCCGAGTTGGTTCCGCTTAACCTGGAATGACTCCCGTCGCTACCGGGCATTTAGTTAGCGCTAACGGGGCTCACGGAAAGCTACTGAAACACTTCAACATGGACGTGCACTACATTTGATCGTGTGCTGAAGGTAGGAAGGTTCAGGCCTTGAACATTCTACGCCAATTTGGAAGTCAGACTTGAATTATTCAAGGTTATTACTCACATGGGAAACCGCATTGCTCTATCAGTTGTTATCAAATACTAGAAAAAATGGCAAGATTCAGATATTCCTCCGTGATAAACCAGTCTAGACGCTCACTGTCGACGCATTCACGACAACCCGATGGACTTCTCCCATTAGCAGGAATCCGCGTCTTAGATATGACGAGAGTCCTTGATGGGGTATGCATGCCAAGACGCAGTCTACTATGAAGAAGAAAGCTGATGAGATTCCACCAGCCATACTGCACGCAAATTCTTGCCGATCTAGGGTGAATTCATTGGCCCCCTCCGCATAACATCAGATACTTCGTCGCCATCCTCGACTTCCTGCTAACTTGTGCTCACCGGCTGCAGCGCGGAGGTCATGAAAATCGAGCATCCTACCCGGGGAGACGACACCAGGGCTTGGGGGCCGCCATATGCGAAAAGCTCCCGCGTGGGCACGCATGCCCCAGGAGAGAGCGCGTACTTTCTAGCGGTGCGTGCACAGTAGCGCAAGATGAGAAAATTCTTCTGACATGGGGATTTCAGGTCAACAGGAATAAGCTCTCTGTGGGCCTTTCGTTCAAGGACCCCAGGGGCGTACAAATCTTGCACAAGCTGGCTTCCGAATGCGATGTGCTGGTTGAAAACTACATCCCCGGCACCCTCAAGCAGTATGATCTCGACTTCAAAAGCATCAACAAGATCAATCCGAGGCTGGTCTACACTAGCATCACTGGGTACGGCCAGACGGGCCCCTACCGTAAACGTGCGGGCTACGACGTCATGGTAGAAGCCGAGATGGGATTGATGCACATCACAGGGTCGAGGGATGGGCCGCCTGTCAAAGTTGGTGTCGCGGTAACGGACCTGACTACTGGGTTATATGCTACGCATTCCATTCTTGCGGCTTTGTTTCTGAGACAAAGGACGGGGAAGGGGCAACACATTGACGTCGCCCTGGCCGACTGTCAAGTTGCCACACTTGCAAATATTGGCAGCTCGGTTTTGATTAGTGGCGACAAAGATTCTGGAAGGTGGGGGACGGCGCATCGTAAGTTTTCATTATTCTACGCTTTAGGATCATATGATGAACCTGTCTCTCGCAGCTTCAATTGTGCCATATCGAGGTTTTCGGACGTTGGACGGAGATCTGATGCTTGGAGGAGGAAACGACCGCCTATTCAGGATACTTTGTGAACGGCTAGGGTTTCCCGAATGGGCCACCGACTCACGGTTTGCTTCCAATAGCAGTCGTGTTGCTAACAGAGCCGTGCTGGAGCCTCTTATTGAGGAAGTGACCATGACAAAAACAACAAAGGAGTGGCTTGATGTCCTAGAGAATAGCGGCATGGCTTATGCTGCTATACACGATGTGAAGAGTACGCTGGGACATGAGCACGGTAGGTTCTTCCTTGTCCCCGAGAGAAGTAAGAACTCGGTCTGCTAATGCAAATAAGTTTTGGCTCGGAACATGGTGACTGAGATCCAGCATGAGACTTGTGGACCTATAAAATTGATCAACACACCGGTGAAGTTTTCCGAGTCGAGCCCTGGAATCAGAGAGGCACCTCCAACTTTAGGCCGCCATACCGACCACGTTTTGGAGCACATTGTAGGGCTTGATAAGAAAGAGATTGCAGTTCTCAGGGAAGAGGGCGTAGTGACTTAAGATGCTACAGCAAAAGTTTGGAATGGTTGAACCCGGGCCCCTTTGGAGGGCTTGCGCAATACAAGTCCACCTAAAATTGAGAGGTGGTTATCTTATGTCTTGGTGAAACATTTGCGAACTTTCGGCGTCGATATGACATGGCACGGGCGTATAAGACGATTCAAATGCACCTCAAATTCACCAAAATATTCATATTTATTTCTCTAAAGCAGCTTGAATCTCTAACGAAAGTGCTTCCACGTCAAAATTCGCGATTGAACGATCTGCCCAACCCGCGAGCTGCGTTATGGTGGCTAGAACACTCTTGACGCAATCTACGGAATTGCCGATTCCTAATGTCGCCTTGATGTGACTCTTGGTCTGCCGAGTGGCCCCAAGGGCTGCAATGGCAGATGCGACGATCAAATGTGACTGATTTGGCTGGAACACTTGCTCGTTTGCTTTGGAAATGAGGTAACCCCAGGTGACTGAAGTCGAGCAAGTGACTGTTTCGACGTGGTCAGTTCTCAACTAGGTCTGAGGATCATGCGGCTCACGTACAGAGATCAGTGAAGTACTTGTCCATCAGACTGAAGATGACCGAATTCCCCACGCCGCGGTATATCTTAGCTCGCAGCGCCCGTCCATTAGCCACATCGTTTTCGTCAATTGTTGTCTTACGCAGAACCTCCGTGGAGGCGTAGGCGGGCCCTTTTCTCTGAACGACACCAATCATGCCATAACAGGCTGGAATGCAAGTCGGCATGCCCACATACGGAAAGATGATTGTGATGGCTTCCCTCAGACAGAGAAATATGGCTCTTGAATCTTCAGGACTGGCCTCGCTCGTGATGTCGTCAAAGAATCTCCCCACGACGTCGGCGCGACCAAGAGCGCAACATGCTGCGGCCTGTTACATTCGAATTAGTCCAAGTAGAGTGAGTGACACATCCTTTACAGGACGGTGAGGACTACTCACAATGATAGCATGACTAAAACCTCCGAGCTCAGGGTGAGAGGCCACCAGCTCGGAGTTTAAGGAGATGAAAAGGTTTTTATCATATGGCCGACTACCAGCTTTGACATTTGTTGACACATACTTTTCGTCCCAATCGGACATGAATGAATCCTTGCTCCAATCAGGCATGTTGTGAAGTAGAATAGATGGAAGCGCCCGGGTGCACCTGAAGCTTGCTGATGTGGCTAAATCGGGGGGGGAAAAGAAAGAAAAAAAAAAGAAAAAAAAAGATAATAATCAAGCGGTTCAAAACTCTCATGGCTTTGCGATCTGTGGACAAGTCCTGTTCATCGATCATCTCGGTGCCACCAGACGCCGGAAATCCCAGTCGTCCCCGAGCCCCATCGGAACTATGTCCGTCGCAATGTAGTATTTCCATATACGGTGCAAGGAACGACAACTCCACTCGTGGGGATCAGGAAGAGCCATGAAGAAGGTCTAGCTTATCTTCACAATCAGCGAACGACTGGTCAATTCATATCTTCAGCCTCGACTTCTAATAGAAGCACCAGTCGCTTAATGAAGTTTATGTTTATCAATGAAAGTGCTGTACCATATTGAAATATTTAATACCTAACTACATGGTTGAACTTCCACCGCTGTACTAATACTACGATTCGTTATGAAGCTTCTCACAATATGCACGAATAAGCACAGCAGTCGACTTTGTGGAGTAGTAGCATCAAAATAGTGAATCCAACGTTCTATCTGCCCTATGATAATAATTTCAGTTACCAGAGTAAATAAACACCCTGTCATCCGTTGGCTTGAAGACCTTTTCGTGGGGAGGTTCGCCCACAGGCGCTCCGAATACCAATTGAGCTTTCAATGACCACTGTGGAGAAATGTTCCAGCGGCCAACAATTCTCTGGTCGATTGTAGGGTTGATATGCTGAAGGTTGCATCCGAAGCCTTCGAGACTCAGCGCCGTCCAGAGATTGAACGCTACCATCGCATTGTTATGTTCCGAGAAGACCGGGAGGTGCCAGGCAAAACGGGGCTGCCGAGACTGATATTCTCGTATCACGTCCAAGTCTTCGAACAAAAGTACCTGCCAAAAGATCAATATGGTCCATGTAGCCCGATGAGATATTTACGTACGGTGCCGTATGCTTGCTGACGCTGTAGCAACTTTTTCTCGTACTCCAGGTAGGCAGCTGGCTGTAGTGTGGCTGCAAAGCACTGCCTAGCCAGATTCCAGAACTCGACATGCTCATCGCGTAGTAGGATGACCAATCTAGTGGACTGGCAATTAAAAGAGCTTGGAGTGTGTTTGGCTACCTCGTGAGCTATCTCGACAATACGACTGTCGCTGATTGGAGATTCAGATCTTAGTGGGTAGCAGGTTCGACGGACTTGTAGGTCCGCTAGGTATCTATCGGCCATATTGCTGGTGCGAGGTGAATGCAATGGAGTGGCTGTAATACCAAAGCTGTAGATGCTAAGTGAAGCGAAGAGAGACACTGGGAGCTTTTACAGTGGCCCCCGTGGGTCGTGTATTGTGTCCCGCCCTCACATTGCCGGAGACAATTATACACCACCGACAATCCACGGAACGTGGAGCGTTGAGCCCGGAACAGCGAGTCCTCCCCGAGAGATCCGACATGCTCAAAAGTGTCTCGCCGCACGTCCAAGAAATTCATGTCTGGCAACAAAATATAGGACTCATCAGATATCACTTTTTGAGCTACAACGTCTTCCTGTCAAAGGCATCGACTTTCTCCCGATTCATCATGGCGAGAACCGTCCTAGTCCTCGGTGCCACCGGCACACAAGGTGAGATAGCCATTCCCTTCCCAGCTTCTTGCCTTGCAGCGTGGTCTAATGATCTCAGGCGGATCCATTGCAAAGCTGCTCCTACAGCATCCCGAACAATACGCTGTCCATTGCCTGACGCGTAACCCGGACTCGGACAAAGCCAAGGCGCTTGCCGCTCAGGGAGCAGTCCTGGTCAAGGCCGACTTGACAGTTCCTTCATCCCTGGCAGACGCTTTCCGGGGTGTCTGGGGGGTCTTTGCGGTCACAGACTTCTACGATACGGTACGTGGGCAGCAGCCCGATCAGCAGTTTCTTCCAGCACACTATATTGACTTCATGCTCGCAGACAGTTCTTGATGACCCGATGAGCGAGGAGAAGCAAGGGCAGCACATCGTGGAAGCTGCGTCCAAGGTTGGAGTGGAGTGCTTCTTATGGAGTACGCTGCCAAGCTCCAGAGAGATTTCTGGAGGGAAATTCGTAACGCGGCTGTACGAGGGTATTGAGGCTCTTGACCCTATCTGTGCAACACATACTGATTTGCAGACCATAGGCAAGCAATCCGTCGATGCAGTGATCCGTTCGGCTGGTCTCAAGGGTTGCTTCATCCGCACGGGCAATTTCTACGAAAACATGATACTTCGCAAATACGCTGCCTACGACAAGGAAAGCGATACTATCACCATGACACGCCCCATTATTGGGCCAGATGCTGAACGTTTGTGGAAACCCCCTCCCCTTGGCGTCACCTTTCGCTTGGAGAATCTAAGTTGCCAACGTGACAATAGTGACCACACTTTATGTCGAGAAAGATCTATCGGCGGTCTGCAAAGCCATATTTGATCAGTGGGAAACGAACAAGAGCAGCCTAGACGGGAAATATTTCTTAGCTTGCGGGGCTCGTGAGACCATGCGAGATATCAATGCAATCATTGAAAAAGGTGCGTGTGGCTCACATATCAAGTAAAGATCAGAGAAAAAGGCTTCTAACACAAGCGGCTTTAGTGTCTGGAAAGAAGGTCGTGTATAGGGTCAAGCCAACCTGTGGGATCGCCGACCGCGACATCATGCTCCAGCTCTACAACGATGTGGGAATGTATCCCGGCGTGCAAATTCCGTCTCCAGAAGTTGCACAACTTGGAGTCAAGCTACATACAGCCGAGGACTATGTGCGAGAGAGACTCCTTCCTCATCTTGGCCTGCAAGCGATTGGTAGTTAGACATAAGCGAGGCTCTGGTTGCATTTTTTGTCACACTCGATGCACTGTACCAGATAGAATGCTACGGTAGCTGAATATCAAATCATCAGCCCATAAGTGGTCTGTTTTAGTCGTTGAGTGATGATTCTATAGGAGGGGTACTGGTTGTTCAACTCGAGTAAGCTACCCTGTAGACACGTTGACATGAGGCTGGTAAGTGATGCTAGCCAGCATGGCCGACTGATCAACCACAATCCCGGAAATTCCGTTGAAATTCCGTCAGGAGCGGAGTATGTTGAGACAGACCAAACCATTGCAAGCCAAAAGGGGCAACGGGCAGCAATAGTGCCAACCGGCACAGCCGGGGAAGCATCATTTGTTTTGCCGCTAAGCCTAAACACGAACCGCTTATCTAGAGAACTGGGGAATGGCGGAGAGGCTTTGCGGGGTACAGAAGCTGGGGCTGTTGCGGAGGTGGATCAAGCTGAATCTGTTCTGTTCTGTTCTAATCCTCCAGTTGATCCGCGAAGAGCGCCTGAATCTTGTTTCATTTGAGCAAGAAACCCTTGGAAATGGACTACTAGTAGCCTTGTTCGGTGTTTACTTGAGGCTATCAGCTGCAACAGTGCTTTGATTTGTTGCTTTGCCCTCACCCTGTGATCTTAAGCATGTCTTCCAACACCGTCAACCAAGACGGTGTCAGCAACGGCCAGGACCAGAACGACGCCCCGAATGGGCACGGTGCCGCCTCAACGACCCAAGCAGAAAGTCCCACGGGTGGCAGCAATCGATCAAAAGAGGCCTGTGAGGAGGCAACAGGTGCTGGGGAGCGACCGACCAAGAAGGTCAAGAGAGCAAAATACATAACTAGAGCCTGGTAAGCTGTCGGCTGCATACATGATAGAAAAGGCCTTCATCTTACCCTCTCTACAGCACATCTTGCCAGCAGCGGAAGATCAAGGTCAGTGAAGGCCCAGTCCAGTCCGTCGATTCTTCGTTGAGCACACGTTAACATTCAATCGCCCCCCATACAGTGCGATGGCAGTGA